GGTTTACTGTAACAGACCAGCTGGACACCTAAAGGCAAGCTGCGCTGATGCTGGTGGCAGCTCAGCTCACAGCCCCCTGAATTTTTATGTGAAAGACTAGTGAGAGTGTGTTTTTAACAGTCTTAACCTTAAAGGGATATTCCAACATAAAATTCAGTTAGGGCAAACACACCAGAACACATAGTGAGACACCCCCAGAGATGAATGTTGCCGACCGCTTGCTTCTCTAGTTATACCAACTTTAGTAACGATCGCACGATAGCAATACACAGCAGTCTGAGGAGCTATAAACAAACTTCAACCAAAACACCACTTTATAGCCACAAATAATGCTCAGAACAGCACCCAACTTCATCAACAGGACATATAGGGTCCAAGCCACAGCACTAGCCACCAAACATCTTTTTAACTTTGACTAATTTCTTCAGCAAAGAGACTAAACACAACTCACCTTCTCTCTTCAAGCAGCCAATTGTTTGTAAGGAGACCTCAGACCAGTCCATTACATACTACAGCGGGGTGTCGCAGCTCAAGGAAGAACATTTATGATCATTTCTTCATCATTTTCTTAAAGTAATAATCACCATATTAATCATTTTGCTCTGCAGACGCGGTAGTTCTTCTGCCTTAGCGTCTCGGTCTGATTGTATTTCCATGAAGAAATGATCATAAATGTTCTTCCTTGAGCTGCGTCACCCCGCTGTAGTCCGTAAAGAACTGGCCTGAGGTCTCGCTACAAACAGTGGGCTGCTGGAAGGGGATAGGTGAGTTGTGTTCGGTCTCTTTGCTAAAGAAATTAGGCAAAGTTAAGATGTTTGGTGGCTAGTGCTAAATTTGTAAATTTTTAAAGCATTAAATACATGACTAGATTTATTCTAAAAGAAACAAAAATTCATGAAAAATAAACTTGTTGTTAGAGCATATTTGTCGACGTTAATGTTTTTTTCCTACAGTAAAATGCTGTGTGGGCTGCTGTTTTATGAGAAGACAAAAAGACATACAATTACATCTTGCTGGGTGTGACTTCAGAATAATGTTATCTAACAGGTGCGTTGACTTTTGCCAAAGAACCCACGCTTAAAACTGTATCTGGGGCATTTCTGATACTGCTATCTGTAATGGAACAACTCTAGACAGATAGGAATGAGACTCAGAGTAACAGTATGCCCTCACCTTGAACCAACACACAAAAACACAAACACAACTCCACCAGATACAGATAGAAACGAAGTAGAACAGTCAGATACTCCCTGAAGTTTTCACCAGAGGAAAAAATACGCTGCTAACATATTGGAAAACATCAGGATATGAGAATTCATTGTAATCACAGCTGATAATAGCTGTCACTCAGCTCATTAAAGTCTGTAATGAAAACTTTTGAACTGGTCTGAATGCTCTGTGAGAATAAATGAATAGCTCTCAGTTTTTCACCGGACCAGTTTGTGTGGACTGAAGCTCGGAGGCATGGCGGTTAAGCTTTTTTTGACAGGAAGGGAAGACAGCTTTCTTTTCAAGATCAAGTTCAAAGGGCAGGAGGCCTGTTTCTTCCTCAGTGGCCCTGACTGCACCTGTGCTTCTTTGGCACGCACACACACGGGTACACACACGCGCTCAAGGAATTTCATCCACACCACTGACAGACAACTTAAGGTTTTGGCTGTGTGGGTGTGTGAACTGCAAGTGTGTCTGAATAGGCATTTGTGGAGTGTGTGTCTTGAGTTGCAGCTCTGTGAAGTGTTTGTGAGAAGATTTTATGACCTCCCTTACCTCTTCAAGGAACTCGTCACAACATTAGAGACAGAGCGAAGGGCGGAGGAGGGAAAGTTCTGGACACCTGCAATCATCCGTAACAATGCCGCAGTTCATCACACCCTGCCAAGGTTTCACTCCCAAAGGCCCAAAGGGGTGATTAACTGTGTGTGCTCGTGTATGCGTGCACGTGGAAATGCCTCTTTCCCTTTGATCAAAAAAAGAAGTGTGGCAGAGTTTGTTTTCATTTTCTTTTTCTTTCTTTTATAGACTAAAGGAGGAAATTGAAGGATATACAGATATTTTGCTGGAGGAATTTCCTTTTCTGCCTCTTTTATAATTCAACATGAGCAGGCTTAGCCCACGTGACAATTACAAAGGCTGAGTACAAGCAGACAAAGCCATCGTGACTTCACCAGCTGCCAATCTGAAGACTAAATTGAAGCTCTGTTGCCATAATTATTTTGTTTTGTCATAAGTGACCGTGAAGTACAAAAGGTATGGGAACTAGAGAGTAGGGCTGGGCGATATGGCCTCGAATCAATATCATGATATATTAAGCAGTTCACCTCGATAACGATAAATGGATGATAACTACTCCACAAGCTGCTCACCCACTCCCACATTAACTTTGTCTACTTCAGCCGCTACAACTTTTGAACCGTCCTCCATCTCCTCACCCAGGGCTCGACAGTACGACCGTTTCACTCGCATTTTCTACAAGAAATAGATGAATTGTAAAATGTATTTAGGGGCACATGTGCGCATAAAAAAAAAATTGCCGAGCCAACAAATGTTTTTTCATCTAAAAATTTATTTCCCTTATTTGTCCTCTAAAATATTTTTGTGTTAAATTTGAAGGTAAATTTTAAATTCTTCCTTCAATAGCTTTCATGTCATGTGACCAAAAGACCTAAAATTTAATTCAAATAATAGTACTTATATCAACCAATAAGACACACATTATTTGATCAATTCTCATTGTGCCCTTAAAGTTCTTTGTGTGCTCCTTACTTTTTTAACTCAGGAGCAGATGTGCTCCTTGTGAAAAAAAAGCTAGCATCAAGCCCTGTCACCTGTCTTTCCCTCTTTGTTACAGACTGGATGGGGTGGAGTCACGTCTCTGACATAGGACAGCATCTTAAAGGGACATGAGACCATAGCCTACCTACACACATCCAAAACCAACTTTAGATTTTTTTTTCTGACACCAAATATATCGACATGGGCAAAATGATGTTGGTTATTGTTGTTGTAAATTTTGTTGTAAATTTTGGTAAATTTTTTAATCGCCCAGCCCTCGTAGAGAGAGGACAAAAAACTGCCAGCTTTAACTGTCACAGCTAATAAAGAAAACTTAAGAAGTGTAAATACCGGTGGTTGATCAATGAACTGGAAAACATAATAAACAAACACAAGTTATTATATAAAGACACTCTGTTTGTGTTTGAAGCTAAAAAAAACATGTGCTACATGCAGCTTGCTTGCCCAACTCTTCAAACAAAAACCGTGTTTACTTGAGCTGTTTTTCCGTCAACACCGCGGCAGAAAGTTGGATAAAAGATTTTAACTTAAATAGCTTTCATGGGCACTAAATAAAGTTATCCACTCATGACATGTACATGCATCAACAGTATAATCAGAACAAAACCACTATGAGGAGTGCAAAGATGTGTCACCTGTGTTGAACTGAACAAAAGCAAGACGAAGAGGTAAAAGCATCAAATAAGTGGAACTGTTTATATAGGTTACATAGGTTTATCTCAGTTGTTCTCAATGAGGTGTTTATATGAAGTATTTGTATTCTGCTATATGTGAGCTTAACTCCAGCCATGTGTAAGGTAACTCACAAAAACCAGTCTCTCACAACTCGCCTGCTGCCTCTCATGAACTGACAAGCAAACAACAATCCTAATTCCAACACACGAAGTACCGCACATAAACGTATGACACTACATGAACCCTGCAGGAAATGACAAGTAAGGTATAGCACTGTTAAGACGCTGGTGCTTTTTTATTATATCAATGAAATAATATCAGAATTCTCCAGGGAATCAGATCTGAGTTGGGATTCGAGTAAAATAAGCTGCTCATCAGATGTTTGCATTAGAAATCATCAAATAAGACCTGCTCGTTGCCAGTTAAGCCCTCGGGTTAAGTATCAGCCTCATAAGGACCCATTCCACTTCATTTTTTCGCTGTGAGGTAGTTGTTCTGATAATAGGTGTTTCTCCCCTCTGCCTTTTTGCTTATTCTGGCCCATTAGCAGTGGCATTTCACTATAAACACTCGGATTTATTGAGGAGCTCTCCATTCAGAGTAAGTGTTGCATGTTATTCCTTTATTGCCCAAGAGGTGAGACGGATCCGCTTTCAAACTCACTCTCACACACAATCTCTCCATGCCGTCTTCGGTGCATTTTACCGATTTCTGCTCATTATCAGACCTGCTGTTTCAATGTTTTTCTCTAATGAAGAATTTCTATTTACTACCATTGTTTTCAGCGAGTGTCCTAATCCTCCCTTCCTCTACTTGTTCCACCAAAGAGAAGCAGGAGCTGTATCTCCCTATGAGAGGCATTCAAGCCACAACTGGTACACAGCGGTGATAATCTTGACTATTTTGGTGGACTGCCCCTCATCCAGAACTCGCATTTTGCTGCGCCTCATAATTCAGTCTAGTGCTGCCATCTTTGGAGTCATATCAGAATGAACAATGAATAAAAGATATCAAAAAATCTAGCTAGGGACTATTTTCTCTTCTGAAAACAGCCTGAGCTGTAAAGCAGGCTTCACTTATGTAGGGTACACACGACGAGATAATCAAGCTGATTTTAGGCCCAATTTCCCTGTTCCAACAAAAGTAAACAGGGTCTGCATTTTTTGATGGGTCTAAAGATTATCTTACTAGATTTCTCTGTGGGGTGAGGAATGCTTTTTGTGATGTGATTTTACTCCCCCTGGTATGCTTAGAAGAATATTGAGGTCGCATGATGTTCAATATCTACAACACGGTTTTGGATTCAGGTGAAAACTGCATCAACAAAAGTCACTCATAGTCATGTCACGTGTTAGCTCTGCGAAGATATATTAAAATACCGCAACAATACAGTGAACCTACGCAACAAAACCAGCTATAATATGTAGTTCATCACATCACATCCCGTCAAAACCTGCAGAGTCTGCATGAAGAGAAAGAAACCACAGCCAAAAGGATTACAACAACAGCTCCTTAATCCAGCAGCACCCCAGAGGAGCGTGAGATCACAAGCCGTACGTGTCTGAGTCTATCCCAGTGAGCTAGCTGGAGAGTCTGCAATCACACCTCATCCATTAGCTAATGAGGAGCATGGAATAAAATGGACATTATGGCATAATCCTGTATCACTCTGTGATTGGTGCTGAGTGTTTCCAGACATGATTAGGTTTAGTAATGAAGAGAGATGTGACAAAAGACGCAACAAAAGAGACACGAATATGCAGAGAGTGAGAGAAGGCCAGCGACTGAGGAGCAAAGAGGACTCTTGTCCTTTAGGCATTCACATTCCGAAGTATCCTTGGAGTGTGTGTTTGTGAAAGCAAGTTTGTGTGTGTGGGTGTGTGTAATACACCCCTCCACAGGTGCTAGCTGTAAGGGACTTTGAACGAAGGCTTGAGTTTCCAAAACATCAGCTTACAGCGATACACAAGGAAGTGTGTGAATGTGTTTTTCTGCAAGCACTGTCATTGTACAGATGCTTGTAGTGACTGTGTGTGTGTGTGTGTGTGTGTGTGTGTGTGTGTGTGTGTGTGTGTGTGTGTGTGTGTGTGTGTGTGTGTGTGTGTGTGTGTGTGTGCAAGTGTTGCAGGTTTGCTCATGGGCATGCAGCCTAGAGTATATGTATACACCCACAGACATACACTACACACACACCCACACAATCAACACTTCAGGGTAATTATGAGCGACAGTTTAAAGTGTTCCACTCTAAAAGTAATAAATCTATCTTGAATGTTTGTGTATCTCTTAAAAATGATTCGTGTTAAGTAAACTGTTTTCTTGAAAGGGTGTAAATGCTGTGACAAGATCACTTCTCATTGTCACAATGTTAGACATTATTATCATAAGACAGTCTATATCAAGAGACATTAAAACTGAAGTGGCCCTGAGGGGTTTTTGACTGGTTATGAAACAGATAATGAACAGTGATGCCTCCTCATGACTGCAAAAGTAAATTCACCATCAGCAATGAGACACATGACTTCTATAAAATAGCTTTTAATGCCTTAGGCTACAGAGGGGGTGCATGTCAAACAAAAAGTTTCACAGCACCCTGAAGGGTAAGCCTCATTTTAAAAGGGATATTCCAACGTCAAATTAATTTAGGGTTAAACACACCTTAATACCGAGTTACACACCCCCTCGAGAAATGAATGTTGACGACCGCTTGCTTCTCTAGTTATACCAACTTCAGTAATGACTGAAGGATAGCAATACACAGCGGTCTGAGGAGCCATAAACAAACCTCAACCAAAATGCCACTCTATAGCCACAAATAATGCTAAGAACAGCACCTAACTTCATCAACAGGACATATAGGGTCCCAGCCACAGTACTAGCCACCAAACATCTGGAGTTACCTGGTTACCTGGAGTTACCTGGTTGATGCGCTGCGCTACTGAGTTTTAGCGTGAGGCACCAAAAGTGAACTGCAACTCATAATATGTATCCCAGCAACATATTTGGCTCCTACAACAATGGTCATAAAATCACAATATGTAAATCTCTTTTCTTGTGGGTGGCCTCTTGTCCCTCATCACAAGCCTTCAAGCAATGAGACCTGGATACGTTAGAGGGTAAGGTTAGGGTTAAACTGTTGCACTGAAGGCACAGACAAACCTTAAAGCATAACCCTTTAAGATATGGACCAAAGCAAGGCCATATCCATAAGTATTATATGACTGCACACTAAAAATCTCTGAAACCATTTTACAAGGTATGTCCCACATAAACTACCAGCAACACAAAACCTCAGACTGATCCCACCAGAGAAAGTATTCTGGTTTAGTAACAATCCGACTCTCGACATGGCCAAAAAACAAAGCTGCTGCACTTTTCACATGCCAGGATATACAGCTGCTCACTGTTGCTGATAATGCCCCACTTGCTTTGTTTGTGATTCCCAATCATGTGAGTGAATTTGCCATCCCAAAACTGTGTGCAGAAGTGAAACAGCGTCGCAACTACAAAGCCAAAGGCTTGTCCTGAAAGCGTGTAGTGCGTCAGTGTAAAAGGATCAGCTAATCCTTTGAACTAGAACTTAAGGTAACTGACAGGGAGGGTTCTGACAATTGACATTTACACTAGATAAACTGCTGGTCTCATTTTACTCCTCTACAACCCAGCATAACCACCTAAATCAACAAATGGGGTGGAACATTATCAACACTTTGCCAGCGGGTAACGGAGAATGAACACAGCCAAAAGACCAGCACAGTGTTTACTTGTAAGCTTTGCATGCAGTCAAAAGCGATGAGTGTGTTATTTTTGAGAAGTCAACTACTTCTGATACTGTAGCGTTAAGGTCATCATTTCAGATGGTACATCCAAATATCTGCTTTATAGTATAATGCTCTTGGCTTGAAGAGTCCTCACACAATAAGCAACAGCAATTCTCTGAGAATCTCTTTTATATTCAAATATTAATACCACAACTGAAATATCACTAAAGAAATCCATTTTGAATCAAATTGTTACTTGATGAAGGCAATCAATGGTATTGCCATGGCCTCTCATTGGCTAATGTTTCTGTTTGCATTTAATGATTTGTTTGTAACTTTCCAGTGGCAAAATACAACATAGAAAAAAGGACCAGGGAGGCCCAGGCAAGAGCAAGAAATCAAATGTAACAGACATAATTCTCTTTTAAACCAGTATCACTCCCAAATATCAACACCGGCACAGAAACGCAGCAATTGGTGATAGCCAAAGAAACCTAAAAACTAAACCAGCACATCAAACTTTGCAAAACCAAGCAAAGATGCAAATCACAAGGCTAACAGGACAGTACGAAAGCAGCAAAACACAAACCAAACTCCACAGCCAGCATTGAGGAAACTTTTCTTACCTTATGTGACGCTGTTTTGTCGCATCCACTTTAACTTCAACTCAGAGAGTCTAATCCTTGCTAATTTTGTTGCCTACTTTCTTCTCAGGCAGGCTGTGCGGATTCATCTGGACAAAAATATTCAAAACAACAGCTTCCGCTTTTTGTTTCCGCGCCATTTCGGAGTATTTCCGGTCTACCTGTGACATGCGCGCTAGACTTTTCTCCGAAGAACGGGACGCGATATATTTTTCAGCCGTGAGAGATAACCAATCGGAGCCCAGCACTTCTAGCCAATCAGAGGCGAAGGAGGGCGGGCCCTTCCCCTACCTTCCTACAAAAAAAAAATCATGCTAACGGGACGCGCACTACTCGCCAATTATTTCATACATTACGTTAGGTAAGCCCCTCCCACATTGTTGTTTTAGACAATTGATTAGCCAAAAGTTAGAAGTGACGCCCTTATTAACGAATCACGTTCAGTAAACACAGCCTACAAATGTCTCCTGAAATGTAGTTTTTATCTATGAATCATCCTCAGTTTTATTATGGAATATATATATGGAGTTAGCAGTGGAGGCCTCTATAATTGGAGATCATAGGTTTAGAGTTAATGTTAATTACATATCGTCACCCTATTAAAATAATGGCCTAAATCTTTTTTTTTTTTAATGAAAATAAGTTTTTGGTCTAAATCATCTTAAGAGATTATTTAGGCCAAAAACTTATTTTTGTCAGAAAAAAAAATGACTTAGGCCATTATTTTAATAGGGTGACGATATGCGCTTTGCATGCCACAACATCACAGGATATATTTTTTTCAGTTTTATGGCAGAGTTTGGTTTATTAAAAGCTTTTGTAAGTGTTGATGTACCAGTCAAACAGAGAGACATGTTTTACACCTGAATAAGTAAACAAGTACAGCTGTATGAGGATGAAAACTACTTCAATATATCCTGCTCTGTGATTTTTGCATTTCTAAACCGAATTTTAAACTTGTTTACTGAAAATCATACTCAGATTTCTGTAAACCTGGTGATAAGAAGCCACTTTATTATCATTCACAGACAGAAGCAAATGCCAGACAGCTTTTTCTATCCTTACATGCTCCCCCACCTTCCCCTCTTTCTGTCTCTCATTCTCTCTGTTTTTCTCTATCTCTCTCTTGTACACAGAATGAGTAGTCAGAGAAGGGTAAATGACCAGACTAAATAGTTTACTCCTCTCAGACTGATAAGATCTGGAGCAGACTCAGTCACTCTCTCCCACACAGACGGGAGGACAAAGGAACTTATGGTTAAAAGAATAGAGGACACTCATGGTTGAGCATTTTTGTCATCAAGTTTACTCATTTTGATATATCGTATTGATATGACAGTGTGTGCACTTAAATGGCATCATGTTTTGTTGTGTTTTTTTTTTTTTTTTTTTTGACCAGACTGAGTAGTTTTATGGAGTTTTTGAACTGTGTCAAAATAAGAGGCGATAGGAGGCGCTCTTAAACAATTTATCATTTTATCCATTGACAACCTCTGCCCTGTGTTCAGATTTTTGTTTTCTTCTTGATCAATATCTACATATTAACTTTGATTAGGTAGTTTCATTAGATAATACATATAGTTGAAATATACAATCAACCATTTAACAAACTATTTTAGGCCACAATTTAGTTTCTGGAGTCTATGTAGAGAAATCCAGAAGTGTAATCTATACATATTCATATTCTTATCCACACTTGCAGTGACAAGACAGCATTATTTCCACATGTTGAAAATGTTTATTTTGAGGACTCTGTCTTGTTCTGAAATAATACAGGAATTACTAGTAAGTCTTGATGGAGGGAGCCGTTTTGGACTCTGACCAGAGGATTCAGAGGACAAAAATCCCACACCCATCATTAAACGAAGCTCAGCAGTAGGTACACTCCTGCAACATTATGACATATTGTACAACCCTTTAGTACATCCTACATCACATGCTGTTGAGAATATGAGACACGGGTGGAAATGAGTATTCAGAGAATTTGATAATTTAATAATATTCAAAGAGACTCTGAATCTTTAACCAGCCAATAAGGAGATAAACTCTGGAAGACAATGAGCTTCATCACATTAAAAATCCCAGTGTTTAGAAGAAAAACTCTGAGATCTTCTTACATTTTTACCCCAGGATATTCCCTCTTCTCTGAAGGTTAAGAAGCCTGCTGGCTCAGGATCTGGTCTTTAATGAACTAGAATGTCTGTTTAATGTTTATTCAGTTATCTTCACAGTTCCCGCCTTTGCTTTTACTGTCAAAGTACTTTGTAAATATGTTTCTAAAGGTGCTACATGTATGGTAATTTATCTTCATTTTCAGCTTAGACTGCTTACTTAGCTGTTACTACACGCTGACATACAGTCAAGAATTTGATGTTAAGCTCTTCACCTCTAAAGTTCAGTTTTTCATTATATAATCGCAAATTTCATTCATCAGTTGCCAACATTACTACATTATTACACTTCTTTTAAAGCTTCAGCGTCCCGGCTGTTTGAAGCCAGGCTGTGTGTCCAACTTTCAAATTATGTTTACAGTCCTGAAGGTCAAAGTTGAGGCCTGCACCTGTGTTCAAGACTAAACAACTGTACCTACCTCACACTGAAAATAAATACCTGGAAGCACAAATAAACCTGCCATGCTTTTGGCAGTTCAGATGTGCCTTAAGACACTCCATCCTTCAACCTGGATCATCTCTGTTATCTCAATACTACAAAGACTTGAAATGTTTCACATAAATTCACATCTGAATCTGAGATAATCATCTATTACACCAACATCACATCATTAGCAAAGCATTGAAAAAAATCAAATGAAGTCTTCTCATCATTTATGAGCCCTCTGCTCAGTCTTTATTCAACGAGTGCAATTCAGTGTCAGAAACAATCAGACATCAATCAGCAAGAATGACAGCTTCCATTTGTGTGATCTCAACAGGGGCAGGTACATAACTGGCATTGGGGTATTGAAGTCCTCAAAATTCTCAATTCATTTTAAAGGGGGGGGCACAGGGCCTTGGACACAACTCTGACTGTCAAAAGCAGACACTGAGATTTTAGTTCACAAGCTTCGTACAGACTGATAGCTGCAGCTAATGCACAGAGATGGCTGTTTTAATGCTGCTGTGGTCTGCTTTACAACACATGTACACAAGGCATTAATGGTGAGTATTTGGATGGACAAAGGGTAGATTAATACAGTGATAGGGAGGTAAAAATCAGTCATGTGTTTACTGGAATTAAAATACCCTTGTTATTAAAGAGCTAAATCCTTCAGTCCTGCACATAACAATACTTAACATGAATGCTTAAAATAAAAGGGAAAAAATGGTCAAATTCTTCAGCCACAAAACTTTCAAAAACTGATCCTTAATCTTTAGATTTTAATTTTTCATCAAAAATGACAGGTTGGTCTTAATTTTCGCTCTAATTAAATTGGCATGTTAACATTATTTTATTTCTAAAAGGTATCTGACATGTTCAAAATCAGAAATCAAGTAATCATGGGTCAAAAAAGATGTTATTGATTGAGGACTGGTTGCCAGGGCGTAGTCCAAGATGGACAAAAAACTGATCTGTCTTGTTGAGGATTCATTCATCCAGAAAATGGGTGTGAATCAGGACTCGGTTACAGTTATTAACCGACTCCAGGTTTGAATGGGTTGAAATGAAGACCTGGTTCAGGCAAGCAAAGCTTATGAAACTTGAACTTCAATAAGTAACACTACTGCCCTCTGCTGTCTACTTAACAACCCAAAACTTGTGCGTTCTTCACATTTTTCCTCAGCTTGGACAAAAGAAGTGGTCACTAGAATGGAAATTAACTCCAGATTCACTCTCTATAATACTGCGTTAATGTTCTCTGGACAGAACTTAAACCATGCCTAAGTCTCGAAATGATGAAGCAGAAATAAAACTACTCAAACTGACGACAAAGATGTCTTTCTTGTCTGCTATGTCTGAAAAGGATGAGACAGCTGCAGTGGATTTTAGTCATATTCTATGTGCGTAACAACTTCTACCCACAGGAAGGGCAGAGCGAAATTAGAGGAGGAGAAACCGAGGAAATATCTCTAAGCCTCCATGTGCTGTGCTCTCCTCTTGTCGTGCTGACGCTTGGTGAGTCCGTACTTGAAGAACTCATAGACCGACCAGCTGATGGCTGTGGAGGGCATCTGGTAGATGACCCTCGCTTGGACTCCCTTGAAGAAGCCCTGCAGGCCGCCCAGCCTGTAAACTGTCCGGAAGGCGTGGGCCAGCCCTGAGATGCGTCCGTGGGCTCCTTGGCTGGAGGATAGGGAGCCGAGAGCAAGAGACTCCTGGGTGTTGAGCAGGGTCTTGCACACGTCCAGAGGTGTGGTGGCCGCAGCCGCGATGGCTCCGGCCATAGCTCCGGACAACATGTGAGATGAGGGGTTGTACTGTCTTTGGGGGTTGAGCAGCTCCTGAAGGTACTCGTAGGTCATAAAGTGGAGCGCCTGGAAGGGCACGTTCATGGTGAGCTGGGTGGTGTAACTTCGATAGAAGGCGGCGGGGCCCTCTTTCTGCCACACGGCGCGTACACAGTCCAATACGCCGCGGTAAGGTGAATTATACATCTGCATGCGCTGCTTCACAACTGCGAGTAGATGTGTGGATGTATTGATGGAGGTCAGCGTGAAAAGAGCAGAGATAAAAAAGGAAAATACAAGTTTATTAATAATTGAAGCTATAAAATTCATACATTTTAATACCCACAGGAAGATCTGGTGTCATATTTTTAGAGGCTGCTCTGACAGCTGCACCCCATCCAGCCGCTACATAAGAGGACTCTGACCAGTGTCCTTCTGCTGACATGTTTGGGCAGGTGGACTGGAGGCAGCTGTCAAAGTCAGTATGTAAGGGTGCAGGGTTAAGGCCAACATGGAGAGAAGCACAGCACCTGTAGGGGTCTTCCCCGAAACGTCCGTTTGACCAACTCGAGTTTTGAGAAAGGAGAGACCCTGCACAGTCCGAGCCTTTGATTTAAAATCAGAGGTACTTGTACGGTGAACTCTTGCCCTTACCTTCGGCTGGATTCATGGCTGCATCATGAAGCAGTGTGGCCACACACCCAGCTGTACCTGAAATAAACACACCTCAGAAATTACTACACATGACTATAATTCTGAATAGACAAGGACAACAGGAGAAACTGCCGCACAGATACACAGAATGAGACAGAAAAAGCATCTCCATTTGCAACACTATGAGCCTTTTTTGATGATGCCACAGCCTTCCCCGCCTCTTTACTAAAGGATATCAGCTCAGAACAGGAAATCATAGTAGCAGAATTAGTGCTTACTCAGCAAACTGCGTGGGCAACTTAACTACAGACCATGCCTGACTGAATTCAGGAGAGCAAACCTGAGCACAGAGAGACGCCTAGTGGATAAGGCAGGTCACTGCTTTAAAAACCTACTCATAAGCTTGAAAGAGAGAGAGGGAGAGAGAGAGAGAGAGAGCAGATGAGATGTGAGGAAGAGGACTTACCGAGCCTCCCACTAGACTGCAAAGAAGGAAGAAACAGAGTGGGGAGAACAAGGAAAAAGGCAAAAATCAACATTAAGAGAAAACTAAACTTTGGGTTTCTATTTTTTCAGCTGAGTTTGACTCATCAGAACTCGACTCTGATTAGAAAAATAAAACTGTTTCACTCTTCCAGATGGGCAGCCAACCCTGGACTCTGGCTGTGAAAAGGCCGAGTCCGTTTTGATGACTTGCCAGGTTTTTTTTTTTTTTTAGGGCTGGTCAGGGCCTGTCGGCATTGTAGTCCAATCAGGCTGAGTCAGCAGCCTAACAATGCTTGGCCTTACAGGGCTCGACACTAACGTTTTTCACAAGGAGCACATGTGCTCGTGAGTTGAAAAAGTAAGAAGCACACAAAGAACTTTAGGGGCACAGTGAAAAATTGATCAAATAATGTGTGTCTTATTGGTCGACATAAATACTATTATTTGAAATCAATTTTAGGTCTTTTGGTCACATGACATAGAAGCTATTGAAGGAAAGGTTCAAAATTTGCCTTTAAATTTAACTCATAAATATTTTAGAGGACAAAATAGGGAAATAAAGAGGTGTGTCTTATTGTCCGGTCTTAGTACTATTATTTGAAATCAACTTTAGGTCAATTGGTCGTGTGAGATAGAACCCACTGAGCAAACAACGGCTATTAGACGTCTAGTTTTTTTTTTTTTAGACCTAATTTCAACCGTCTAGATTCTGTATATTTTTAGACGGAACTTTAACTCATTATTCAATAACTATTTATTTCAGAACGAAACTGTGAGTTACATAAATAATCTCCAAGTACTTAACCAAAATAATTATGATAGCTGTTAAGCAATATATAGTGTAGTATAGTTATAGCCCAGATTTAGGTTTAGTCTGAACTTGGTCTAAATTTAGACATCTAGAAAACTTTCATTTTTAGACCTGTGTTAGCCTAATTTCAGACCAGTCGTCGAGACTACACTTAGACGTCTATTAGACCTCTTTTAGACCAAAAATGCTCAGTGGGAAGCTATTGAAGGAAAACAGCCTTTTCTAAGAACATCAACCGGTAATTTATTGATGGTCCCTTACTCAACAGCTGACGTTGACAGCGAGAGTGCTGAGTAGATTTAACTGCGCTGCTGTTGCTATTCCCAGTTATGGAGAGTGAAAAGACACCTGCAGTGAATGTCCGTCGGATATCCAACCTAAAACTAACTTCACTGCGGTATTTACATGAAAAAACATTTGTTGCCTCAGCTGATTTTTATGTGCCCCTAAATACATTTTACAATTCGCACACATCTATTTTTAGTCGCACTGTCGAGCCCTGCCTTATGGTTAGAAATGAAGTCTACGAATCAGTCTATTCCTCAGCGACCTCAAAGGCATGATGAATAAATGATGAGAGTACATTTTTCAAGGTTAGTGTGTGTATATGTATGCTTTTTTGGTACCATTAGCCAAATGACTGTTAGCCCCTGGGTGAATGACATCACTTAGAGTCTTTTTGAGTTTCTCATAGCAGGCAAAATAGAGGGCATGAGCAGGTCCCGCTCCCACTGCCGTTGCATTCAGCCCTCTCATCGGCCTCCAGACTCCCTCTGTGGCGATGATCCGGCGAAGGGCATCCATGACGTTCCTGTAGCGGGCTGCAGGGTCGGGCTGGAGGCTCTGCATTCTTGTCTGGATGAGAGGAAAAGGTGGATTGAGACAAAGATCAGAGTCAACACTTTGTTCCGTTCTCAGCAGCCATGGCTCCAGATATTAAGGGTTATATAACAGGTCTTGATATTAAAATAGGACACGATGAATAATTTAAAGGTAACCATATGTCCGTCCAACACAGAACAGAAGAGCAGGACAATAAAAATAGTCCTATGATGTGATTTAGGGGTCATATAAGGGAAATGAGGGTTGAACATTGTGTTGGGTGTACATGCATAGCTGAATAGAAGGAAACATGGAGTTACAAGCTGCAAGGTCATAAGGGGACATAAACTGACTTCCTGCAAGCCTGTTTTCCCACTGACCCTGAAGTACACCTTCCTCTGTCTTCTTGTGAATACACACATGCTCTCTGGGATTAATGGGGGGGTTATATAAACATCATTTAAAGGACATGTACAATGGATAACCTGTTATTTGGTATTTGACATTGGGTTTTCTGAGGACGGACCGGGCGAGTCTTTCTGTCTCATAGGAACAGGCGGAGACATAATCCCTGAATACCAAACTTCCAGCTGAATGTACAAATTTACTCCCCACTGTGTTATGTTCATGTAGCGCTACAGTACAGCATAAACATGGCCTCATGTCACTCTATACTGCAGCTGTGGAATGCAGGACCTTAAAGGAGGGCTTGCTAACAGTTGTGTGAGTGTTTGCATCAAGTTTGCATCAACCTATTGTTCGGAGCATATAGCGAGGAAAGACCGTTATCAGGATGCTGGCTTCCTCATTCATTCATTCACTCACTGTCCCATATATAAGCACGCATGGATATCTTGCATGTGACAGCTAAAGGTCTGCTATGTTTATCTTTACTATGTTTGCTCATCTAGAAAGCACCGACCTTTGTACTTATGTAAACACCACATGAACCACTCTAAGAGGAAAAAAATGAAGATGTTTTAGCTTCTTTCTTTGACTGACTGAGTTCAGGTTAAATTCCACTCACCTGCGCTCTTCTGTTTACACTAAAACAGACATGCGAATGCAACACGCTCTCCTAAACCCATCACAAATGAGTGAGATTTAGGAGACATGAATGTCGAGTGGCAGCTTGTTCTTTAAACTATAATTACACAACAATCTCTTAGGCGAGGTAGTCGCAGTAAACAAGGAGTAAGACTTTTCTGATGTTTCAGGAAACCTCTCAGGAACATGTTGAAAATGAATGAAATTTTAATGCAAAACCAATTTCTCTGTATAAGCTTGTGGATTTTAAAGAGGAGTCATCTTAAGGCCCTGCTTTTATTTGTGTGCACCTTGGAGGTTTTTTTGCAATCGAAGTCTACATGAGTCTCTATCCAAACAGCTATCCAATCAGATAGCTGGATCAGTACCACAGTACATCTCTGACCTCTTAAATGTTTATACCGCCCCACATTTGTCATCCCTAAAACTCATTAGGGACGCGATCGAGCTTTCTCAGCTGTGTTTCCCAAATTGCGGAATAAATTCCCACTCGAGATCAAAACATCCCCCACTCTCTCTACTTTTAAACCACGTCTTAAAACTCATTTTTGTTCCTTGGTTTTTGGCTCAGCATGAGAGTTGTGAGATCTCTGTCCTTTTCTGTCCTTTTGTGGTGTTTTTATTTCATTTTAAATGTTTTTTTACCTGCTTTCATTTATTTCCTCGTGATGTTTTCTGTAGTGTTTGTTCTTTTAAATTTTACTGTGCAGCACTTCGGCAACCTGAATGTTTTTTAAAATGTGCAATATAAATGAAATGGATGGATTGGCTCTGATGCAACTTTTCGAAGATCAAGAGCTTTCTTTTGATTTCCTCCTGCAGTAGACTTAATCTTGCTGAGTCACGCTGCAAAGAACCTCCTGTGCCTTACTTGAAAAGATGCAGAGATCCGGTAGCACACATGAAAAGCTCTTTGTAAACATTTGTCTTACTGAGGTAAGACAGCCTTTCTAAGAGTGAGGCTACAGGTGGCAGAGACACGGTTGAAGCATCGGTGTAGTATACCAACAGCTCTTCAGTCTGACTGGAACAGCTGACTATGATATACTCACTGCCCTTTCTTTTGACCCCTGTGCTACACAATGATCACTTGTGCGTAGTCACAATTGACCGTGAGGCAACAGATCAAGCCTAATCTATTGAAAAACAAAATTATACAGACAAATACATCACAAAGTGGACCACATGATATGAAGCCGGTTAGGTTGCATGACTTACATGTGATCAGAGACCTTTGAAAACATTTAGTTATGGCTTCAGAAGCAGCAGGAAGGCCTGCTAAACCTACTAAACCGTGTGAAGAAAGTAGCGGCTGAATCATAACTAGACTCTAGAGCGTATTAATTGTTTTGTTTTGTCGTAGTTATACCTGACAGAGTTAGTTTCAAGAATTTAACAGATGTTTGTGAAGAGGGGGTAGAGAGAATTCCTCTTATGAGAGAAGCTAAATCCCTTTCCAGGTAGTCCTGTAATCCTCTGTTGTTTTTGATATTCTTTCACCAAGAGTCTGCTTTGTTATTCTTTCATTTCAATAATATGTTGGAAAATCCCTCGGTGTGAAATAAAAGAGGTTTGATCCCTCAAAAAAGACTTGGTAGCTTCCTCTAGATGTGTTTTTGTCATCATAGCCTCTATGTTTTTCCTGCTAATTCCCAAAGTTTTGAGTTTAATTATACTTTCACTAGAGTGGTCTGTAAACTGTTTCATACATTCATACACCACTCTATAGCCACAAATAATGCTCAGAACAGCACCTAACTTCATCAACAGGACATATAGGGTCCCAGCCATAGTACTAGCCGCCAAACATCTTTTTAACTTTGCCGGATTTCTTTAGGAAAGAGACTAAACACAACTCACCTACTCTCTTCCAGCAACCGCTTGTTTGTAGCGAGACCTTAGTCGAGTCCATTACGGACTACAGCGGGGTGACGCAGCTCAAGGAAGAACATTTATGATCATTTCTTCATGGAAATGTAATCAGAACGAGACACTAAGGTAGAAGATCTACCGTGTCAACTGTGAAAAAAATGATTAATATGATGATTATTACTTCAAGGAAATGATCATAAATGTTCTTCCTTGAGCTGAGTCACCCCGCTGTAGTCCGTAATGGACTCGACTAAGGACTCGCTACAAACAAGTGGCTGCGGGAAGAGAGTAGGGTGAGTTGTGTTTAGTCTCTTTGCTGAAGAAATTAGAAAAAGTTACAACCTGTTTGGTGGCTAGTACTATGGCTGGGACCCTATATGTCCTGTTGATGAAGTTAGGTGTTGTTCTGAGCTTTATTTGTGGCTATAGAGTGGTGTTTAGGTTGAGGTTTGTTTATGGCTCCTCAGACCGCTGTGTATTGCTATCGTGCGGTCGTTACTAAAGTTGATTTGACTAGAGAAGCAACATTCATCTCTAGACGGGGTGTCTATTAAGGTGTGTTTGACCCTAAATTAATTCTACACCAGAATATCCCTTTATTTTAGATTTTTTTACACAGCCACAGGCCAATCTGATGCAACAGCTTTACCTAAAAATGTACTTTTACAAAGTTTCTACAGTTTCATTTTTAACTGATCAGACTGATGATTACTGCAGTTCAAAAGGAGAACTTAGCTGCTTCCTGGAAGGTGGTTTTATGATCTGTTGCAGAGGATTACATCTGATTGCAGAGGTGCTCATAATCGTATAGCTGGATGGTGTATTCATCCCTTAAAGTTCATTTCTGAGTTTTATATTCATGTACATGTTGCTTAAAGGAGATTGTTTAAGTTGTTTGTGTTAAAACTTCATGTTTTTTCGATTAAAATAACACAGAAATGGTCTGTCTTGTTGTTGAAACTTATAACTAGTTCCTCTTGTGACCAAATGTCAAGTTATTTCACCAACTTCTTCATATCCGGTTCAGTTCCACGAAGAGCTGCCTAACATAAAACCAAAGGAGACATTTTATTATAATAAATTGACCCCATTATGTAACTGTTTAGTTGCCATAACACCATTAGCCTTCTAACTTCTATTAGCATGCTTAGCTAGTGGGTATGTCGCGTTAACCGAGCCCACTGACCTTGTCCCCACGGCGTGTTTACGTTAGCAAACATGCTAATGCTAACGAAATGTGGGCTTAGAAGAAAACGTCCCCCAAAACACAGCAGAGACGAGGCCGTAAAGCACTTAACATGAGCTCAAAGTTGTGTTTCTACCTTGACACAGTCGATGGGGAACATGAGGCAGTGCTCCATGATCCCGGCCACGGCTCCTGCAAACATGTGGGTGCCTGTGGAGGCTCCCTGAGGCAGCCCCTCATAGTCCGGTTCACACTCCTCTGTTTGTCCGTCCTGAGCATTGCGGGTAAAATCAACAGTCTGTAGCTCCGTTTCCCCTCCGATCCTGGGTGTCAGTCTCCCAACGATACTCTCCGAAACCCCCAGGAATCTGCCCCCCAACCATCGAACTTCTGCCCCGGCTGAGGCACCAGCAACCCCGGGATCATTGCCTGTGGTCTCCGCTGTCATCCGACGCCTCCTCACAAATCCATCTGCTTCCATGAGAAACCAGGGAGGTGATGTTCAGCCTTTAGACTCGCAGACACGGCGTCTAGTGAGATATCTGAGGCTCAAACCTTTTACATTCCCGTGGGGTTGGTTCGCAGTCGTGCCTACCACTGCGTACCCTCCTCGCCCCGATGCATGCGTCCCTGCTGGAGCCGAGCATGGGAGGCCGAGGCGGAGAAATACACACGGAGCTCGAGCAGCACAGGCCGCGACAAGGAAGTACTCTGTGATTGGCTCCTGAAACCAAGACCTAATCCCGCTATTGGAAGACGGACATGCCACTACTGTCTGGATTTGAGTGAAGAGTTCAAACTTCGTCATGTGGCACTTAAACATCAGGGGTGTACGGTGGCCGAGCAACGCCACTGCTGGCGTAAATAAAAAAGAATGCAAAAAAAAAAAAAAAAAAGAAGTCACAATGGAAGTTACTGATGCAAAAAAGAACACCACTGCTGCAAAATAAATAAATAAATAAATAAAACAAAAAAAAAGAACATCACTGCTGCAAATAAAAAAGAATGCAAAAAAAGAAGTCACAATGGAAGTTACTGACCCAAAAAAAGGAACACCACTGCTGCAAAAAAAAGAACGCCACTGCTGCAAATAAATAATACAAAAAAAGTAAAAAGAATGCAACCGCTGCAAAAAAGTAAAAAAAAAGAACACCACTGATGCAAATAAATAATGGAAAAAAAGTAAATTAATGCAACTGCTGCAAAAAAAGAATGCAAAAAGTAAAAAGAACACCACTGCTGCAAATAAAAAAAAGAATGCAAAAAAAGAAGTCACAATGGAAGTTACTAATGGAAAAAAAGAACACCACTGCTGCAAAAAAAAAGAAGTCACAATGGAAGTTGCTGATGCAAAAAAAAAAGAAACCGACACCCGCTGCAAATAAAACAAGAAAGAAGCCACAGCGGAAGCTATTGACGCAAAAAAAAAAAAAGGCGATGGAAAAAAAAGTACCTTCCTGCGAAAACAAAAGGATGCAAAAAAAAAAAAAGCCACAATGGAAGTGAGCTGCAGGGGACCAATAGTGATGGTGCACCGGTGTTTTACGATCCAGGCATAAAGGCATAACCTTTACACTTACTTCTTTGCTCATCTTTTCACCGTTGTCTACTGTGCCTACATCATAAAACATCGGAAGACGGACATGCCACTACTGTCTGGATTTGAGTGAAGACTTCAAACCTCGTCATGTGGCACTTAGAGTTTTTTCTCAGTCGCTTTGGTGCATATCTCACATCCCTTTTAACATTTGCACAACAGTTGGTGCATTTCTCAGAACACTTAGTACAAATTGCAAAACCTAGTGGGTAACCCGCAAAAGCGCGTCACTTGCTCAAAATAAATAGTTGATTCCTCAAAAGCAAATATTCTTGTCAGTGAAACTGTCTGTGTCATCAAAATAATAAGTCCTGACACTATTGTCATCATCACTTATTTAGAACAAACACAAGAAATACCAAATATTGTTTACAAATGTAAACAATATAACAGTACATATTACTGTGAACTGAACATGAATTGTTCCTGGACATTCACAGTGGATCTCCCAACATTTGGTTGCAAATGCCGACCAGCTTCAGCCATAGTGAGGCCATGATTGACAACATGGTCCATAAGTGAAGCCCTCATTTCATCAGGGATTTGCCTCTGTACTTCACCTCTTCTTCCTCTGCCCCTGTTTTGTCCCCTTCCCCTTCCTCCCCACATTCTCACCCCTCCTCCACAACACTGACCTTCCATTTTTGCGTCACAGAATTGTAGAAATGGTACACACTATGTCCAGCTTGGTTTACATATGCTTACATATGCTGAGAAATGCACCAAAGCGACTGAGAAAAACTGTAAACATCGGGGCGCAGCAAAAGTGCCATCTGTGAAGGCCATCAATAGGCGAACTGGGGTCGCTGCGAGCCATTAAAAAACCTAGTCAGTATTTACTCAGCTCTGTTTGTTTTGATTGCATTTAGTGTTATCTGTGGTCTCATTTGCAGTGTTTTAGGGTGCACCGTTTACCCACTAATGCAAAAATCAAGAACTCATTTTACACCAAAATAAATAAAGAAACCAAAATGGACTTTAATAACCTTGATCATTCCACAAGAAAAGATAGATAATTATCCACTTGTTAGTTTAAGTTCATGTTGAACTAATGTATTTGTAAAAGCTGCATCTGTGTGTGGATCTCAGCCAACCCAAGAGGTCACAGCTTTTTGATCAGTTCTGCTTTTATCAGCTGAACAATAATGAAACTATGCCTTGTGAAAGATGAGCATGTGAAGGCTGTTTGTAATTCAGCTCACTGACTTACTCACCACTTAACTAAGCCTGTCTCCCATTTTCATTAAGTTTTATAGGCCTTTTAAACAAAAGGTACCTTTACTATCGAGCTTATTTGCCAAATTTGCACAACTAAACATCAAATGTGCTTTTTCATAAGTGTTGTAGAAATGTTACTTTAAGAATGAGGAAAAAAACAAGAGTATATTATAAAATAAATCATACAGATTGTTGTTTATTGAAAAAAGAAAACATTTTCTGGGGCTTTTAACTTTGACAGACTCATTATTCACCATCCAGTCAATGTTAATGTTGTCAAAAGAATCATTTCCCATGAGAAACATATTTTTATACAGCTTAAGATAGTGAAAGTGTTATCATATAAAGATGCACATTTCCAATAAGCCAAATTAAGGCAGAAGATTTTTGCATGATAAATTAATATAACAGTGCAGAATTATACCACATCTACCCCTTGATTTCTAGGAAATAGTTTCTTAAAAGACATATTAGTGTTTAATTTCTTCACTAGAGTCTTACCCTCTGAAAATATATTTGCCACCTGTTTTGGTTTCAGTAACTAAAGAGTCCTTTATGACCCTTAAATATTTTTTTCCCTGCACTATAACACATTTTTGCTCTCCTTAAAGAATAGCCTGTATTTCATATTTCTTTCAATGCTGGACGGTAGCAGGGAGAAGGTGCCTAGAGGTGAAAGGAGAACTTTATTGTCCAACAAAATCAGGTAATTGTGTTATGACATAATTGAATTTCCTTCTTTATTACTGGGGAGAGCCTTCAAGGGCTGCGGTGTTAAATTTCTGCAGACAAAGGAGAATGAAGTGTTAATTTCTGCTTACAAGAAGAAAACCTCCTGCTCCTGATCTGGTTAAGGCTGACTGTCTGTTGCCCACAGACGTTTCTTAAAGGAAAACTGAGCAGACTACAGATCAGGATCATTTCTCTTCTCTGAAACTAATGCTTCTCCAATACACCAAGAGAGAGGTATGTCAGCGTGAAACATGAGATCACCATAACACCTCATTTCATTTACTCGGCACAGAGAGTGCACAATCTACACAAGCCACAGGAATTATTTTACACTGTCTAAGCAAAACAAAGTCCGAAATTCACATTATGTAGAGACAAGATGGGGTTATAACTTAGTTATGTTCTGCTGTGTTTGAATGTTTTTGTTTTTGAATTAACACCCTCCCTTCCTCAGATCCCAGCAGACCATCTCCTTCTCCTTTTATGTCTTGGACTTGAGATGATCTATGGCCTCTTATCTCATTGATGCATATAGTAAGTGAACCACTAGGCCAATATGACATCTTCAACAGCAGCACTAAGAAACCATTCTGGTGTTAAGAGCTCATCATCAAACTCTTAAGGTGAGCTCTTACTGTCAGATCGCTTGAGCAGAAGCCCAATACAACTTGGAGAGGACACAATTGAATGATTCCTTTGTAAGATTTTATATTCTTAAATGTAAAAACAGCTTCAAAATGAGCTAGAACTAAAGATTTAAGTTAACCTTTATCAGAGCAGACTCAAGGCATAAGCTAACTACACGCCTGCTTCGGGCCTCACGGCCAGTAGGGGGCCCCCAAGAGCAGACAAAAAAAGAAAAAAATTAAAGATTTTTTATTTTTTGCATGTATGAGTGATGTTTTCTGTATGATCAAATATATATTATTGTAAAATTAAAATAAAGTAAAATTATTTTAGCGCTGCTGATGTAGGCCCATGATTCTTTCTGCTGATGACACTTTTACATTAAACACAATGCTTTATCAATCATGTTTTATCACTTGGATTGATGTGAAAATCAACCCCAGGCTGCTCTTGTAGCTGAATGTGTTACATTTTGAGATTAAAAACCATATGTGGCACCCTAAACATCATTCATCAGTCATTCATTGGTATTATTTGTATGGTTGCATTAGTATTATTTATGAACTGACCTAGGCCACCCCCTTAAATGTGTAAAGACATCAATCAATCAAACTTTATTTTTAAAGCCCTTTTCATACATTGAATGTAGAACAAAGTGCGGTCCATTTATGCAGGATATTAAAAGACAAAAAAAATAATAATACAAATACCAAACCCCACCCACAGTCCCAACTCCCATTCAACACATACAGCACTCACACACATAGATGCACACACAAAAGACCACAGATGACTGAGGAAACACTATCTTGAGTTAAAGAAATGAGGAAACACTGGATCTAGGACTAAAACAATAAAACCATGATTAAAATATAATAAAGGTGATAAAGCATTAAAAGTTAAATAAATAAAAGTCTTAAAATCAAACAATAAAAAAAGAGTAAAGTAATAAAAAGAGGTAATAAAACACAAAATAATTACTCTTGGACTAAAATAGCGTAAAATCACATAATGCAGAGGACCCCAAAATCAAGTTTTGCTTGGGGCCCCATTGAGGCTTGGGAAGGCTCTCACCTTTATTCAAAAACATTTATCAATTTTCCAAAATCTGGAAAGAGAGAATAAGAAATTCAGATGACAGTTCTTTGAGTATTCATCCATTATCTTTTAACCAATCAAACTACATGCAGTTAAGTAAAAAAAAAAAGAGTGAAACCAGATTATCTTCATGTAAAAGATAGAGGTTTGAAATGGTTGTGTGTTGTCTGTGGACTTGTGTGACTTTGTAGTTAAAGTAAATGGAACTACGCTGCCCCCTAGTGGATTAATTGAGAACGGCAGATTGGTTAAGTAATAATCATAGGCCCATGTGCTTTAACACAATATAGTCTATGCTGAATCTTTATCTGCTTTTATCCACTCACACCGACAGTCTTCATTCATGTGCCTCCAGATAAACTCTCAAAATCACAGTCCACGTCACTTTCGCGCACATGTGTGGCCTCTTTCCACATTCCAGCAGGAAACCCGGATCTACTTGACGCGGTTCTAGGGTGAAAAGAGGAGGGACCGACGCGGGATTCCTGCTTCAAACTCCCTCCATGGCTGCAGCGGTGTGGACTGGCCGAGGACGCAGGGCTGTGACTGTCGTGGGGACACTGACCAGATCAGGTTCCAGTCAAGCGGCTGTGAAATCCCAGTATGACGCACTGGTCATCGGAGGAGGTGAGATCTGAGAACTAATGTGCAGAAAAAAACACAGAGTCTGAGTTGCAAAACGGCAACCGCTGTAATTCTGCAACATTGCAACGTACAGTACTTGAGAAATTTGCATAAGTTTTTCTTGACTCTTCATGTTTGAAACCGTGACTCAGTGGAAAAAGATCCGGATCTTTTGAATTGTTTTCTCTTGAGTCATATGATTAAAATTTTATCTCAAATGCTCAACTTTGGACTGTTTAAGTTTGACAAACTGAGTAGGAGCCACATTAAGCTGAATTTAAGTAGAAAATTGATTGATTGTCTGACAGGTGTTTTAATTCTTTGCAGGACACAATGGACTGGTGGCAGTAAGTTCATGCATTCGTTTTCCCAACATCTACAGTAAACTGTTGACAGAAAAGGCTCAGCCAGAGGGTAAAGGTCAAGTGTGATTGTGTGTGTGTGTGCAGGCTGCTTACCTGCAGAAAGGAGGACTGAGGACAGCAGTGCTGGAGCGCAGACATGTGCTGGGAGGAGCAGCTGTGTCAGAGGAACTCATCCCTGGTGAGGCGGCCTCAATCTTGTTGTTGAACTCTGGTCACAAAGGGTCGCTTATCTCTGTTATCTCAAAGTTTTATCTCCATAGATACAGGTGCTTCTTCGTAGCCTATTAAACCAGGAATCTATTAGAAAACTGTTGGCAGAGATTAATGTAAATTGTTCAGATCTAGTCTCAGACACTCTTTTGCATTACATCCCATTAACTATTTGCATGTCTTGGTTCCTCTGTTTTTATCTGCAGAGATGTGCACTTAGATTTTAATGTTTTAAGACGGCATCAATGTGTAAAGTGTTGTGAAGTCATATTTAACGGCCTAAATGCTTTGTTTTCAGGTTTTCATTTCTCTAGATGTTCCTATTTGCTCAGTTTATTAAGGCCACACATATATGCAGACCTGGAACTTAAGGTAAACAAACCGATAAGTTTGTTCTGGAAAAGTTTTACTGACCGGTGTAGAAGGGGCTCAGTCTTTTTTTCTGCATTTATATTCAGAAACATGGGCTGAAAGTGTACATGAGGGACCCCCATGCCTACACCCCTATGTTGGAGGATGGGGTAGGAGGTGCCCCACCAAGATCGCTCACCCTGGGCTCAGATCTGGCCATGAACCTGAAGGAGATTGGGAAGTTCTCACAGAAGGATGCTAAGGTAAATTAACCAGTATCATACACTGCTCTCTTACAGATTTATCCTAACTTGTATTTTACTCTCACCTTCATCTTTAGGCTTTTCCAGATTTTGTTGCATACCTTGAGAAGCTCGCAGAAGCCATCCACCCTCTCCTTGATGCTCCTCCTGTTGACATTCCTGGTGTCACCTCTGGATCTCTGAGGAAGAGGGTGGCTGCAGCTAGAACCCTCATGCCTATCATCAAATGTGGTGCGTTGGCAGAGGTTTGCCTAAGATATAAGACGTAGTGTCACTTTTGTTTTGCACCATAATTGACTTGTGTTTTTTGGATCTAAAGGAATGAAACTTGGCACAAACATTCCAGACTTTTACGAGATTATAACAGCACCAATCATGAAGGTTTGTAAGAGCTCACACAGTTTTTAGCAGTCTTTATTGTTTTCTGTTAAAGGCTAAATGTTTTGTTTATGTTTTCTTGTCATAGATCCTAAATCGGTGGTTTGAGTCAGAGCCACTGATCGCTACGCTAGCTACTGATGCTGTGATAGGAGCCATGACCAGCCCAAGCAATCCTGGTAGTGGGTAAGACACCAAAGAAACTCAAAACTGCAGGTCAAATGTGCACAAAGCTACAGATTTACCACTCAAATGAACTCAAATGAAGGTTTACTTTGACCATGAATACACAATTTGCAGATCATTTAAATGACCAATTTAAAATCTGAGATCAGGTAAATCTTTAATGCTGCTATGAGGAACTTGGTTTGTGTCGGTTGTGTTACCTCACATGGACAAAGCGACACCTCTGTCTTATCCTGTATGTATCTAGCATTGTCTGCAGAGTGTGAAATTTCTCAAAAACTGTGATTTTATCATCCGTCCTTGAAGGTATGTGCTCCTGCACCATGTGATGGGAGAGGTAGAGAAGGAGAAAGGAGCGTGGGGATATGTGGAGGGAGGCATGGGAGGTGTGTCTCAGGCTATCGCCAGTTCTGCTCGATCCCACGGTGTGGACATTTTCACTGAAAAGGTAATGCAGCTTTGTTGTAATTCAGTTCGCCCTGACGTCACTTGAAATCAGCGCGCTTGCATTTTGGTCTTGATGAACACGTGTGTGTCCTTGACAGGATGTGGAGCAGGTCATCGTCGGTTCAGACGGTGCTGCCAAAGGGGTGGCGCTTAAGGATGGCACAGAAATCCACAGTACAGTTGTTCTATCGAACGCCACCCCGTATGTAACCTTCAAGAATCTCACACCTCAGGTAATCATCCAAAACACACACCATGTTTAACAATGGCATTATGTACTTTAGCTTATTCCAGTTCATGTTTTAATTACAGGCTGCTCTTCCTTCAGAGTTCATCAAAGCTGTAGACCAGATAGACTACACCTCGCCTGTTACCAAGATCAATGGTAAATCTGTTATGTCTATGTTTCATAAAGCAAAACTCAGAAGTTTAACTCGTAATACACGTCTTTCAATTAAATCACATATATGAACAAGGGACGGCTGGGTAATACTAGCATGGATGGTGCTACAGAAATCTGGAAGGAATGAAACAAAGACACGTCAACCGCAGTTATAAAAGTGAAAAAACAAAACATGATTTCATTTTTTTAAATAACCTAAGCTGTAAGAACCATGACGGAACCACATTTTCATCAAAACAAAGCTCAGAATCAAGATAAACACCCATCATTATTGCTGTCAAGTAATTTGACTTTAAAAAACATCTGATGTGGTAAACAAAGATTTCCAGTTTAACATTGTTGAGTTTATTGAAGTTTCCAAACTAATCAGAAACTTAGGCTTTGAGTTGAGTTCAACTACTATGAAACTCAATGACTATGTCTGAGAACTGTGTGTAAGGGGATACATATAAATAAAGAAAAGCAATGGACCCAAGATTGAGCTTTGATGAACTCCATGAAGAGGAAAACTCAAAAAGGGAAAGAGCTTCAGGTTACGGGGTGATTTGACTGCTTATAAAAAATAAAGATAACCTCATGTCCAAGGCTGCTTGTAAAATAATAGTAACTGATGACATTTTTGTGGCATGACTGTGACGTTTTTCTCTTTCAAACTCTCTTCTAGTCGTATCAGCCCCTCATATTTAGTTGCTGTGTAAGAGTTTCCTTGATTGTATTTTTAAGGTGATTTTTTAGTCATACTTTAGGCAATTAATCAGATTTCTGTGTGTCCTAAAACAACTACATATATACTCCAAGAGTGTCCTGTGTGGTGCCATTTGTTGCTCAAGTCTGATTACTACTCAACTCCGAAGACGATATGATGGTCAACTGTGTCCTGAGAACTTAAAGCACAGCTTAATCTATGTCCATTTTTAGTTGACCTGATTTGAATTCAAACACTTGCGGCACACTTCTAGCTGTTCCAAAAGAGCTTTGCATAAAATGTCAATATAATTCCAGAGCAAACACTGATTGCATGTCATTGTCTTTGGTGTGGTCGGTTTTGATAGTGGCTGTGGACAAGCTGCCAAACTTCCTGGCAACTCCCACTCCAGATAACAAACCAGGGCCCCATCATCAGTGCTCCATCCATCTCAACTGTGAGAGTGTGGAGGTGCTGGAGACGGCGTACAAAGAGGCCATGAACGGGCGTCCCTCAGCGAGGTGCGTGAATCTATAACCTCCAACACGACTTCAGTGAAAAGCCAAATTATTCACCAGTACCTACTCCAACTCTGCACTCTCCAACTCCTACTTCCTTCATGTATTTCCTGGATTCCTGCAGACCCATGCTGGAGATGACCATCCCCTCAGTGTTGGATCCTACTTTGGCTCCCCCTGGCTGCCATGTGGTGTCACTATTCACCCAATTCACCCCCTACCACATTGAGGGCAAGGAGTGGACTGACCAGGACAGAGAAGCTTACGCAGACACTGGTTTGAACTTTAAAATAATCCCAACTGTATGAAAGTAGTTATTCTGAAAAAAAAAGATTTTTTTAACTCATGTAGGAGATCAGGAGTTTGTGTAGGGAAAAACCCTGGTAAAGGGATATTCTGGCGTAAAATTACTAAATTACTTTAAAATTGGTTGGTATAACTAGAGAAGCAAGCGGTCGGCAACATTCAACTCTCAAGGGGGTGTCTAACTCGGTGTTACGGTGTGTTTGACTCTAACTTAATTTTACGCCGGAATATCCCTTTAAGGAGAAAAACTGCTCCCACTGATTAATCAGTCTATCTCTAGGACAGATACCTCAAAGCAACATTTGGATAATGAATAATAAATGTACTGTTTGTCCCTGTCTCCTCAGCATTTGACTGGGTGGAGAAATACGCCCCTGGTTTCAAAAGTTCTGTGGTTGGCAGGGACATCCTGGCTCCGCCTGACCTGGAGAGGATCTTCGGGCTGACAGGAGGGGTACAAACACAAACACACACACACAGAGAGGACACTGTAAAGTGAACAGAAATTTGAATGTTGATTTACAGCTGTTTCTCCTGACACAGGCAACTATTCAGTGGATGAGGAAGTAATTTGCGTCCTCTCAGAGTTTGTCTGCTCAGGGACAGACCTGTTGTGTAAGCAGTTAATGATTGCTGACTTTTACCACCAGTCATGAGTCACAGTCAAAGTTCAGATCAGCCGTGTGAAGTGACAGGGACATACAGAATGATATAAGCTTCTGTTTATTACACAGAACTTTATGATGTGCTGAGCAGCTATCAAAATCAGCTATAAAAAGTTGTGCAAATATTTTGCTCTTCGCAGAACATCTTCCACGGATCGATGTCACTGGACCAGCTGTACCTAGCCCGACCCTTGCCCTCTCTGTCAGACTACCGTACACCAGTTAAAGGGCTGTATCTGTGCGGCAGTGGCTGTCACCCAGGTTTGCTTCCAATACCAAATCCTCAGCTGAGAATCAAACTGCAAATGTGACTAGTTTTTATGTCATATATGTGTTTAATGCTTTCTCTCAGGTGGCGGTGTGATGGGTTCACCTGGATGGAATGCTGCGCTCATTGCCATGGCTGATCTGAAGCGTGGCTGAAACATCAGGCCGCATCAAACACGAATCTCATTGATATCAACCTTAAATTTCCTGTCACTCCACCTCTTTCTGAGCAGCTACCAATCCAAAGTAAAATGTGAGCAATGTTTGTAAAATGATCTGAAATTTAAAAAAGACCAAAATAATATTTCAATCATGCCGTTAAAAGCTTAATACCTCTCTTGGTCATAAAATGAAGGGACATCACTTATTTAGTCTTTAAAGCCTCTGTGAGGAGTTTTTAATCATTTTTATAGATTGGAATTAACAGCGAGGGCTTTTGATGACCAGAAGAACAAACAACCATTGGGAAATAGACAGACAGTTTATATACAATCTTTTTTTAATGCAGTGGAAGAGCTAAGTGCCAGAAAAGAGGCTTTACAGCATGGTGATTAAACACTATTTACTGCAACAGAAATCAAGATGAGATCTATTGTCTGAAAACTCATCTTACGCCTCAGCCAGCAAATTCTATAAAGGGATAAGACATCTCACTTTGTCTTCATGGGGTACTCAAATTCCCACAGAAAAAAAGTTCCTGACAAGAACTTTAACAGCAACACAATCGGGGTGCTAAAGACAAATGGATTTTATAGAATAATTCACCCGTGCCTTAAAGAAATAAGCCAAAACTGTGATGAAAATAATGACGCACAATAGAGCCTTTGTTCAAGCATGTATGAATAAACTAAAATGAATTCAAATGTGTGTAGTTTCCTCTATATATAGTGGTGTTTGGGATCTATGATATATGTAGAAGTGGTATTAAATCTTGGGATATAGGATGAAGTTAAAAAAGGTTTGATACTTGAATCTGTCACAATTAAGTAATTGAAAAAAGTATAAACAGGAGGGGAGAGTGGGGTAAGTTGAGCCACCCCCAGCTGCTAGGAAATGGTAAAAAAAAAGTTGATCATGTGTCCATATATTTAGGAGATGGACATCAATTCATGGAGTCTGTGAAGGTTAGAAGCACATTAGTGAAGAGGTTAGACATTTATTTTCCAAAAAACATTTTTTACTCTTGAAAGTGAATTTAGTCCGTCATAATTTTTATTAAAATTGTGTTCAGACCAAAAAAGATCATTTTAAATTTGTTTTATACATCAATTGTGATATCTATGAGCTACAACATGAGGTCAAAAACCTAACATAAAAGTCCACCATTTTAGCTTAGAGGACTAATAAAGTCATAATAGTAGTTCTGGCGTAACTGAGTAATAAATATTATTTATTATCAATTATTATTGTATCAGTTGAATAGCGTATAATAGATAAAAATACACATGAATGTGGAAAAAGTGACTGTTATTTAGGGAGAGAGAAGGTGAGGGAGGGCTGGGGTGGAGAGGGATACGGTTCAACTTACCCTGGTGCTATGGTCAACGTACCCCATTCTCAAGGTAAGCTGACCATAGGAGACCACTTTCTTTTGGCATACTATATTATCAAGACAGTTCTGTTTACACTCATTCTGTTGGTTTGCAGGGATGAACAACATCTTGAAATATATGCAGATACACTAGTTAGAGACAATACTATGACTGACTTGATGTAGTGATCTAAATATGAAAAATGGCTCATCTTACCCCGCTCTCCCCTAGGCCTACGAAGCTTTTCTGCTTTCTATGAATTCTTCTATCCTCTATTTTGGCTTTTGATTATGTATGATTATATATCATAAATATAACTGTGAATGAATTATTCCCTTAATACTTTGTTCACATAAAAAACGCCTTGACACGTCACCCTGAGCTGGTTTGATCTCCCTGTGATAACATCTGAATCAGTCGATAATCAATTGCGGGTGTTGCTGTACCTTTAAGACGCTGCTCAGGGTGGACCAACGTCTGAGTTTGACGCTCAGGAAGTGCTCTCAACCACCAAAGATTCCCGCAGATTCGCTGCCCCGATGTTATAAACGTGCTCACCCCCGAAGCCGAAGCTTGTTTTGGACGTTTTTTTGAGGGATTATCGAGAGGATAATGCTGGATGGTTGCGCTCATGAAATTCACCAGAGATATATGCAGGCTGCTGGGACTCGGGAGTGGTAAGTCATGTCCTAGTTTTCAAAAAGTTTCTAAACTCTGCCACAAGTTCAGCCGAAGTGATAACCACACGATTAGGACAATAAAACCACCCTAAATGCGACCAAAAGTGACTTTGACACTGTATTTTAACACAGCGGATGTTAAAATTCGTGTTTTTGTACATGAATTCAGTCTTAGTCCTGGGTCAGACAATGCGAGCTCCCCTCCAGTCTGTTACACCCTTTACTTCCAAGTTCGCTAAGTCGGTGCCAAGTTTTTTTTTCTGTCTCATAATTACGAATCTGAAAACACACTTTCCCAGACTACTAAAGCCGTGCTGCCAAAAATAACACAACTTACAAGTCCAGGTCCAGGAAATGTGCGTGAAAATCCCCAAACTTATCGAGATAAGAAGAACATTCCCCGCTACATGTTGGTATGGTAACAATGCCTCAAATAGGTGGTAAGAGCTGCAGCCCTCAACATGCAGAGGGCCATATCTAAAGACAGACAGACAGACAGAGGAGTATGAAGCCTCATGTCTTTAAAACATGTCATGTGCCCACACTTTGTTCCTCTTCTTTGTTCCCTGTGTCTGTTTGGTTTCTCAACACTAATATCAACTGTAGAGCAGGTTGGTTTACTGGGTGACTGACTATTAAAACCTCAACATATACAGATTAACATTTTAGCAGAGCTCTTCCAACTGGGGATGCAGGAGTAAATCCTCTGAGCCTTTCTGTCAGCCGATATCAGCCCTGTTGACAGATACCAGCTAAACAATGTGGTACCGGATATATGTCTGTTGGCAGCCATAGATCCAGTGATTAATTGCTGGTAGTCTCTTGTTTAAGGCTAGCTTCCTTTAATAAACAAAGTAAATAGAAACAGAAGATAAATCATTCCTTCAAAAACACCCAACAAAATAATACATATGTACACCAAACAACTGTACATGTCAAAGATACATTTAAACAACATATGTCAAAATAAACAGTTTGAGAAGCAACAGAATGAAGCAAAGATCTGTACAAATACCTACAAATTATACACAAGATATCTGGGGCCTGTTCTACGAAGCAGGATTACTGCTTAGCGAGGTAACTTCGAGGGTAAATTCGGGGTTTCCTGTTCTACGACGCGGGTTCACTTCTTAGTGAGGTGAGTCTCCATGGCAACGTAAGCTGAACGGCTAACCTGCTCCGGGGCAGGTCAGGTTCCAGATTTAACTCATCGAGTATAAAAACCCCGCCCACTGACCAATGAGCTCTCTCGAAAAATGGCCTGTCCGTTCTTGGAGGATCCTATAGACCTCGGTGTTCGCATTGTCCGAGGAGCACTCCAGCGCGCAAGAGTTTTCAGGGATCGCACGCACCCACTTACTTTTCTAGATGACCACTTTTATGAAAGGCTCATATGCCCGACATATCACACAAACAATGTAAACACGATAGGAATGAACAAATAAATGAATTCATCTTGGAAATGAATTAGACATGTCTGGTAACAAAGCTGGATCCACTTACAAGGTTGATAACCAGCATCGTAAGACCGTTTAGCGAGACCGCTGGCTACCGCGCTAAGTTGAGCGTGGTCGCTTCAAGGCCACCTCGCTAGGTTGAACTTGCTTCGTAGAATAGGCCCCTGCTCAACACTACATAGGTTACTTAGAATTATTTGCATATTATAATAATAATCAGTGTTGTAATATTCAAAATTAATATTACTTCTATGCAATCAATGATTAATCGCTGGTAATCTCATGTTTTAGGCTGGTTGCCTTAGTAAACAAAGTCAATAGAAACAGAAGCTAAATACTTTCTTTATCTCTAACTTAAGGAACAACAACAACAACAACAAAAATCCAACTAGAAACCAAAACACCAAACAAAATAATACATATGTACACCAAAAAAACAGTGCATGTCAAAGATACATTTACACAACATATGTATGTCAAAATAAACAGTTTGAGAAGCAACAGAATGAAGCAAAGAATGAAACAAATATCTGTATAAATACCTAAATATTATACACAAGATATCTGCTCAATACTACATAGGTTACTTAAAATTGTTTGCATATTATAATAATAATAATCAGTGTTTTAATATTCAGAATTAATATTACTTCTATGCAATCAAGTATATCTAGTATAAAACCATATTTTTTTGTTAGTTTACTCATATTAATATTCTAATACTTCTCTATCGTTTGATTTAAATCTTTTTATGTTATTGGACATTTTTAAAGTGACATCCCTAGCACTAACATTTTCTGTTTGCATTAACCCTTTATTTTTACCGTATTTTTCGCACTATAAGGCGTACCTGATTGTAAGGCGCACCATCAATGAACGCGTCTATTCGCGTCTACAGTCAGATAAGTCAAACTTTATTTAACTCATTCAATGACTCTGTGAGGCTACGGTAGCTGCAGTGCTCCGACAAGCCAAAAGGATTTTAAGTGCGCCTCACAGTGTGAAAAATACGGTACTTTAAGTTATTTTTCTATTTAACTAATATCTTAATAATTTGTTTGACAATTTTTAAAAGTAAAAAAAAAAATACTTAAGGCCGTGTTCAGACTGGGTAAGTGCCTAAGATGTCCTTAAGGAAGTTAAAAAGGCGTATTGTAGAAGCTCTTTTTCATAAAATAAAGAAAAAAATGTGACAGGGAAAAAGAAGGATCTGTTTAGTGTGAAAAAAGTGATTAATCAAAAGATGTTTTGATAACGCTTTGATAACCGTAAAAATGTATAATCAGTCATTAAAATGAAACACTGGGATCAGAATTGGCCTCGATTCTCTCAAATGGTGCATCCTTATTTTCTTCCCTGTGTCACCGTGACATGCACTGAGCCGTGGAGAATCGGACTCAAAGTTTTTCTTTCCTTTTGAGGTGTCATAACACTCCACATGTTTGAAGCCATGCATTTCAAAATACAGATGATTCATTTAACATATTATTATTTTAGTCATTCAAAAACACCTGTCACCTGAAACTACATACACCCGATCCAGCAGTGACTGTCTAAACAAAAGGCGTGTTAATGTATCTGATAGTTTTTTTTTGTTATATATATATAAATAAGGTCAAGTATCAAGGATGGAAACTGTTGACACATTGCTTTATCCTCACACAGGGCTACAAATGCACAAAGTATAACACAACACGTATACACATGAGACAGTAAAAACACAAGACCGAAACTATCATACAATAAAACAACTGAAAATACAGTTTGAGTTTGAGTTCGATGAAATTTTAGTCCTGCTGCTGAGAAATTACAGTTTGTCCCCTGAATAAGAAACAAATAATCCGCGATGAGCACCTTACAAGCCCAGTCAGATGTTCTTGTTCGGTAAAGGGCCACATTGACACATGGTTCTGTAAAAAAAAAGCTGTGAAGTTGATTTCCTGGTTAAACCTCCTATCTGACACTGTTATTTAGCATTCCTGTGGAGAGAGCTCACCTTTTTAACTCCACATCAGCTCAGGCTGTGTCCTTGAAGAGGGGAAACAGAGAGTCTTTTGTTAGGTTTTCTTGGATCATTTATCTGTTAGGTGGACATTCCTTTATGGTTTAGATTGAATACAAAGCGTTGACTCAGCTAATGAGATGGAGCTGTGCTTGTTTAAGAAGTGAGTTGGACACAGATGGCTGACGTTGCTTTCACTTTCTAGAGATCCTGACTCCTGAGCAGTAGACTGAACCAAAGTAAAAGTGCAACCATGAGCTGTTTTAAGTCGCTGTATCTTCCATCAGTTACCGAAGAGATGTTTTGAAGTCAAACAATAGTGGGCGCCGTGTTGGAAATGTTGACTCTGTTTGACTTTCTGTCAGTGTACAAACAGGCAAAGAGGTGGAGCTGAGGCTGGCTTGTTTAAAAAAAGGTATAAAGCACCAACTGGACTGCAACTTTCTGTATGTACTGTATTTGTTCAACTCGTAGCTTTGTAAACATCAACAGATAAGCAACATACTCAAAGCTGTGGGGTCAACATTATCTACATCTATACATCCAAGTCATTTTATAAACACCTCTGATAATACTGTGGGCTGCCTTAACAACACTGGTGATGAATTCAACAAGTGCTTAGCGAGTGTTGGCTTTACTTGGCAAGAAAAATTACAGTTCCTGATGACAAAAAAGACATAATAATATTAGTTTAATGAGTCTTATGGGGAAAGATAAACAGATTTGATTGAAATTATAAGAAAATTGGAAAACAAAACATCAACCGGCAAACATTTCATTGAAATACTTATTAGAGAAGTTGTTAATCCTTTTGTCTGATCTATATAAAATAAATTTTCCTTTAAAAAAGAACATAGCAAAGATAATTCCAATAAAAAAAGAGATAACTATCACAGGTAATATTATAGATCAGTATCCTGTGTTAAAATATTTTAGATTTTTTTTTTTTTTAATGATTGAATCTGTTCATCTGTAGAAATAAATAACAGAGTAAAAACCAGCATGGATTTGAGGAAAACAGAACCACTTCTACTCAGTAATGCAAACAGCTTTTGATATGATAGATCACAGACATTTGTTGAGAAAAACAGAGTCGTATGGGGTACGAGGCAGGGCTCGACAGTGCAACCTTTTCACACGCATTTGCGACTAGAAATAGATGTGTGTGAATCGTAAAATATATTTAGGGGTGTGTGTGCATAAAAAAATTAGCCAAGGCAACAAAGTTTTAGGTTGGATATCCGACGAACATCTACTGCGGATCTACCAGTGTCCTCTCACTCTCCATAACCGGGAATAACAACAGCAGCACGGTTAAATCTACTCGGCACCCTCGCTGTCAACTTCAAGTGTTGAATAAGGGACCATCAATAAATTACTGGTTGATGTTCTCAGATAAGGCTGTCTTCCTTCAGTAGCTTCCATGTCATGTGACCGATTGACCTAAAATTGATTTCGAATAATAGTACTTTGTCAACCAATAAGACACACAATATTTGATCAATTTTCATTGTGCCCCTAAAGTTGCACATGTGCTCCTTTTGAAAAAAAGTGAGTGTCAAGCCTTGGGTACGAGGTATCACTTATTCTTGGACGGAAAGCTCCAATCGACAACAGTGTTTACATATTACCTGTGGAGTACCACAAGGATCTGTGTTTGGCCCAAAATAGTTTACTCTTTCTATCAGTGATATTTGCAGTGTTGCTAATTATTAAAGTATATTTTTTCTTTAAGGTGATTTACATTTATTTAGATGTGGTAAACATTTCAAAGAACTTTTGTGTGGTGTTGAGAACAAGCTGAATATTCTTAAATCTTGGTTTATATAATCAATGACAGAAAAAGGGAGGGCGGTGAACTCGTTCTTGTGTCCTGTCTTTAATAAGAAGTGTTGTAACTAAAACAAAAGAACTCATTCTCGCAGATAAACGTTACTGAGCTGAGGAAGGATTGAATTCACTCGCATCAATTAGTTGCCAGTCACAACATGAGTCAGAGACAAAGAATGAATCTGTCACTCCACTTCCTGAACACTACAGAAATCTGACACTGCACAGATTCCTGCGTTATGCTGTTTGTCTTTGTCTCAAAACAAGCCACAGCTCTCTGATTGGATCTGTTCTAGCACCCCAAACTCTCCAACATCTCTTCAGGGGAGTGGTTGTTTTCTACTGAGTTCCTGAGCACAGATATCATGTTCTCCAACAGCTGTTTTACAGACCGCTGTGCCTCATGTTGGGTCTGTGCAAATGTTGAAATGAGAGCACACTCTGGAGCTACCTGGGTCAAATCTCTCTGAGCCGTTTCTGTTCAGTTTCTGTTTCATGTTCCCGTCTCTTCTTTTTTTTTTTTTATAACAAAGCATTATGTCAACGTTTCCTGTCTCCACCCAGAGTCATTTAGATTACAGCTCTGTGTTATCAAAGGTCGAAGTGGTTAGACCTGAAGGAGATCTACATGTATTTGCCGCCCAGATGATCCATGTTTCCTTTTGTTCGGCTGTAACATTTAAAAGGTCATATATGTTTATTTAAGAGCCTTGTCAGTTACAACATGCTGCACCGAGTCATTTTTATGTGGAGGGTGTTTGCAGCTAAACGCTCTCACTTTGCAACCCATTAGCACCTTATAAAGCAGTGAAGATTGCTTTCTGTTCAGACTATTCTTGTGCGCTGTAACATTTAAAGACATTTCTCTAAATCAGAGACAAAAACTAGGCCCTAAAGAGCTCATGTGCTGACTGTGTTTGTCCCATCAGGCCCCCCTGTCCAGCAGCAGGAGGAGCAGATGGACTGCGGTGCCGCAAACCCTGACCCAAGCAACGATGCCACTTTGTCCCAGGTAAACAAGACGTGTGTGTCAGATTGACAGGGCATTGTCAGGACTGTGATGGTGGAAGATCAATGTGCAATGTTCAACTCTGTGAGTTTGTGTGTGTTTAGGATGTGTTAAACGGAGAAGAAGATCTGAGCGAGGAGGAGAAGGCCAGACGGAGGGCGGAGCGTCGTAAAGCCAAGAGGAAGGTCGGCATGTTATTGTGACATTCTGCTCTGCAGTGTTTATCAATGAATGCATGGAGAGGATCAGAGGGTGTTGCTCTGGATCAAGGTTCAGTTTTACATCAAGATCCAAACAGGGTCGGCGATGTTGATTATTTTATTCTGAGTGGAAAATTATCGTCCAGAAAGTCCTAAAAATCTCTAAATATTTCATCACAATTCAGAGTTTATCAAACATTTTTAAAGGCTGCAGTAACATTGTCTTCAAAATGACTTTTTATGTCTTGTATTGCCGGTGATTCCCATCCCAAATGAACACTTTGTTTTCTTATTTTACAAAGCTTTAAAGAACAATGTCTTATCTTATGATTTTTAATTCACGTAGGTACGTCCCGTCCTGGGATTGTCACTGAGGGGTGTGGTTTCGGGATGCTTGGCGGGTTATTTAAATCTCACCGTTTTCGTCGGACAATAGGTTTTTCCATAAGCTCTGATAATTTTCTGTTGACTGTTTTTCACCGTTTCACTCTTCCTGTTTTAACCTCATTTTTTTCATCCCTCTTTTCATTTGAAGGTAAAAGTTCTGGACCTGGATCAACGTGTTTTCTTTTCTTTAAATCACTTTTTTAACACTCAAACTGGACTGATAATTGAACGAGTCACAGATGCAAGCGAACCTAAACCCCAGCAGCCTTTTTTGTTGAAGGAAAGCAGTCGCTACAAGTTTGAAGGTGCAAAAGCAACGGCTCCTTTCAGGATCTATAAAGTTGTTACTGACTGATGTTCTTCATTTCTTTTAGCGCCGCCGAAAACGCAAGAAGCAAGAGCAGGTCAAGCAAAATGAGAACGCAGATCAGGTAACTGTCGCGTTTTTATTTAAAGCGTTTCAATCTAACTTTTCTTCTTACTGTGAGTAAAAAAAATACATTCATACATTTTGTTTATAAGGATGATGAAGACGAGAACGGAGGTGCAGAGTCTGAACTGGATGAGAGTGAGTCGGAAGCAGAAGCTGGCGCCGAAGATGAGAAAGTACGAATGCAAAAAGTGGTTGAAGAAGAGGCCAAGTTAGCTGCCTCATCCAAGGACATCGCCGCACCAGTCATGACCTCGACAGGAATCAAAGGACATCAGAAGACCCAAGCCAGATCTACTGAGGAGGTATCAACACTATTAAGTATGCTTAAAATCCTCGCTGTTGGTGTACTTGGTGACATGCTGTTGAATACTAACCAATGTCTGACTCTGTCCCTCAGGAGCCAGAGTGGGATGTGAGTAGTGCCTTCTTTGCCAATGCTGCTAGCCATATCAAACCCAAAGGATCGAGTCGCAAGTCCAAAGAAAACAAGGAGAACGAGGCCAGGAGAGAGGTGAATGAAAGCGAATGGATCGTTTATAAAGACGACTGTGTGAATAACTGTCCGTAAATTTCTCTGTGACACTTCCAAAGTGTGACACATGGAAACGTGGACTCTGGACCTTGTCAGCCTTTACTACAGTTGTTGGAATGTATGTATGTGTCCGCGTGTGTGCGTGTGTTGACCTACTTTATGCCAGCAGACGTATGTTTCTTGCACCTTAATCATTTGTGCTGTGAATCAGTTGACTGCGTTGATTAAAAGTCCCAAATTAGAGTCTTACTGATATATTAACAAACCGGTGAGGCGATCAATTTATCAAAATGGTTCAGTCACAAATAAACCCGTACCAGTTCGACCTGTTGGAGATACTGGATATATTAACTTAAGAACTGAGTGACTGTTTCAGATTTAAATGAAATCGAGGTGCACATTTGAATAAGCTCCTTCTAAAAACAAAAGACATTAAAAGGGTCAGAACAGTAATTACGAAGCATAATTTAAAGGATTTCAAGTGTTTCCCTCATTTCTTAAAGCTTTAAAGCGTCAGATTCTCTTTACTGAACCTGTAGTTTATACAGTTTGCATGAATTAAAGGTGGGGTAGTCAGGATCTGAAGAAGTGCCAGTTTTTAGGAGAAATCTTGAATGTAAACTCTACCCCTCCCAACCAGTTTTCCCCTCAGCTCCTCCTCTCCCCTCCCTCTCTGCTCCAGCAAGCCCCGCCCACAAACAGACGCTCCTGCTCGCTCGTATCGTTCCAATTAAATTCAGATATAATGCAGATAAATACTTCAGATCATTACAAATGGGGCCCAGTCAAGGTGAAAGTAAACAGCATTGGTGCTCCTGTAGATGCCAACAGACTACCAGCAAACACAATGTTTGCAGGACTTCTACAACTAGGATAAAGTGACATAGTCCAGGACCCGAGGTCAACAGTTTAGCGGCGCTACAACACGCTACAGCAGGTCCGTTTGACAAGAAACACTTCTGTTACAGACACTTGTCTTACTTTGTTAAAGCGGTTTACCTGTCCAGCAGAAAGGTTACAGGGTCACCAAGATCCCAAAGTTGACCCGGCTTCTTAGCTCTTGTCCGGTCTACCTCCTTTTTAAGCGCCCGTTATTCCGCCTCGAGTCTCCGTTTTTTACTTAGTTTTCTTGCTTGTGTCGGCAGTCGTGGCCAAAGGAGGATTCAGAAAATTTTCCGAACTTTCTGGTTGGTTTCTACTGTCCGATATTGTAGCACGCTAACTTTGTTTGGGCTTGTGAACGTTATTCAAGGATGTGCAGCGCGCCTCACAACACGAGGGAGCAGCGTCCGCCTCACAACCAATCAGGTCGGGGAGGCGGAGAATAGCTTTGTTTACAGTCAGAAAGAGCGGGCCGCTCAAAAATGTTAAAGTGCTGACTACACTGACATAACACAACACAATGATATCGTTATATTCCTGAATGTCATCAATAACTATTAACTATTGACTGATATTAAAAGCTTTTTTATTTATACACCACAAAAAAAGATGCGTCTTTAACAGAATCCTGCTGACCCTACCTTTAAGTTCGCTCTACATTTTCTCTCTTTTGTGTCTCTAACCAGTTACTTAAAGCAGGACACAAATGCACAAGTCACTCAGCAATTGAAACCTTGTGGTTTAAACATCAGAAGCGTGGAAACATTGAAACTAGAGAGCAAAAACAGACCCAACAGCTACTTGTGTAAAAAGCAGTCAGGTGTTTTCGCAATACTAACAACTTGATACAACAGATGCGACGTGATTTGACTCTTGATGAGACCACTGTTGGTTTCTGTAGTTCTCCAAATGAGGATGTAAAACAGACAGCAAAGTTTATCCGCTATTTATAGTGAATTTTAGGTTTTATATGAGTTCACAGAGAATAACAGAATAAACCAAAGACATCTTAAAGTTAATGTAAGTATAATGAAAATGATGTTTTCTCTTACAGACGAATGGAACTGACACCACGACCAAGAAGAGCGCCTCACTCACAGGTATGAAAACAGTCCTGCACAGACATTTATGTAAACAGTTTTTCTATCAGTTTACCGCTTTAAATGAATGAAAGCATTAGGGTAAATTATTGATTACACACACAGAGAACTTTGTGAGAGCATGTCAACTCAGTGACTCAGCAGAGAGTTATTTACAAGCATTTTTTCTTCCTAGCAGAAAAAGGGATCAAGCTGGTGCAGGAGGGGGAGTACGCACAAGCAGCCAGTATGTTTACAGAAGCCATCAAATGTGACCCAAAGGACAACAGGTACGCCATCTGTGGACATGCGGTCGTAAATACTGCTTTAAAACAAGAAAGTATTCATTTTGCGTTTGTTGAATCACATATAGGTTCTTTGGGAATCGTTCCTATTGCTATTTCTGCCTGGAGCAGTTCCCTCAGGCCCTCGCAGATGCTGAGCGCTCCATCCAGCTGGCCCCAGACTGGCCTAAAGGACACTTTAGGAAGGGCAGTGCTCTCATGGGCATGAAGGTAGATGCAGGCTGCTCTGGCCTTTTGGATTCACAGTGTTTTCATGTAATCAAAGACATTTCTCACTTTAAAGCCGAAGCGCTCAGATCTCCTTTTTCTGACTCAGCGTTGTGGATCTTATATTGTGTTGCAGCGGTACAGCGAGGCAGAGAAAGCCATGGAGCAGGTGCTGAAACTGGATAAAGACTGTGAGGAGGCTGCTATTGACCTGTTTGACTGCAAAGTACTACAGTTAATGGTACATACAGCCTTTAAGCCAAGGTGTTTCCTGTAGGCGTGGCTGTGAATGAAAACCAGAACTTCCTCTGAGCTTTCCATATGATGATGCAACGTTAAAGTTCTCATCTCGCCACAAAACATGTGCCGGTTATTCATTCATGTCTGTTTTTCCCCCCAGGAGCATGGTTTTGAAGAACAACAAAGCGTACTTCTTCTGGAGAAGTTTGGAAACGTACAAATTGTTCTAGGATCTTGTTCTGATGTTTCCAGAGGTATGTAAGCGTGTACGTATTTTATAAGGAGGGCCGCATTGTTGTCTTTGTGACTCACATCTTTTGACTTTTGTTGTTTTGGTTTTTGTCTTGCAGCTGGCAGCCAAGATCCAGCTGCTGTGCAACCAGGGTAGGTGATCATTTGCTTATTTTGTTCACTCTTTGAAGGTTGTCACACCTTTGGAGCTGTTTTTATATCTGAGCTGTCTATTTACTGCTTCCTGTCACGTTCTCTCTCTCTTTCTCCTCTCTGCAGAAGCCCTTGCCCATCTCTGTGGGTTGGAAATGTGACAACAGAGCTCTCTGAGAAACATCTATGGGACCTTTTTAAGATGTACGAGTCGATGCTATTGCCTGGCTCCTAATCCTGATTCATTAACTCGACAAAACATTCGAGTCGACTCTTTGTTTTTGCAGCTATGCGAACAGGGGTGTAATATTTAACCTAGAGCAGTATTGACTTCTCTGTTAAGTTGTTTGCTTTGCATTGTAGGTACGGTGACATCGAGAGTATTCGGGTGCTGCATGAGAGATTCTGTGCCTTTGTGAACTTCAAGAATGCAACCATGGCTGCTCGTGCCATGGAGAAACTAAATGTGAGTAGTCACTTGATGAGCTGAGACAAATATTCTCACAGTCCATCAAAGCTGTGAAACTGAATTACCAGCATTTAAATACATAGTAAAGAATCAAGAACTTCTTAAATGACCATGCTGTTGAATATGAACTACCTACCCTTTATTTTACGTTACAAAGATGTCATCAATGTTCCTGTAACGGCTTCATAAATGTGAGAATTTGCTGCAGTTCTTTGTGGTTTCCTTTGCCATGATCAGGGCTTGGCACTAACTTTTTTTAACTTAGTTAAGTTAAAAAAGTAATAATGTGTGTCTTGTTGGTCGACATAAGTGCTATTATTTGAAATCAATTTTAGGTCTTTTGGCCACATGACATGGAAGCTACTGAAGAAAATGTTCAAAATTTGCCTTTGAATTTAACACAAAAGTTTTATGAGGACAAATTAGGGAAATCCAATCCAGGTTTATTTATAAAGCACATTTAAAAACAACAAAACGCTAATGAAAGTGCTGTACAGTAAAAATTTTAAAAACAATAAAAAACTGACAATTAACACAAACAATAAAACACAGGAACACATTAAAAACAGGAGGACATAGCTGGTTCAGTTCTCAGGAGTAAAAAGCCAAGGAGTAATAGTGCGTTGTCAAATAAAAAGGCGTGTCTTATTGTCCGACCTCAGTCCTATTATTTGAAATTAATTTTAGGTCAATTGGTCACATGACTTGGAAGCTGTTGAAGGAAAACAGCATTTTTTGAGAAGATCAACCAGTAATTTATTGATGGTCCCTTATTGAACTCCCGACGTTGACAGTGAGGACGCCAAGTATATTTAACCACGCTGCTGTTGCTATTCCCAGTTATGGAGAGTGAAAAGATACCAGTAGATCCACAGTGAATGTTTGTCGAATATCCAACGTAAAACTAACTTCACTGTGAAAAAACATTTGTTGCTTCGGCAGATTTTTTTTATGCGCACATGTGCCCCTAAATACATTTTACGACTCGCACATATCTATTTTTTGTTGCAAATGCGAGTGAAACGGTCGCACTGTCGAGTCCTGTCTTAAATGACCATGCTGTTAAATGTGAACTACCTATTCTTAACCTTACATTACAAAAATGTCACCTATGTTCCTGTAACGGCTTCATAAATGTGAGAATTGCTGCGGTTCTTTGTGGTTTCCTTTGTCATGATTATGTGTTCTGGTTTTTGTTTGTAGGTTGAACATAAAAAACAAGTTTGAGGTTTTTTGTTAAGTTTAATTACCAGAAATTTTTTAAGAGGTTTTCCCTTGTTTTTTACATTTTTCGGACTAAACATCAATCAATCAGATCCTGATTTATTCTGAAAAGGATCATTGTGAGCTCTGTTCGTACTTGTTCGATCGCCTTATTTTGTGTCTTTCTTTTTACAGGGTTATTGTATTGAGAACACGCGTTTGGTTGTGCGCTATCCTGACCGTCGCGCACCGAGGATCCTTCCCATTCCACTCAAGACCTGTCCCCCGGTCACACAGCAGGCCGGAGCAGCTGCTGGGTAAGAGTTTACTTTTTAAAACCCTCTAAGCCACTGAAGCTAAAATAGTTTGACTTCACTTATTGTGCTTTCTCTGTTTCTTCGCCCCTTTCACTTCCTCTTTGCCCAGACCTCGACGGCGCGGCCCAGTGAACGGAGACGAGTGTTACTTTTGGAGAACCACCGGCTGCCATTTTGGGGACAAGTGTCGCTACAAACACATTCCTGAGCAGAAAGGCAAAGACAGGAAACCGTGGCAGCCTTGAGCTCAGCTTACTCTCTGCCCCAGTGTTGTGCAGGAAACTTGGACGCACAGACAGAGCCAAAGGAGCTGGCGCTTACTGGACCAGGTTCTCCAAGCAAACAAAAATTTACTGTAGCTGAACGGACCAGAATAGTTTAAGGATCAGAGCCAGCATTCAGGCTCCAAGGCACGGGTACTCACTGATATGCAACAAAGGACTTGGAGTTTGAAGGTTTGAACTTTAGACAAAGTCTAATATGAGTGTGGAGCTCCGCAGTGCAACATTAACCAGAGAAAGGCGACAAATTCACCTGGTACTTGCTTTGTTTGAATGAAAACCTTCTTAATTGCAACCCTTTTGTGCATATAGTGATTTATTCTTGCCGTAAGGGATACAACCTAACCTCACAGGCCCACGTCAGAAAGAGGAAGTGAAACTGCCTTGGTCCACTTGAAAACAAAAAAGGCTCTTTGGTGTACAGCAGTAATGAAGGGACTCTGTTTGGAATTCACCGGCCAAAGTCCATCAGTGACGACCGTGGGGACCTTCTTTCTAGAGAAATTCCATTACAAAGCAGTGTTCCTCCTCATTTTCATGACAAATACTTCCACCTACAGCTTTTATACCTGGTTGTTAAATGTGTTAAACTAGTTCTCCGGTTTTACTCCATGGCATTTCTCTTTTTATCTCCACTTTTGTTTTGATTACATGAAATATCCGGTGTCAAAGTTTTTCAGCCCTGTTAAAGTTTCCCTTTTTATTTTTGGACTGCAGGAGAGCCGATCCTGTGTGCCACATGCAAATGAAACGCCTCAAGCTTTTTTTCTATCAGCATTAGAATATTCATTTTGCTTTCTTGGTGCGTTTGCATGTTAAACATCGCAGTGCTTTGTGTCTATGCAAAAGAAAAAGTGCAGACTCAGCTGTCAGATCTGAGTAAGATATGCTCACACCCACAGAAGTCGTCTGTTCGGTGTTGGTCAAATTCCCTTAAAGACGCTGTTATAAAAGTGATAGACTAGTTCTTTTGACAGGATAGTGCCTTAAACAGCCCTACAACCTCAGTAATGCTCATGTGCACACATCCATGCCTGTGTGTCGCATCTTACTTAAAGGTTCACAAAAACCTCTGAACTTTGTTAAGCAGTGTTTTTGACCTGAGGGGTCTTATTTCAGTATTTCAGTAAACCAAAGAATGCTTCAGCTGATGGCTCTGCACTGAAAGTAGCTTAGTTCAACACTAGACAGTACAAACCCATTGGCGAGTGTCTGTATCATCAGGTATATAAAAATTAAAGCTGCCACCCTGGTTTAAGTCCACACTACGTTCCCTCATAAACCATGCACATCATAGTGGTTATTTATTTTCCTATTTATTCTTCTGTCTTCATTTTTCGTCTTTCTCTCCCACCTTCACAGCCGAAAAAACACATTTTAAATTACAGCTCTTTGCGTCTTTTCACTTCACAGTAAACTGAAGACGTATTCTCAGTATGTCCACTCTTCTACTTTTGTGCTTTTGAGGCAAGCGTGATCAAAAAGCGTCTGGTGCAAACACTGTCACACGCTGCACTTCTACTTTTTTTGTATTACCTTCTGTCCTGTGGTGAAAACTCGTGAAAAAGGAATTAGACGCCAAACTTTAAGACTGCATTAGTGGATTAAACAAAGTCACAGTTGATACAAATATGCAAGTTAATAAATTGTGTCAGGTCTTCTCATTGGCATCATAGTATTGGTATTTTATAATTCAACATGAAATTCCCAGAGTTTGATTTGACATTATTTTGTGTGTATTTAAGTCTTTTTAACTGTTTGTACCTTTTTTTTTCAAACTATTTCAGGAAAATTATTTTTAATTTTGATGTACACTTTGATAACCAGAGCACTGCAATTCTGTTAATCTTCCAAATATTTTGTATTATCGTTACTGCACTGCAAAAAGAGTCTTTTATATTTAATAAATGTATTTGAACCACCTTTTCTGAGCCGACGTGAGTTATGTCACACTCGCTGAAAACGTTTGCAGTTTCCTGATATTTCAACATATGTGTGTCAGTGATTCGTTAGTCCTTCAAACGACCACAAGGTGTCAGTGTTGCTCATAAAGATGTCTGCTGAAACATGACCCCAACTGAACCGACCTGTGTGAGGAACAGAAATTCATCATTTTGGATTCCAGGGAACTCTTTTAAGTCAGTCCTGATGCTCGAAACCTTAAAGTAGTAAATCAAACGAGGCCAGACTGGTGTAGGGGGAAATATGGTCACTGTCATTATGAGTATTAGACACTTGTGTGGCTAGAAGAGGGATGCATGGGGGAATCTGTACCCACACAGACCTGTGAGAGATAGGCTGAGGCAGTGTGGGAAAATCAACCATTATGCAACAGAGGGGGTTTTGAGCAGAGATGGACTAAAATTTAAGGAAGCATGTGAGCTATCCTCATTACTACGTTGGCATAACTAGAGAAGCAAGCGGTCTGCAACATTCATCTCCTGGCGGGGTATCTAACTTGGTGTGTTTGACCCAAACTTAATTTTACGCCGGAATATACCTTTAAATATACCCCTGTGAGTAAAAACCTGCTTTGAAAACTCCAGCTTCAAGATCTGGAGGAAGTTTGAGTTTGTCTCAAATGAAAAATTCACACAGGTGACTCTAACCAAGCTAACACGACCTTTTCTCAACTCTCTTTCAGGTGACTAATGTTGGCTGAATGAATAGACTGAAAAACTTCACTGACCGCACAACAGCTTACCTCAAGCAGAGCTAAAACTGTCAGAGCTCCCCCTGGTGACCGGCTATGGTACAGGTCCTGAAACTTGAAATCTGAAAATAAGCAGATTTACATTAAAGTGTTAAAAATTTTGATTCAAGTAATAAGCAAAGGCATCAATATCAGTGCTTCCAAAATAGTTAACTATGAAACAATTCATATGCTCATGCAAATGTTTCTCTTTTTCCATCGCATCTGAAGTTCAAGGCCTGATCTCACTCCTGATTCTCACCATTTATTACCTCCGCCAAGGAGGTTTAGTTTTTGGTAGCGTTTGTTTGTTTGTTTGTCTGTTAGCAACTTTACAGAGAAAGTTACAGACGGATTGACCTGAAATTTTCACCAGAGGTGCGTCTCAGCCCCAGGAGGATCCCATTACATTTTGGTGGTGATCCGGATCGCCTTCTGGATCCAGGAATTTTTTGAGGGATTCTTTATCATTGTGAGATAGGGCAAATTTTGGAATTCTTGCATTTAACTCTTTAAAAATGGCCAGAAAAAAAACGCTTTAAAAAAGCTCAGAGAGGTAAGATGGAACCAGACCATTTAAAGATTTAAAAACAAATAAAATAATCTTAAAATGAACTCTAAAATGCACGGGTAACCAGTGGAGGGAGGCCAGGATGGGAGTAATGTGCTCCCTCTTACATACTCCAGTTCAGAGCCGGGCGGCTGCGTTTTGTACTAAGGGCCTTGTATTCCACAGTAATCGGCCTGAATCAGGTTGGATGAAAATGTGGGCTGAAACTGGGAGTAAGTGTTTGGTTCCAAGACAAGTTTTTGATTTATTTTTTACAAAGTCAATTCGAGTGCATCTTGGGGATAGAGCTAAGGTGGCTTTTCCTTCTAGATCTACTGAGATGAAGCTCTTTGCACAGCTTGCATCACAAAAGCTCTTGCAGACCATCCTCCATACCGTACGTGCCAACACGCTCCTACAGCCAGAAAGTCAGAGCATTATGAAAGCCTGCAGAGAAGCAGTGGGGGTGCTCATGAGGAGGTGCTGTCGTTTGAAAAGGCACTTGTTTATTGTTGGAGAGCATGTATTTATTTCATGCCTCCACAGATTGTGGGTAAGGGCAGAGCCGGCTCGGTCTGCATAATTAGAGAGCTGCAGAGAGAGAGAGAGAGAGAGTGAGAGAGAAGTGCCACAGAGGGCTGCTTCGCTCAGATACTTTTACCCCATGAGCCCTCTGAGAGAGAGAGAGAGAGGTCTGACACACTCTCACTCGCACACATACAGAGCGGTTCAGTTTTGGCACACATGCTGGGACACCTGTGTAGTCCAGTTTGATTAGACGACTATGCAACAGTGTATTAAGGTCTTAAAAGGAGGGATGTCACAGAAAGCAATGATATCTACATTATCAACCCTGTTTCTCTTTTCCTTTTCCTCTTTCCCTGACGCCCTTGGAGATCCCTCTGATTTGGCCCCGCTAATACGGGGTCTGTTCTTCCTGTTGGGTTTTTACCAGTCAGGGAGGGACCACCATCCTGCCACCCAGTCGCACCATCACTGGCACACACAAACTTCTCAATTACAGCTTCAAAGTGTACATGCGTGCGCACAAATACACACACACGCGTTTAACGTCTGATTTTTTTTCCGCCTGCTGGAACTCTGGATACGAGTTAGTGTTTTTACGGTCGCGGTCGATGTTTCGGTTCCTACCTCCCCTGTCATGATTGTAATTTTTCATGTCTATGAATAAACCTGGCTGCCTCGAAAAAGGTGCCTTCTGAGGTTTGCTAAAAAAAAAAAAAAAAAAAAAAAAAGTTAAAGAGTTTATCAACACAACACCTGAGGCCAGAACTTTCCGTGTTGCTAAATTTGTCCCGCACACTCCAGAAATGATTCAAAAAATAAATAAACAAGCGAAAACGTGTCTAAAAGTGGAGGAGACACGAGTCAGATCAGGACTCAGCACTGAAATGACCCCAGCTGTAGAAAAAGAGGATTTTTTTTCCCCTCGTTTTTTTTATCTACATCTCCACTGTGAATTAAATCATTATGCTTTCCATACCATGATGACAGGTTGGGGGATATAACCTTCTCCTAGGCAGGGGTGGTAAGGCACATTCTCATCACTTGCGTTCCTCATAGCTACGGTGAGGCCAAGCCTATTTTAGAGCCGGTGGTTTGCGGCCATCTCAACAAGGAAATATCTACCCTGTGGTGTAGGGAGCTTCTTTAAGACACTTGGAACTTGATGTTTGAAACTATTCTTGAACCAGAGTCCTTCCTGTTGGCTGCGTTTACACACGTTCACACTCGAGTTGTGCAACGCTCTGAGCTTGAAGTTGTGTAAAGAATCATTAGCCTATCAGAGGAGAGAAGCGTAAAGAGGCCCAATCAGAGAAAGAAACACTAGATATGAAAGTGGAAATGCTTTGCCGCCATTTACGCTGTGCGATCATGCCAATAAAGCTCGATGAAATACAGTTTTTTGCATTTTGTTCAAACATTTAGCAAAATAAAAGAGAATAATCCTTTATCGGTTAAAGGAGCAAATATTTTAAGATGTTATAAATCCAGTGTTTGAGGATTACAGACAATTCGATCTGCAGTCCAATAAACATGCTTTACATGTCTGCATTCAAAGTTATTCAGGGTTTCTATATGTGAGAAAGATACCCAGGAGGAGAGAGAGCACGTGCAGGAGGAAGAGGGAGGGAGGGAGGGAGGGATGTTGGGAGAAGGAGGGAATAAGGGAGGATTGACTAAGGAAAGCATTTAGTAGACACACTCCTTCACTCAGTCACTCTCCCCTAACCAGTGACGTCCACCTCTGCAAACATTTGCTGCCTGCCAGGTGAGTGAACTTTCACCTCGTCTTTTCTCTTCATTTTCTTAAGGGGAAGAAAATCATTTGATCACACTTGATTCCTGTTTAATAATTCAGAGTTTTTCTGCTTCTTTCTGTTTGAGTAACAGGTGTGTTGATGGTTGAGATGCTCTGTCTCTTTAGGGAGATTTCTGCTTTGTCTTAAAACTTTAAGAAATATTGTGAATTTTCTTTTTAAACTGACAAGAGATCTACTCAGAGTTTTCTTCTTGACAAGACACATTTTTCTGACTGTGATTCATTTAGGTCAGTCTTCACAGTTTATTTGCCCGTCATTGGTTTGCTCCTTTATAATTTTATCATCACAGCATCACACAGATTCGGTGTATTCTGGGTTTGGTGTCGTCCTGTGGCCTGTAGCGGCTGTCTCCATTCCTGCGCTCGTGTTCGGCTGTGGCGCTTTGTTAACCTCCAGTTTAAACCTGCCTCATGTTTCTGTCTGGTTAGTTAGCCTTGGGGGGAATGTTACTTCACGTGAACGGCAATTTTAAAAGTGAGCTTGTGTGTCTTTAATTATATGCCTCTGTTTGACATGTGTATTCATTTTTATGCCTTTTGGCTTCCATTGCATCACTGCATGGTTTGATGCAGCAACAGTGTAAAATCGTTTTATCTCTCCTCGTTGTAGCTGTGACGGCAGGGCTAATTGGCTCAGCTCAGATATTTGACCTCGATGACAGTTCAGTGCATATGCCACCAGTAATTACGAGAAAATACCTGAACCTTTTTGTCCAGAGGATGTCACCGTTGTTCTGTTTAATGACTAGGCTGAGGGGAATTTCATATTAACAGTTAAAACACGGTAGTTAGTCTTTTATTTAAGGGAACCTGGTCTGTTAGCTCACATCTAAACAGTTTAAACCTGTAAATAGTTTAGCTATTAATCTATAAACAGGGCAGTTGGGACAGCGGCATGTTTACCGTTGTGTTGTTGGGGTTTGAATGTGATTTTGAGCTCATGCAGTGAATTCTACTGCAGAGTCACATCTCTTTTCATAGCATTTCCCTCTGAGGGCCACCCACTGATTCCCACCAGGATTCAGCCTCTCTGTTGAGCCTTTTTATACCCAGTAATGTTACGAACCTGCTTCAGATAATTTTATTTAGTTATGAGTAGGGCTGGGCGATAAAACGATATAGACGGGTTTCTGTGCGACGTCATCGCAGGTATGCACGCGCAGCCAGGGGGAAGAAAGCCGGACATTTCTTATTTGGAGAAAGAATATGTTGAGGAGCTGATGTGCTGTAAACTGAAGGAATCGGCAAACATTACGACCCTGCTCCTGATATTAGAAACATCTAAAACAATTTCACAACCTGGTAAATTGAGAGAAATTCATGATATTTCAGTGTTTTTCTGATTTTGATGCAATGAGAGACAAAGTGATTTTTTAATGAAATGACATTTTATTGCGATTTTGTCAGGGAGAACTTGCAAACAATACAGCATCTTCATTGATATCAGTTCACTCTGAAGCTTTTACCCCCTGGTTGCGCATGCACCTAGTATTGTTTGTACACAAGAAACCCGTCTATATATCGAAAATTAATCTCCAACATATCAACATAAAACATGGTCAATATTCTTTTCGATAGTCGGCATTCTGCCATGTTTTGGTAGACTATACGAGTAGCCAATGAAAAGTGGAGTTGCTCCAGGTCTGCTTCGCGCTGAACCAATCATGTGCTGAATTAGAACAAAGTAGGAAACAACTGCGTCGTAGCAGGCTGCACGTTCACGCAACCATAGCACTTTAACGCCAAAAACAGCCGACCATTCAGCCCGCTTTCTCTAGCGCAACGCCTTACGACAAAACGTCATAGAGACACAAAGAGACCTCACAGATGCAGTAGATTAATGTATTGCAAAAGACATGCTACCAATAAGCACTGTTACATTTAAATTTTTATATTGTGATATTTATCGACATCGACTGATATGAAAAAAGTATATCGTGATAAACTTTTTCCCATATTGCCCAGCCCTAATTATGAGATGCCTCTCTATTCTTTTTCTTTTTAGCATTACACAACTTTATTTATATATATGACCATATGACCAATTGAACGACTTCACCTAAGTGTTTCACCTTCACCTATAGGCCCCCTCCTCTCTGTCACGATGACCCGCACCCTCTGCTTGAGCTCCCTCTTCCTCTTCCTGCTGCTCTCCGTCTCCTCTCCCGCTCGCGCCGAGCCTCGAAGCACCACGGCCTCTCAGCGCAGGACTCCTCGCGCACCAGCCGCCAAGGTGCGCTTGGCGGGCAACTATGCGCGGGAAGCTTACGAAGGGCGCGTGGAGGTGCTGCACAACAACACCTGGGGCACAGTGTGCGACGATGAAGTGGACATCAAACTGGCTAACGTGGTGTGCCGGGAGCTTGGCTACCAGGCTGGTGTCACGTGGGCACACAGCGCAAAGTATGGAGAAGGCCAGGGTGAGAGCATTTCCATATATATTATTATATATTACCATACCATTACCATGTATATTTCCACGCTTTTAACCTTGAGCATTAGACATCAGAGCACAACCGCTGTTTTGTGAATACTGTGAAATCTGCATGTCTGCCTTACAACAGGCTTCATGTAAACTGCACCAATTAAGACATCCAAAATAACCAACATCATAAAGTGACAAAGATAACTTGTTGTGGCCTTGGGAGTCCACGTCTAGTTAAGGTTGCATGGCAGGCTTGAAGAGCAAATATATGGAGGTAAAAGAGGGCATTTGTTTCACAATAATGACAGCATTGGCTCGCCAGAGTTGTGCAACACTTGCTGTGGTTTATGAACATTCTTTACGGCTGCTTTTAAATCCAAATTAAAGAGAAGGTTGAGTGGATTCAAGGACCAGGATCTATAGTACCCTGCCTTGTAAAATACTGTGTATCTACAGCTAAACAAGCCGCTGAGGTGCAACCTTAAATCAGAGGGCCTGTTAAAGTCAAGTGTTAGGTGTGAACTGATAGAGGCCCTGGTGTGGATGCATTGCCCAGCTTGTCTAGTAAATAATCAGAGTAAATACCAATAAATGAATTGTTTGTCCTTTCACAAGGCCCGATATGGATGGATAATGTACGCTGTGATGGCTCGGAGAAGTCCCTGAAGGACTGCAAACACAACGGTTGGGGGGTGAATGACTGTAAACACTCTGAAGACTTGGGGGTGGTGTGTACCTCTGAGCGCAGGCTGGATCAGACAGCCAGCAGAGGCCACACCACCATCAGCAGGTCCAACTACAGCCCTGCACCTCAGTGGCAGGGTCATGTGACCACCCGTAGGCATTCAGGGTACGGTTATTATGGAAACGGACACCAGCAGGAGACCCCCAGATATCAACGTCACCACTTTCAGGTACAGAACTTTATTACATCTGATTAATTTCCATGTTTTTCTCAAAGAGACACGTCTCATTGGATGTGGTGTTTGTTTCTCCCTTAAGGGTCGCGGGAAGGTGCAAATCGAGGAGGTCCGTCTTCGTCCCATCCTCATGGCTACCAAGAAAAAGAGCCTGATTACAGAAGGTGTGGTGGAGGTGAGGCATGCTGGGAGATGGAGGCAGGTTTGTGACCTGGGTTGGAGTCTCAACAGCAGCCGGGTTGTGTGTGGGATGCTCGGCTTTCCAGAGGCGACTCAGCACAACGTCAAAACGTACAAGTGAGTATGAATCTCTCCCACTTGTGTAAAGTTATGAATTTGGAAACACCGGGATGTTGACTGAAGTTCAGAGGGGCGCCACGCTCTGGTATTCATCCCATTGTTCAGTAAATAAAAACACATCCTGAGAGCAACAAAAACAACAGCGGCATCCTATAGAGAGTCATGTTGAGAAAAGGCCTTTCTCGGCTTATCTTCCTCCTCCAGCCACTTCTCCTCTTGTCCCTCTCTACTCACCCCTCCCTCCTTCAGCCTCAGGACGATGATAAAGAGATCCCTGTCCCCTTTCGACTGCCCTTTCTCTACACCTCTCTCTAGGCAAATCACCTCTGCTCACCTCATTACCTCTCTCTCACTCTCCTCCCTGTCTCTCGCTGATCCTATCTTCAGCCTGCAGCTCTCAGACAAACAGCCCCACTTTAACTTTTAGATTCCCATGCTGAGGTGTAATATCACTGCTGATTGTGCTCTAACTCTCCCATCGATACAATGTGTGAGACAGAGGCAGCTATTGGAGAGCGGGATGAGGGTCTTTGCAAAGCGACTTGTCTTATTGTCAGGACGGTCTCTGCAGGCCAGAATGAGCCATGCATCTGTTCCCTTTCTCTATCACAGGACGACTACATGTACAGCATACTGCCAGTGTGCACGTGTATGCACTGGGTATAAATATTATTGATTTTTTAATAATAAAACAGAAAAGAAATGCACTCATATCTGTACTGAAAGGGAAGTCAGTCTGTACTTAATTTTTTTCTTAAAGCTCCAGTGAGAAGATTTTAGCTGGTGATGAAACAGACTCATATCAACATCATTGTCTCCAAATGATCTATGAAAGCAAGCAAGACAGCATAAAGATGGACTATTTCCATACAGTTGTTCGTAATATCAAAAACTTCTAGTGGGCAGGTAGGTGCCAAATAAAGAAGATGAAAGAAAGAAAGAGAAAGAAAGAAAAGAAAGAAGGTACCATAGTACTAGCCACCAAGCATCTTTTTAGCTTTGACTAATTTCTTTAGCAAAGAGACTAAACACAACTCACCTACTCTCTTCCAGCAGCCACTTGTTTGTAGCAAGTAAATGACAAAGAAATGATCATAAATGTTCTTCCTTGAGCTGCAGCACCCCGCTGTAGTCCGTAATGGACTGGCCTGAGGTCTAGCTACAAACAAGTGGCTGCTGGAAGAGAGTGGGTGAGTTGTGTTAAAAAGATGTTTGGTGTCTAGTACTATGGCTGGGACCCTATATGTCCTGTTGATGAAGTTAGGTGCTGTTCTGAGCATTATTTGTGGCTGTAGAGTGGTGTTTTTGTTGAGGTTTGTTCATGGCTTCTCAGACCACTGTTTATTGCTATCATGCGGTCGTTACTGAAGTTTGTATAACTAGAGACGCAAACGGTCGGCAACATTCATCTCTCAACGGGGTGTCTAACTCGGTGTTACAGTGTGTTTGACCCTAAATTAACTTTACGTCGGAATATCCCTTTAATTCCTGGCCTCATGCTGCACAGTTCCATTCAAACACCATGTCATTAAGACCTGTCAGTCCTGTAGAGTAATTGTTTTATGTGGCGTCTTGTGCCCTTTTGACATAAATGTCCTCTCCTCCCTCTGAAAGAACAACACTGTCCGAGGTTCAAGGGAAGTTCTGCTCTCGAACCGCAGGAGGACCACACATTAGCAGAGAATAACTCTTCTGCTATTATAAGACTGAACAGTGTCGGAGCACTTGCTGTCCTCAGCAGCAGGGGGACCCAGTTGGATCCTGGTTCTGGAAAGCTGCCGGCTTTTGGGTGATTCACAGTCTGGCTATTCCCTCTGACTCGACAAATGACACACAGCAGCATTTACTGTAGTTGTTGGAGTCCTTGTGCTAATGAAGTGCTGTAACTGTTGAGAGAGTCATTTTATGTAGAATTTCATGGACTTGTCTTAGTTTTACTGACTTCACAAACACTCCCTGATGGAGAACACCCTCTGACTGAGAGGATTTCTGCATTGCCCTTGAATTAAGCCATCCCAGCTGAACTCTGGGTTATTGGGAACACTGTGACGCTATAACTGGATTCTATTGTTGGCGCGGAGCATCATCAGGCGTCATATCTTGGGTAATAAAAGCTCCTCTGAACGGGGCGGCGTTGAATAGCCTAGCCTGACTGTACACCACAGTACAGGATCATTTATTAGAGCCCAGCTTCCCCGCATTGCAGGTGTGATGCATTTCATGGCTTTCTTCGATTTTCTATGGCAGCACAGATCCCCCCCGCTTAATGCAAAGAAGTGGAGCCGAGGGGGAAAAGTAATTGTTGAGGGAGGAAATAGATTGGGGCATTTGTATGGCTGCAACATAAGAGATTTGGCTGCTGACCAAAAAGTGAGATATGACCACGGGGGGGCGGGGGGCTGCTGTAGCTTGAAGGGCTTGGAGTGAAGCCTGCAGTGAATCTGCTCAGTGGCTGTTTCAGGATGTTGTTTCTTAAATCTTCCTCTAAGGTCAAAGAAAAGATAGAATAACACTTCATGGACTGTTATGGTTTTCAACCCAAGCCACATTAAAGAGGATGAAACTGTTTATCCGACGTATGCGCGGCTAAATGTAGAATGAATCGTAGCAACACATGGCGTTGTGGATATTTTTTATTGTGGCGGTCATAACTTGATATATCTTGGTGCGCCTGCCCTGAGTTTGACCTGATGTTTTGCTTTATCTCAGACAATCTGCTGGCCTAAACCTCAGGGTGTGTTTGTTTTTCTGGCTGTACCTGTTTTCTTTATCTCCTTCTATGCTCATTTGATTTCTCTGAGTGTGTTTTCACTTCATTCTGGTCCAGATAGTACTCATGCATCATTGTCTCAGCTGCCACACTGCAAAAACAGCCCTACTAGAAAGAAGCAAAATACTCTTACATTCAATCAAATAATCTTATATCAAGAAAAAATTTTATTCCACAAGCAAGCATGTGGAAAGCAAGCATGTTCTTTGTTGTTTTGCAGTTTTCATCTGGTCATTATTAGACCAGCCTACTGACATCTTTATAGGTCAGATAATGTTTGAGGCAGCAGGTTCTGTCAGGTTCAGATGACCTGCAATAGAAATCTGAATAAAAAAAAAATCAACTGTTCTTGTTTAATGGCATTCTTAAACTGAGAAGCTGTACATATGTCTTAAGGTCCTTACACACCGGGAATGACGCAAATATACAACGCGAAATTATGAAATATTCGGAGGTGAATTTTAACGGGCCTGACCATACACATCAAGCGCTATGCGATTTTGCGACTTTGTGACTTTCCGGGGGGAAAAAAGACGTGACGGTCGTTATCTTTGTAATATTTGTGTTTTTTATCAAAAATCACTCTGTTCTCCGACACGTAAACAATCAGCCGGTTGGCCATGTTGGGTTTACCGGTGTATCTGACATTGCAACAACACGAAATCTGATTGGTCAGAAGTGGACACACAGTATGCGAAACTTTTGAAAAAACGGAAAAATAAATGCTGCAATATCGCAGAAACCGTTGCTGATGTGAATGCTTGTAATGACAGGATACGAGTTCGAAAAAAAGATGTCCGAAATAATTGCACGCAAAAAACGCTCCCGGTGTGAAAGGACCTTCACTCTTAAAATGAGACGAATGATCTTGTCGCTCCGCTCGATTTTATTGTAAAAGATTTTTCTTCTCTATTTCTTGTTCATTCTATCTCAAAATTAGCCGGAATATCTTCTCAAGAAAAAGTTTGCTATTTTCTCTGAAAACTAGATACTTTTTCTAATGCCAAACATGCTTGACAAGATTAATATTCTTTTTGTAAAAGAAAGATAAGACTTATTTCGCTAATACAAGGCTGTTTTCCTTTCTTGAAATTCCTTTTTTTCAGTGTAGAGTTACTTCACAGAATTTGTTTTTTTATATAAAACAGACCGGGAGGTACCTGAAATACAGGTCATGATGTTTCAGCCTTACCTTCGGTGTAATTGCAAGGATTGGACTCTGACTGAAATTGCCACTGTAATTACGATTACAAAATGTGAGCAGAGTCAAAGCTAAACAATTGTGTTTGAGACGGTATAATGTGAAGTTTATGTAACATCTTAAACATCCTTTAACAGCTGACAGGAAAAGTCGGGGTGGATTGCGAGGTTTTGGCCAAATTTAGCCGGTGACACTCCCCTCCTGGACTCTCTCAGTCCATTCTTAGAAATCCTGGACTGTGCCATGTCTCTGGGCTCGCTGTGTCTCTTGGATGAGACTCTGAAGATGCTGTAATTACAGGTTGGTCATGACCAAGGCTCTCCGGGGTTTCTGCTGAGAGTGAAAAAACACCCCCAATTATAGCTGTGTGTGTGTGAGAGCGGGACGGCGTTGGCGAGGAAGGTGGAGGAAGAAAGTAGCGAGAGAAAGAAAGAGGAGCTGCAGAGGAGGAAGGAGAGAGCAGCAGTCAGACGAGCCAGGTTTTGGCTTGCTCGTGTGAAATATGTCCAATTACAGCTGCAGTTTGCAGCAGGGCGCGCTGTGTCAGCAGCTGTCTGTCTTTCTCTGTCGCTGTAGTGATTTGGGGACTTAACCCACTTTTTATGTTTAATTATGTTCCAGACTAAATTTCCTTATGACGAGGGTATCATTTTCAGGCTTTCGGGTGACATTTTAGGTGACCGAGTCTGGTTTTCCTGTCTGATGTCTGTGTGATCTTCCTCGGTGACTTTCCCTCTAATTTATTTCGCCATCTTTTAATTTCTGAGTGCAGGACGGAGGCTATTTTAGCTGTGAGTGATGACTGGCAAAACTGAGTGGAAGCAGAACGATTTTTATCAGATCTGGTCTGAATGGAAATATTTAACAACTGTTTCACATGCAAGATCCTTTTATAGATGCTTAAATCAAGGCAGCATTAAAATTTACAAAATACCTCATGTTGGCTTCATACACTGTAAAAATAACGGTACGTTTAATCTGGGGTAATCTTAGCCTGCTTTTTTTCATCTTTGATTTAGGGGCACTTTTGAAATAACATAATGATTATAACTGCAAAAAATCAAGTGTTTTAATGCCAACATAAGAGCTTAATGTGCACACTCCAAACTGAGCAGTACTTGGAATAAATTAATGCATACTTTGTTATCTTTGTAAATAGCATTATAAGAGTCACTGATTTTGATTTTTGCCTATTTTGAACAGCAATTGAAGCTGAAATAACAACCTAGGACTTAACTAAAGGCCCCTTTCTAAAATGTTTTGTTTTGTGCTACAAAATAAATTTTATTCTATTTATTTCTGCAGCTTTCCTCTCTATTAAACTCTATTGTTTCATATGTAATAGTTCATTGTCCCTGTTTAAGGTGTATGGAGTCTGGTCAAGACGATCCGAACATGCATTTGCAGAAGAAATGCCCAAAAGCTGATTTAGTCGTTATTGAAGTGATTGCAAAATAATAACAGGGCTTGTGTTTGCGTTTGCAAGAGATAGTTTGATTTTATTTTTAACAGCTGAACCCGTAGACACCCGTGTTAAAGCCAGAGAGCAGTATGAGGGTTATGAAACCCAAACAGTGGTGTAATGCTTGCCTTTTAACAGGCGGGTGGGACTCCCTATCATTAGTCTCTGCTCTGTTGGCTCCACAGCAAGTGATGTGTACACTGTTTAGCTAAGCAAAACTACAGATACTGAGGCATCAGCACAACAGGTTTGCCTCTCATATTTAAGGTTCATTTACTTTCATTCAAGACAGGAAAGTCAAAGACGTAATGACCTTTTCATTAATTATTTGGTGGTAAACTTTTAAGAATGAAAAACTGGAGTTCAGGATTTCCAGAGAGAGGGTAGAGAGAGACCTGAGGGTGTAATTTAGAGCTTGAGCAGTCATCTCGAAGAATGAAAATGGTTGGCTGATTAGTCCACGAGGTGAGGTCAGAAACGATCCACAGACACGTTTGCCACATGGGAAAATCTGAGTGAACGTGCGTGTTTCTCATGGTGTCTCCCCACTTTGACTCGCTGCTGCTGCTGCTGCTGTGGGGCCACATGGTAGACCCATTTCAATATTTTACAAGTCTGATTCAAGACACTGTAAAGAATAAGAGTTAAATCCTATACAATGTGTCAGACACAGTTTACAGCGAGTCTCATGACATCAAGTGCAGACTTATTTTGGGGCATCCCTGTGAATCAAATAAAAAGTTGAGACAGTCCTGAGAAGGATGTTTAAGCAATAGAACTTTAATTTAGCACTTTTTTAGCCTTTAAGGATCGTCTTAGACTGAGGGGAGTCATTCAAGTATCTGAAAATGGATGTGCAACATGATATTTGAAACGAAAGCCAGTATTTATGTGGGAGGTCTCTACCCTCTTCTGGCCCATTGACTACTAACAGCATCAGGAAACAGGTTGTTCAGTGACTTTTGGAAAATGTTCAGTCAGCAGTCTATGACTTCACACAAACAAACATCTCCATCACATCATGAGAGTGACAATGCTTCTCTTGATCCCCTCATTCGCAGTTTGTTTTTCGGGCTTTTTTGCTTTACGGCAATGTCCGGAGTTCATGACAGAAAATCAAATATTGACCTTTCTCACAAATATCCTCAGATGTGTTTGTTTCTTTAAAGGGCAATGCCACTAAATTGCAACATAGGTCAGTGCAGATTGTTTTGTGTGTGTGTGTGTGTGTGTCAGTGGCCAAATGTCAAACAAAAATCCTGCTGATGCCATGCTGACGTGCAGCTCCACGGGTGTTTAGCATGGAAATGAGCGTGCTTTGCTGTCACGAACCTCACATGTTGATTTTGATAAATGTCAGCTCTACATATTAAAATTTTAGAGCCTGGTGAACAGTTTGCACCTTACTCACACAGCTGCCAACACCAGCCGTCTCTGTATGCAGCTGCTTCAGAGAAGATTGAGTATTACAGGTTGTAACGCTCACATTTCACACTGGATAGTTTCAATCTGGACGTCAAGACCAAACGAAATTAAACCGTCTGAAATATCTAATGGAAGATTCAACCGCAAGATTCACTGTTTTATCAGCCTGCTGTGTGAATACGGTCAGTGGGCTACATATCCTGGACACTTGGTACAAGATGGTTAAGTGAGCTGCAGTTTAGTGGCTCAAATCCCAAGTCCTTTTGTCCGCATCGTAGACAGTGTAAAACAATGGAAACTTGTCACAAATTGGTAGTTAAAGGGATATTCCGGCGTAAAATTACTTCAGAGTCAAACACACCATAACACCGAGTTAGACACCCCCTCGAGAGATGAATGTTGCTGACCACTTGCTTCTCTAGTCATACCGACTTTAGTGACGACTGCACAATAGCAATACACAGCGGTCTGAGGAGCCATAAACAAACCTCAACCAAAACTTTGCCTAATTTCTTATGCAAAGAGACTAAACACAACTCACCTACTCTCTTCCAGCAGCCGCTTGTTTGTAGTAAGACCTCGGGCCAGTCCATTATGGACTACAGCGGGGTGCCGCCGCTCAAGGAAGAACATTTATGATCATAATTTTTTCATGGAAATACAATCAGACTGAGACACTAAGACAGAAGAACTACCGTGTCTGCAGTGTAAAATGATAAATATGGTGATTATTACTTCAAGGAAATGATAAAGAAATGATCATAAATGTTCTTCCTTGAGCTGCGTCACCCCACTGTTGTCAATGATAGACTGGCCCGAGGTCTCGCTATAAACAAGCGGCTGCTGGAAGAGAGTAGGTGAGTTGTGTTTAGTCTCTTTTCTTTTGATGTTTGGTGGCTAGTACTATGGCTAGGACCTTATATGTCCTGTTGATGAAGTTAGGTGCTGTTCTGAGCATTATTTGTGGCTATAGAGTGGCGTTTTGGTTGAGGTTTGTTTATGGCTCCTCAGACTGCTGTGTATTGCCATCGTGCGGTCGTTACTAAAGTTGGTAAAACTAGAACATTCATCTCTTAAGTGGGTGTCTAACTCAGTGTTAAGGTGTGTTTGACCCTAAATTAATTTTACGCCAGAATATTCCTTTAAGTGAGCTGCAGTTTGGTGGTTCAAGTCCTTTTGTCCACATCATAGATTGTACAAAACAATGGGAATTCGTCACAAATTGGCGGTTAAGTGAAGGCTAACAAAATATCTCTTGGCTAAGATCCTGACCCTTGTAATATCTGTCAGACTGTAGCTTGTGGTTCTGGGAGTGTTTTAGTGTAATTGATATGAATGTCAGAGATGCTGTCTGCCCTCTGTAGTGGTTCGGGGACATACTGGCACAGTCTGTGTGGCATTTCTGCTTTGTGTGTCAGCCAAGAGCACCAAAGGCTTTCCTCTCCTCTCCTCTGCTCCCTCCAGTCAGCCTTCCTCTTTGGCGCATCAGTCTTTATTTGGTTCTGGTATTTCTGGGATCTGCTGCGTAGCTCGCTGCCAGAGTTCTTGTTTGTCTATCGTGTTTGGTCAAACCATGTTTTCCCTGAAATGTTGAACATCACTGATGTTGAATGTCACGGTTGTTTCGGGCTGCGTGTGGCTCCAGAGGTTAAAGACCTGGTTGAAAATATATTGTGTTTTCTTATCCTTTTATAGTTTGTACATCCTGTAGTTATGTACAAACTCTGGCACATGTTGCAACAAGCTGTGCCCAGGTCTTGTATTTCAAAGCGTGCATGTTAGTTTAAAGAGCAAATGCATGTGACCTAATGTAAAGGTGGGGTATTTAGATAAAAATTACCCAGCTGTACATTCCCGTTGAACGCTCAACCCTGTGTCGATGATAGGAAGTACTGTTACAGCTCAGGAACATATGATACACTGGCCATTAACTCTAAACATAAACACAGTAAAAAGCAAGCAGCCCACATTCCAGATGGAAATATGCTGCCGAACCTATAAAGCAAGAAAAAGGGAGACGCAAAGTGAAGTTTGTAAAAGAGAAAGAGAACAGTACACTCATCGCCGTCGATGTACCTAACTTCACACTCACCACAAAGCCACATGCACATCTCATTCTGGTTTTATATACACAAGTCCTATTTGGGGTTGTATGATTCATTTTGTGATAAAGTCAGCGTCTGAGCTTTAACTATTTTGAGTCATCACAAAGTGCTCGAGTCAGACGACTTTTCTAACATCTCTGTGCTGCTGCTGCTGCTGTGGCAGATGTCGCTCATATGTGGCCGTTTGAACAAGCAGATGTTACTGCAGATCCAACCTCACGCATGAGAGATTGGTCACCACACATGATGACATACTTGTGTTTGTCACCTCAGTAAACACACAAAAATAATCAAGCTAACGTCCATCTGTGCTTCTGGTTCTTTCGCAGGAAAATTTGGGATACCAAGGTTGCAGATCCTTCAACAAGGTAAATACAGAACTACTGTTTTTTTTTCTCATGTTGCCTCATTTGACCTCACTCAGGTTACTTTTGGACCTTAAGAGTACAGCTTCGTTTAAAGTCTCTGGAAACCGGTTTCCTCACCCAGCCTGATTTATGCACAAGAATGTAATTGTCAAGGTTAAAACAAATTTGGTTTGTGTTTTGGTGTTCAATTAACCCTCGGTTCCTGTTATTTTAAGCTCCATCCAGCCTACTTTGTCCCCCAAACAGACATGAAGATAAGTACTCATAAAATAATAATTTTTACACTTTTTTTTAAACTTGTTTTCAACTTAAATCTCTTAAACAACTTCAGCCCTGATCATTAAAAAATAATGATTGGAAAATTCCATGTATTGCCCTTTTTATGCCAGTTTTTGTGCACCATGTCACTGCTTATTTTTAAAGATAAAAAACACAAAATTGCCATATTTCCCATTTAGAATGATGTAGATAATTTTTTTTCACACGGTCAAAAAACTTTTTATTAAATGGAAGTCTATTGTCTGATTTGCGGACAAAGTAGGCTGGATGGAGCTAAAATGCGGCGGTGGAGAACGACAGGTGACATGGAGATTTCAATATGAAGAAAAATAAGATCTCTCACCAAATTTGATGTCCCAATCTTTAAAAACGTGTCTGTCAGCTCAAAATAAAGATGAAAAATATGACAAATTTCCTGAAAACCAACATAGTAGGAACCGAGGGTTAAAGCTCCTGTGAGGAACTTTAAGTTTGGGTCAATTTTGGCGCCCCCTGTGGACACAGCAGCCTTTGCTTTTCTTCTCCTTTACTTGCCTTAGCAGTGACATTCCGGTGTTATAAATATATTTGATGTTGTTCAAATGTCGTCGGGGGTTTTTAAGATGATTTGACCAAAAGTTTCTCTTCTTCCAGACTTAGTCTGATGGCAAAGAAGAAGGGATTCTGGGTCGAGAAAATTCACTGCCGGGGTATCGAGAACACCCTGTCAGAGTGCCTTGCTCAGCTGTCAATCCCCCGTAGTCCCGCCCCTTGTAAGAATGGACGACACGCCGTGGTCAAATGTGTCCCAGGGCCTCAGTTTGCCCGCATCTCCTCAGGAAGACCTCAAGCACCTTATCCAGTTGTGGTAAGATTTACGAAGGTCTTCACAAGCACCATCACACTATCTTTATGAACTGCATGCAGACTGAGTTTTAATGCCTTTGCTGCCCTTTACAGCCTGTGCGTCTGAAGGCTGGCCCTCGGCTTGGTGAGGGTCGCGTAGAGGTGCTGAGGGATGGAAAATGGGGGACCATCGTGGACCACATGTGGGAGAGAACTGCAGCCAGCGTGGTGTGCAGAGAACTGGGCTTTGGAACTGCAAAGGATGCACTGCACGGAGCCTTTATGGGTCAAGGTAAGAGAAAGATGAGCTGTCTGTATCGAACAATTCAATCTGGAAAACTCCACATTTAATCGAGTCAGTTTCAGTCTTGATTGTGTTTATCTTGCGTCACGGTGTTCCAGGGAAGACAAGCAGACTTTTCCAGTGTTTTGGTTTGGTTTTGCTTATCTTAAGCCGCCGCACCCGTCTGCCCTGACTGATCAGATAATGTATGGGCATGTGTGTGTGTGTGTGTTTGTCTGTCTGTGTATGTTACCTGGTGAAGCTGTAAGTGTGTTGATTGTAGCATCTCCAGCTGTGATTACATGAAAACTGCCAGGGCCTCCAGCTGCCCAAATACCGTACACACTTGCCCACACACACACATACACACACACATGCACAAACATAACGAAACACTGTAAGCCACAGCGGTTTACATTGGCATTTTGGGACAAAATTCTCAGACATGATCTTGCCAGCTGAGCTTTTAGTTTACTGTGTGAAAACTGAGTCCTGTGGTCGTTTTTCCCTTCGATTTTAAATTTTCAGCTTCGGTGATTCACAGTTTCAGTCACTCTCCAGCTGTGCGATCGGTGTCCCCACCCTTAGGATATGTGAGAACGGCTTCCCCATGCCTCGGGGTTAGGGTGTAGTCTCTAATCATGCTGATCAAGATGAAATGTGGAATGATCGTCTGCTGGTTTAGCTGTTCAGTTGATTACACAAAGGGTGCTTTTCAAAGTGTTGGTTGCCTTTACTTTTGACCTCTCAAAGTGCTTTCTACACTGCAGAAAAGGTGGGTCTAAAAACAAGAAAAACCACTAAATCTGAGAGAAAAGTGTCCATGCAGCGAGATAATTTCACTTGACAACATTTCTTGAATTTGAGATTGTTAAATCTAGAAACAAGCATGTCTACAAATGTACTTGGAAGGCTTAAAGTAAGACAAAAATGCTGATTTTAATATCAGATTATGAAAAATTTCACTTTTACAGCCCTAAAATTAAGTTAAATAGGCTTAATATAAGCATAAAATAAGTATAAAATGCTGGTTTAAGATCAGAGTACTTGAAATTTAATTTTTACAGCTGTAAAATAAGTTAAATTTACTTAATATAAGTTTAAGGTAAGGAGAAAATGCTGGTTTTAAGATGAGATAACTTAAAAACTAACTTTTTTACAGCCCTAAAATAAGTAAAATGTGCTAAATATAAGCATAAATTAAGTATAAAATGCTGGTTTTAAGATCATAGTACTTAAAATTTAACTTTTAAAGCCCCGAAGTAAGTTAAATTTACTAAATATAAGTATAAGGTAAGGGGAAAATGCTGGTTTTAAGCTGAGATAACTTAAAAACTAACTTTTTTTACAGACTCAAAATAAGTAAAATATACTAAATATAAGCAATTACATATTTTGATTTTTTTCTTTTAGCAAATTAAGCTTAAGATTAGTTAAACAAAAAAATAGAAATTTGGGGCAAAAATACCCAGTATTAGTGAAGAATGACTAAAACCTGTCTCAATCCAAGCAGGCTGATCTTAAAACAAGGTTTACTTAATCTTAAAACAAGATTTCCTTTTGATGAGACTAGAAATTATTTTAACAATCATTTTTTCTCATTTGAAGATTTCCTGCCTATTTGAGACAAAAAAGATAAGGTTGTGCTTGATATAAGATTCAAGAGTTAAACACCTAAAATGAGAAATTAAGTCTTAAAACAAGAGAAATTTCCAAGTTTTTTTTGTCTCGGTTAGAACCAAATAATTTGCAGTGTACACTTTTCTGTGGGTAACGTCACCCTCGTACCTTCCTCTTTGACGTGTCCAGCAGAACTAAAATTGAGTTTACTTTGATTCCATCGGACTTTACGCTCCCTGTCGTCTGCTTTCTATCAGCACCTGTAGTTGTTTTTAAAGGTTCAGCTTCGTAATGGTTCCAGCAGTCTGAGGGAGAGGTGTTTAATTGTCAGGAGGGCCTGAAAGCTTCCAATTTCCTGCCTAAAATAGGTTTCCTCTGATCCAACCGCAAAGCTGCATTTTGTGTATGTGAAAGTCTGGCAGTGTTAACATGTATACTGTATGCTTCATGGTTGTGCAGGGTCAGAATTATAACATTTAGATGTGGCTCTGTTCTGGCTGACAAATAGCAGGTTCAGCACTTACGTTAACCTCATATTAGTCCGACTTCATTCCTAGAAATGCAGGTTTTCTATACCGTGCTTTGTGATTCTTTCAATTACACACTTCAAGTCACTATTTTTGTGGCAGTAAAAGAGCCAGCACCTTTGCTTAATCTGCACCTTTGCAATCCTGGCCTTGGATCTACCGTTCTTCATGCAGTTTTTGGATTGAAGTTCAGAGTGCACCGTGCTCTAAGAGGAGGAGAGCTACAGACTTGTTATCAAAGGTTGCACTGAAAAAAGTACATTTCATTAAATTTGAATAACATGAAAAAAGTTTGCCTCTCAGTACTTAATGTGAAAATAAAAATTGTGTTATTGAAACTCAGTTTGCTTTGATAGTGGTCGGTGTTTCTTATTCTCTGTGGGGTACAGGTCAGGTGAGTTCGCTGGTCAGTCAAACACTAAAATATCACCATCAGGAGGGCATGTGGCAGGAGTTTGGTGCTTTGAGCAGGTGCTAAAGGAAGGAAATCAGAGTCTTCGCATAGACGCATGAAGAGCTTTAAAATCAGATAGTTGGCTGCTTTGGCTTTGGACTTGATAAGACACAGTGGATGAACACCAGCAGATGTCATGACACCTCAAGTCATCACAAACGTCACACTTGACTTCACACAGGTTGGATTCTGTACCTCTCCGCTCTTCCTCCAGACTCCAGGACCCGAGGATCAGTGAGCAGCTGTCTTGTTCACTTTCTCCTTCGCCCAGTAAGACTCCTCTGTCATTATCTCTCGTTCTGAAGTGTCTTGCAACAGTTGAAGTCCCTTTCCTGCAGACATCTGTTCACGGTTGGTCTTGATGCGTTGACACCAGCCACCATCCACTCCTGATGGAGCTCTTCCTAATCTTTCAGGCAGTTGTCAAGCAGAAGTCTCACCCGTGATCGTGGGTTTCTTGCATAGAACAAAAAAGTTCAGTGCAATTATGGGCCATAATTGTCAAAATTAAAACTGAAAAATGATTGAAACACATTAACATAAATACAAAAATCTAGACTCTTTTGAGTTTTTACTTTCAGAGCCCTTTAGTGCCTTTTGTATCATATTTGATACATACTTTTATTACTAAAAAAACACCTGAACACAGTCTGATAAATGATAAAAATTTTACTCTTGTGGTTTATCAGTTTCCAAAAACATCTGATGTATCAAACAAGATAAATAAATAAATATATTTGTTAAATTTTTAAGACATTTTGATTATTTTTGGTTTTCAGTACTAAGTGAAATAAACATTTTAGCTCTAAAAAACGATATTCTAATTTATCGAGATGCGCCTGTATGCCTTTTTTGTGTGTGTAATCTCTCATTCACTACACTGGTACCTTAAACTGTAGCGAGAGAGTTAAATTCAAACCCTTTGCGGCTGTTTGATGCATTCAGATTCAGAGCTGTTTAGTCTCTGAACTAATGTTGGCTGTGCACAATAACTGAAGCATCTGTAGGTCAGCCTGCATTCATCTATAAATTAATCAGTGAGTCTTGCAGTCTTTGCTGTCCGGTGCTGTCTAATACTCCATTAAAAGCTTCATTAAATCCCTGCAGCCATCTGAAGGCAGAAGGACATTATACTGATAAATATGCAGCATTCAGTGACTGGAGTTCTGCACCACAGCACAGTGCCATAATGCACAGCAGTCCATTGTGTTTACCTTGATTAAATTACATGTTAATGATACCGGGCCCTTACAGAATATCCACACACATCCTTCAGAACGGTCAGCTAAGACCTGCTGTTGTTCTGGCTGTTGTGAAAGCAATGGCGCTCATCAAGCTTTTATGACGGTTTGACTCAGCATGGAGATGCCTCTGATTTTCTTGCACTTCCCTGATTTAGAAATGGCCCATAAAGTCACTTCACATACATGACATGAATACTCTGGTCTTTTTGTCTGTCTCTGATCTGTACTTTGACATACTCTCGAACTGCAGAATAATTTAACTTCAAAGTCTTCTCACAGCTTCCTTTCTATAACATGCAGTCTGTTCAACCTTTTACTGCGACATATAATTTCCCATGTGTCCCAAGGCCACATAAACACAGGCCTATATGTCGTTGGTTAGGGCTTAAATTAGACTCTTTGATATGAGGAGAAACTCTCACTGAGTAAGACTTTCTCCCTTCTCTGGGGTTTTATCTGAGGCATCATGCAGAGATAGAGAGAATTACACTCGCTTTCTGTCGACACACGAGAGAAAAATCCCTGTGATTTCCATCAAACCTGTCAGTGAGAGAGCGTACAATTAAGGATGATCAAATGTGATAAAGGTGTTTGACTAACTGCAGGGAGCGGCAGACAGATATTCTGGCTTTGAATGATCAGATTTGCTGAAAAACATGCACAGATGTTGTTATCTACATGTGAGAACAACAGGCACACACTCATGCAGGAACAAACATCATCCACCTCTTGGAGAAGTGAAGTGTCATTGTGTAACCAAAGTCTGTATGAAATAAATAAATAGAGGACTGAGCCACCCTGACATCGCCCATTGGTTTTTAAACTTCTATTTTAAAGCCTTCTTCTCAGAATTTTTACCGTTCCCGTGTATTTTTGGAACAAAGAAGTGGACCCATGTGGCGTTTCTCACAGACTGAGTTTTTGTTTGTTTGTTACTACCTCAGCCAGGAGCCACTCGGTGCAGATCTTGCTGGTCCACACCTCTGTTGAGAGAGTGAGCAGCACTTGAACAAATTTAACCAGTCTTCTACATCACAACAGCCTATCATGATTTCTGCAAAGTGAAGGCCATAACCCCCAATTTCCACCGCATCCGGAAAACAGCTACAAAAAGTTTGTATCCGCCGATCGCAGCTGATCGTAACCATTCAAGTTAACGTGTCAATTTCCACCGGCTTCTTTCTGTTCTGCTGCGGATCACCGGACTCCACAGCTGATCGAAAGAGTTCTATTTTTTCCAGATGGTAGAATATAGAACAAGTGAAAGGTTTTTAGACGTCATTTCACCCTGATGACACCATGGACGAGGAGATGCTGATTTTAGAAGTTTAGAGGTGGATTTCCTCCTCTGGAAGGACACGATCTACTGCTTTTATGGTTAGCTTTTGTGGCTGTCTTTATAGAGACAACTCGTTATCGCGCAATTGCACATAAATCTGCGGGTTTTTGGGGGGTCAAGAGCTCGGCTGCAACGATGAACCTCCTCCAGAGGGATTACATTAAATGGGCGAAGGTCTGCGATCAATTTGGACATTTCACATGGGGCCCAATGGGTCCTGACTTCCTTAAGAGCGAGCCTCAAGTGGTCATTTGAGGAACTGCATTTTTTTACCTTCATGTTTGCCCTTTTTAACATTTTTTTCCTCTAACTTGTAAACCAGCCTGAAATCCTCATGGCCAAACAAAGGCCGAGATGCCAGCTGGCCTCAACTTTCTAAAAGCCCACAGGCAGACGGATCCTTGTACAAACTAAAATTATTTAAACTCTTGGACAAGAAACTGTTCTCTGATGACAGATCAGCTTTGTAGGAGGCGTTGAAAGAAAAGTCCCGCTGAAAGAAAAACGACTCGGGCGACATTAATGTGTCCAAGAACGGAGTGTAATTTCAGAGGGAAAGGAATAAGGTTTCCCTTGTTGTAACCACAAACCAACTATTTGTGCTATTCTCAACAAGAATGTGACCCATGTTTCTCTGTTTCCATCCTCGAAAGTCAATTTCTAATCTCGCCAAATTATTGGTGGCATTTGCCAGCTCTAAATATACGGTGACCAAGCTCAAACTACGTCTAGTGGATGCAAAATTTAAGATATCTGATTTATAATCCGCCTCAAGGTGACTCTAAAGAGCTGTATCTTGGATATCTTGAAGAGCTCAGGGTCTGATTGAAGAAATATCAAGGAGAGTTAAAGTGAAAAAATATTCTGAGCTTTTTCAGACTCCATCTCCACCCCTCCTACTCTCATCATCATTACGTTTATCACTACCACCATCAGAAAGTTAAATTACAGGGACAATGTTTATATTTCCTTTCTTGACCAACATTGTTATTTCACTGTGTAATTTACCCATACATGCTGGGAGCCATACGTAGAGCAGGGAGTGAAACACCCTAAAGCCTGTGTGTGTATGTGTGTGCGTGTTAAGTGTGTGTGGGCACTTTCGTGGAATTTATTTTGAGTTTTCTTGGATTTCCTAAACTAAGGTTTAAATACAGCATGTCAGAGTGCATTTTGAACACGGGGCCCTGTGTTTGTCTTGATAAGTTAAACAGTGGGAATTCAGATCCAGTTTGCGGCCTTTACCGTACAGATAGAGGCAGAAGTGGTTCAGATGTGTCCTTTTCATACGTACGAACCCACGCATGGTGACCAGTATGGACGCAGGCCTACAATCTACCAAAACCAACACAGAGACGGATCCAGTTAGGCTGCAATCTGGTCCCTGCCATTTCAGTCGTCTTCCTTTTCACCCATTCTTTCTTGGTTTTCTTTCCCCCACAGTTTTTCGTGGTTTAGGTCGGGTTTATTTCAATTTCACCTCATTTCCAAATTTGCAGTTGGTGCCTTTTGTTCAAGACATACATCGAAACCAGAGATCGTGTCGCAGGCATCATTATGGCTGCAGCTGTTTGCTTTTACAAAATCCTCCACTTATCCTCCACTATCTTTTATGTTGTTCGGAGATTATCTCGTCCTCTACAACAAAGTCTTTTATTTTGTTGACATAGATTTAGGCTTGTTGGCTCACCCAGGGTGGTGGACTACACACAATGTTTTTGTTGTCGTTGCTCCAGCTACATAATGGCGGTGATGAGGTGTGACAGATCCCTAAAGTAGATGTTTGTGGCGCTGCTGCTCTGCTTTCGGAGCGTTTTGTCTTTAGAGATAGGAGCTTTTTATAGCTGTTTCACACTAAAGTGGAGAAAGCACATTCATGTCGTACAAATCCTTGAATGAGCGTGGCGTCATGGACGAATAAAGTCTGTGAATGTCATTGTGTCTACACTGGGTGGCCCACAACTGTGCAAAGGAAATAAACCCCTACAGTTGTGTTCATGCCGCTCTGGTTTTCGTCAGCAGAGTCTTTAATCTACCGCTTTTCCTCCTCTCTCTTCAGGTACTGGGCCTATCCATATGAACAGTGTGCAGTGTATGGGGTCAGAGCGCTCCATCCTGGACTGCTACTTCCAAGATGTCCAACCGTGGACATTCAAACACAGCCAGGACGCGTCAGTACGCTGTAATGTCCCCAAAACTGGAATAGAGAACACGGTATGGAAAAAGACCAACGACCATCAGCTTAAAACCAAAACTATCAGCTTTCACTGATGACCTGTCACATCCTTAATCGCTTTCAGGTGCGTCTTGCTGGTGGTAGGGTCCCATCAGAGGGGCGGGTGGAGGTGCTGATGGAGGTCGGGGGTCGTAAACGCTGGGGCTCTGTTTGCAGTGAAAACTGGGGCATCAATGAAGCCATGGTGGTGTGTCGACAGCTCGGCCTGGGCTTTGCTGCCAGCGCTCATCAGGTAACCCACCGTAACACACACACACACACACACACACACACACACACACACACACACACACACACACACACACACACACACACACACACACACAGCAGCTTTCTAAAAGTCTGTTAATCTAAAGTGACCATATTCTGAATCCCCAAAAGAGGACACGAGTTCACGTGGGCGAAGTCACAGAGTCACAGAGTCACAGAGTCACACGTAGTTAATTTTGAGAGTTTTCCAGGTCGGCTCGAGTGTTTTTTACATGCGACACAAACTCAAAACTTCCATCCAACCTGACGTGTAATCTACACAGCAAAGATGATGTGGTTCGTAAAACACGTCAAATGTTGGTTTGAATATTTCTACCATTCTTGTGAGAGGGTTTGTATCAGAACTATGAATGTGCTTCCTCGGAAATGACGTCATATTTAATTAATGTTTTTGCCTCTGTATATTCCTTCCTTTGAACGTATCACGCATGGCAGTGTACACTTGATTTATTTTACTTTTATTTTACTTATTCATTTTATTTGTATAAGATGACACCTGAATCTCTCAACTGTATAAATTTGAACTTTTTTTGTCATGTGCTCTTGTTTTGATTCTGGAAAAATTTAATCAACATACTATATTTAAAAAAAAAACAAAAAAACTCTCATACAAACAACGCCAGATAAGGCCGAACAGCCCCCCAAAAAGAGGACATGTCCGGGGAAAAGGGGATGTATGGTCACCTTAGTTAATCAGTGTTTAAACTAAAGGACACAGCGTCCTAAATCTGTGCTGCAGTTCAGCGTTTAAATTAATTAGCCTGATTCTGAAAGTGTCAGATCAGATCGGTTATTTGTCCAAAGTCTGTCAAAATCTCATCAGCAGCGTCTCAGTTATTGATGAGAAAATGAGCCCAAAGATGTTTAAACGGATGAAAACATGGAGGCTAATCTATAGTCACAGCCCCCTGAGTGATGGTTCAGACGGTGAGCTATGAGACTGCTCTTCTTCTGACAGGAGACCTGGTACTGGCCGGGAGACCAAAGTGCGGCTGACGTAATCCTCAGTGGGACTCACTGTGTGGGAACAGAGCTTTCAATCCAACAATGTCGGCGCAACAACCACGTGCACTGTCCTCGAGGAGGCGGAACGAAGGCAGCTGGGGTCAGCTGTTCAGACAGTGAGTCGAACTTCTCTCTGTATCTCCTCGACTTGAATCTGCTTGACCCCTGACATAACTTCTGACCTTTCAGCTGCACCTGACCTGGTTCTGGACGCCCAGCTGGTCCAGGAGACAGCCTACCTAGAAGACCGACCTCTCCACCTGCTCACCTGTGCCAACGAGGAAAACTGTCTGTCCTCGTCTGCAGCCAGGATGAACTGGCCTTACGGGCACCGGCGCCTGCTGCGCTTCTCGTCTCGCATCATGAACCTGGGTCGCTCTGATTTCAGACCCAAAGCATCAAGAGAGAGCTGGGTTTGGCACCAGTGTCACAGGTCAGTCCTCGCCTATAAAACGACGGCTTTAACACTTGCTAAATGTGGATGTTGTGGTTGTACTTGTGGTTGTTCCAAACAGCTCAAGTGCGGTTTATAATGTCCTGATGCAGGTGAGATTTTAGAGGCTGTCAAAAATACTCTGACACCTGTTCCCCTTAGAAAATAACCCATTCGTGTATTAATGACACAACCCCCTCAGGTGGAGTTATTTAAGTTATATTTAATTTAATTGCATTCAATTGCTACCAGGAAAGAAAACAGGCTGAGGTGTGATCCGTGTGCCAGGGCACATTCAGTTCAGCATGCAACATTACAGCATTCAACATAAGAAGCTTTGTGCAGCCTTGAAGCATTTTGTCCATTAGCTGTAAATAGATGAAATATTTTCCCTTTTAACACATTCCAGTCTAAGTTGCACTTTTCTCCCCTGTCAGTGGGTTAGTTTATACCAGGTGACAGAGGCACTTTCAGGCCTGTCGTCATGCGAGAAGAAGGAGTCATTTGAAGCCCACAGTAATGGCTGTGTATGAGTTATGGGTGGCCTGAAACAGTGCTGTCATCTTTCCATATCCATTCGCCTCCCTGCAGGAATGACGGCTGGGCCAGTCTAGTAAGTACAGGTCAGGTGTAATACAAAGGACAGGGTGGCCCAAGCACAGTCGGGTCCACCTCGGTTTGTTACAACACATCGCAGCTATGGATGTGTGTGTCAAAGCCCTCCATTCAGCCAGAATGAGTAAACAGCTCAACATAGCCGTCGCTAAAACAAGCGTCTGTGAGAGGTGTTTCGGTGACACCCACGCTTATGTTCGAGCGGTGAGGTCATTAGGCTGCACGCTATAGGGAGCCAGTGTTCAGCTGGCATAAATGCACACACTCATGGATGTAAATACACACACACTCACACACACTCTCTCTCACCTGGAGTTTCCCTTCTGTCGTCCCAGGCACTACCACAGCATCGAGGTGTTCACACATTACGACCTGCTGACTCTGAACGGCACGAGGATCGCAGAAGGACACAAGGCCAGCTTCTGTCTGGAGGACACGTACTGCCCTGATGGTAACTCTTAGCATTTATGAGCCCCCCCGGTGAAAAACTGTGTCCCATTAGTGACAGGAAATTAATATCAATATTTCAGCTGCAGCCATCGAGAGTGTTACTTCGTGGCTAATGTATCAGATCAGTGCTGTTGTTGTTTGTTCACTCCTCATTTATTCCTCGTATCAGGAGTGAAATGGCTCATATGAAACAGCGACGCTCACATGTTGTCGAACACGATTCAGGAAGCTAAAGGCTCTTAGGCATTAAATGAGCTCTGCTGTTGTGATTGATTATGTTGTATGTGTGTGTTAGGACTCCAGAAGCGGTTCTCCTGCTACAACATGGGAGACCAGGGTATCTCTGTGGGCTGCTGGGACACATATCGACACGATATCGACTGTCAGTGGATCGACGTGACGGATGTGCGTCCAGGAGACTACATCTTTCAGGTCAGAGGCCATTTCACATCGATAATATCCCCCTGTTAGAAGATTTGGCACATTTCAAAGAGATTTTTTAAAGTCAGAAAACCAGATTCATCTTAAACTTTGTGTTTGGGAGAATAGTTTGGGTTTGCAAATACTTTGCACATTAAAATTTTGGTAATTTTCTTTGATGGCAGGTTTGGTTAACCGTCCGAATTGTTCAGGGGAAAAGAAATCCAACAATAGTTTACAATTCAGAAGTCACATCTCAAAATCATAACCAATCTTAATGGGATATTCCGGCGCAAGATTAATTTAGGGTCAAACACAACGTAGCACCAGGTTAGACTGAACTTCATCAACGGTACATATAGGGTACGACTCATAGTACGAGCCACCAAACATCTTTTTAACTTTGACTAATTTCTTTAGCAAAGAGACTAAACACAACTCACCTACTCTCTTCCAGCAGCCGCTTGGTTGTAGCGAGACCTCGGGCCAGTCCATTATGGACAACAGTGGGGTGACGCAGTTCAAGGAGGAACATTTATGATCATTTCTTCATGGAAATACAATCAGACCGAGACGCTAAGGCGGTATGATAAATGTAATGATAAAGTAATGATCATAAATGTTCTTCCTTGAGCTGCGTCACCCCGCTGTAGTCCGTAATGGATTGGCCAACTTTATGCCAGAATATCCCTTTAAGAAATTGGACATGCAAATTGCAATCTACGTCCCCTAAACTCAGAAAATGGGATGAATTAGAGGAAAAGAAAAGTTGAACAGAGCATCATTATAAAGCTTTATTAACGTGTTTTTTTGGGGCTGTGGCTCTGGTGGGACAGCAGGTTTTCTCCGCTTCCTGATTGTGTCTTTTTTCAACATTAATCTGACCAACTTCTCATCTAAATCTCATCAAGAATTAAACTTTTTTTTTCCCTAAAATACTCCACTTCTCCTTTGGGATCAAAGATTCAGATGTTCAAAGGCTCTTAAAGGTGGACTCCCTCGTGACTGGTTGGGGTTTTCATCTATTTTAGTCAAACCTCCTGTCCTGCCTCATCCCAGTCATCACCTCAACCACTCCCCCATCTGTTATTACTTCCACTCTGGTCAATCATTCGAGTCATTGTGGTGCTACACTTAAACACATCAAGGGCTCTATTTGATATTATCCTCCATCCCCAATCCAAACAAGTGATCCCAGCGTGGTGTGCAGCATCCCCTGATCTCACGCTGCCAATTACACCCCACGTTTGTTTCACTGTGCGCTAATTACTGCCGTTTCTCAGTTTGTCACGATCAGTCTTTCTAATTAAACTTTCTTTTTACCCTCCATTGATGATGGTTTTGTTGAATTTACTTGTAAGAGACACAAAACGCATGTGTATAAATAAGTGTGCTGAATGGATGTATTTTAAGTATATATTGAGCGGGGTATAATTACAAAGTTTTCTACTGGTAGGCGGAAAGATTGAATGATAGACGAGGAAAGAAACAGGGTTTAGATGAATAAAAAGAGAGAAACTGGAAGAACAACTGAAGAGCGAAAAGGTCAGGGTCATTTAGGGAGAGGATTTAGAGACCGAGGCTGCGGAGTGAGGGGAACAAACATAGCTCTCTTTCTTTTCTCCTCCATTTATCTTAAACAGTGAGTTTGATTTTACAGAGAGGTCCAGGGGTGCTACCCTTGAACCACCCACTGCTAATGAAACTCACCCATTACCTAAATTAACCATCGCCTCCTTCTGCTCAAACAGCAGCTAAAGTCCCCCCTTCCATTAGGAACGGCTAATTTGCCACCAAGGAATTCCTCCTGCCCTGTTTATTTTTATTTTTATTTTTATTGCCACTTTCTCACCGAGCGGCACGTTCTGACACCGAAGCCGCTCTCTGAAAAGCCTCACGCTCGCTCCGGTCTAACGCTGTAATTTGAAAAAAAATTAAAAGCGAACACTTTCTTGTGTATTCACCGAGTTCTCTCGAACGTTTTCTCAGCTTATTTTCGTGTCCCTTTTCCCTTCTTTCCCCCTGTAGCTGTTTGTAACATGTACTTAAAGTGGGTGTAGCAGTTTACAGAGCAGCTATTAGAGTAAATGACTTCTCAGTATTATCACCAGGCCAGATTAAGAGAAAGGTTGTATCAGCAGTTATGGAGCTGCTCTGCAAATAACACACTATTAGCGCAGTGTACGGCGGCACTCAGAATGAGATGGATCTCAGACATGCAAACATACCTATGTGTAATAACTCCATTGCACCAGGCTCTAATTTAAGTCCTTATTATTGCATACCTGTGCTGGTATGAGCGGCAGATTGTCCCCTGCAGGTGTTTTGATGTAACACAAAAAGTTGCATAACCTCTTATAAAGTTAGTTATCATGTTTTTTGTGGGGAGAAGTCTCTTTGTAAGATGTTTTCATACAACTTGTAAACTTTTTTTTATGATGGGCTTTCCTCAAAGGACTACCAGTATGTTCCATACACGGTAAAAAGCGAGTGTTTACCACCGCGCGTTATTCAATCCATATGCTTCGCTGCAGACTAACAAGTGAATGTCACTCCAGCGTTAAGTCTATGAGAAAGTCAAGTGTTTTTTTTTATCTTTCAAAACAGGAATACTGTATGGTAAAGTCATCCAGCTTTTTATAGATGAGAATGGGATTGACTGTAAAAACAATAGCAGCCGCAAGTGCAGTTTAATAACAGGCCCTTTAACAGTTTTACATGCAAATCTTCTCCGCTGAAATGGCTCCCTCGGCGTGTTGAGAGAGGGGATCCAGGCTTTGTTTGACCATGTGCCAGTTTGAAGTGCAGTATAGGAACAAGAAAGTCACAAATTCTCTCTTTTTTCCTCATAAATGGTTGATGATGTGATGAAGTGCACACGTCTCTGCAGGTCAAAAGGTCTGAAACGTCTCCTGCCATGACATTGAATTAAAATACAGAATGTCTGAATTTGCAGGTTGAAGTCAACCCCTCCATGGACATGGCTGAATCCGACTTCATGAACAACGTCATGAGATGTAGGTGCAGATATGACGGCCACAGAGCTTACATGTACGGATGTCACGCAGGTGAGGATGGAAAACTGTTAACTCATTATTATTTCTCCATTTCCACTAAATTCCTCTGACTTTACACTCAGGATGGGAAGTGCAAGTGCTGTTTTAATACTGGACAGCTAAGTGATGTAGATTTAGGTTATCTGAGGAAACTGTATGATTAAGTTGATTTGCATTAAGAAGAAAAAAAGCTGTGAAAATACATTGGCTGGTTAATTCAGTAGCTTTTTTGAAATGAGCTAATTTTATAGCTCATTTTAAGTGTTTTAACTAATCATAAATGCTAAGAGTTACCATCAGGGCAGTACGTGTCCTCCAGACAGAAGCTGGCCTTGTGTCCTTCTGCGATCCTCGTGCCGTTTTATCAGTTTTTTTCCATCTATAAACAGGGGAGCAGCATGGCAAATACCTGGCAATGAAAGGGTTAAAATAATTTATCAATGTTTTATATCAATTATTAGGGCAGATGTGGACAAAAAAATTAGCCCAAAAAAGTGCAATTCAGTAATATTTAAGTATCTTTTTATAACTTTATTTGTTAAATGAGCATGTTGTGCACATAGCAATTTAAGTGTGTTTAGTGTGTGTTTGACATTTAGCAAAAATTAATAATGCATTAATTTCAATGTTGCATGTGATCACTGACATATCCCTGGCTCTGATAACTTAGCATAAAAAAGTCTCTTTTGCATGTAGTGTAATATAGGTAATCCATTTTATCTGTTTTTTCATCTAATAACAGAGTAGCATCATGGCAAATAGCTGGCACTGAAAGGGTTAAAATAATTTTAAATTTATCAATATTTATATCAATAATTAGGGCAGATGTGGACAAAAAAATGAGCCTGAAAAAGTGGAATTCAGTAATATTTAAGTATCTTTTTAAAACTTTATTTGTTAAATGAGCATGTGATGCACAAAGCAATTTAAGTGTGAGTAAAAAACTGCCATTTTTTCCCTTTTTTTGTTTTCCCACGTTAAACAAACTAACTTCAAATGTGACAGAATGCTGAATATCTCATTTTTCTCTGTTGTAGGTGATGCATACAGTGCTGAGATTGAAGACCTGTTCGAGCACCAGAGGCAAATCACCAACAACTTTGTGTAGCCTGATCCAGAGCCCAGTACGAAGGCCTCCATGTGGGGCCTAGAGACTTCTCAGGGCAGGCTGAGGTCAATGACCCTTGGGACCTTAAGACCCACAATAACACTCAAAAATGTGCCTGTTCGTCTCTCTGGCTGATGAGGACAAAAGATTCGTAAAAGATTTGGGAGGAGCAGCAGCCAAATCAGGAACTCTGAGCGGAGCAGGTGCCGGACAGCTCGACATGTTTTTACTCGACTTAAAGAAGAAGATTTTGAGCATTGATTTAACTGTACTGAGTTTTATGAATGTGGACGACTAGTAAGTTAAGGGTTATTCAAAACATTTACGCATGAAAGAACTAAAGTTAACTATTTTTTCTCTAAGACAATGAGGAGGCAGGTGCTGTTGAAAAAAATCTGTCTCTCAAAATGAAATATAAGAAAACCTGCCTCAAACATATAGTTAGTTTCTATGATGTCAGCTGCAAAACAGGGAATTTATGTGCATGTAGCTAAAAGTACTTAAATTGGTTTCACTGGTTTTTATCATCCCAGTTTTTTTACTTATATTGAATCATTTCTTACTTCTTTTATTTCATATTGGTGCTCTTAAACAATACTGTACCTAGTTTTATTAACCTCACGGTGTTTCAGGTGAATCTTGAGTAGTTTATCAGGTATTTCAATTTTGTTTTGGCTTTAAAAAAAGACGCAGTCATGCTAAAAGTTTTGCTTGCCATCTAGAGTAGATCAAATGATTTCTATGAAACAAAGCACTTTATCTTTAAAACATCAGTATTCAAGTTTTGCCCCTCGTAGCTTTTAAATCAGCCGACAAATTTCCTTTTCAGAGAGAAACTTAATTTCAGAGCAAAATATAGATTTGTGTTTAGTTTTCATATGCAATGTTATATTTATGCTGTTTCTTTATTTATTCACAGACTTGTCTCCAAAAACAGCATGCTCAGATAAGATTTTGGTAGCTACGGTTTTATTAACGGCACTGTTTGTTTCGTTCGTCCAAAGAAATAAATTCACGCTGTAGTTACAGGACATATTATCAGAACAATACCTTCATGCAGTTGCATAATTCTTCATATATTTTAGTTATTAAAACAACTGTAACTGTACAGTTTTGTCTCCCAGCCTCTCTGGTGGGAGGGAAAACTGGTGAAGCCACAGTTTTGCGGCGAGCAGGCAGGCGGGCAGGGTTTAGAGAGCGTATAAAAAGCCTTTTAATTACGTCTGTTTGGGTTAGACTTAAGGTTACGGTTAAGGTTCGGGCTATAGCATGTGCTTTAAGAAGAAACACTATGGAGTTGTTACTCGTGGAATCAGAGAGAAAAAAAATCAGGAAGCTGGGTTTTCTTTTTAGTCAAAGGCTACAAGGAGACACGGTGCGTTTTGGTGAGATTCGGTGAAGGTGCAGCGATTCAAAGAAATGAAACCAGAAAGTCAGATAAAGAGAGAGAGACAAGGATGAAGTTTGGAGAAAGACTTACAATTTTTACTGCCAGAGCTGCCTTTTTTGTAGGCAGCCGTACGGAGACCACAAGCTGGCATTTCCAGCTCCCCAACGAGAACAACATGTTTGTCTGGGAGAAAAAATAACCCCCTCGATTCATGCTTCAGCACAGTAAACACTCAGAGGCCTTATTTTAACCAAAGCTGGGCCTGCTTAAATATATTATATCGTCCGACACTTCGCTTACTTTTTAGCTCCACTCCAAACAATGATTCAGCTCCATTTTCTTTACAACATGGAACTTGTGTTAATCATGTTGTTGCACCACATTAATGTGTTTGGCTTATTGTCTTAGCGGTTAAAAATCCCGTTAAGATGGTTTTTCCAATGGACTCTCTCCAGGACAAGTGGTGGAAACAATACGTCAAGTGTCGACTTAATCAAGCTCTTGAGCGGATTTTCTTTCTCCTTAACGACTCTTTAGGATTCGCTTCAACGTAGAAAAACCTGGAGAGACCTTAAGGATAACCTTTTATCACACAGACAGCTAAATTACGGTGAAATGCTGATAAAAATGTCTGAGGTAGATCTGAAAATCTATACAGAGATTGCTGATATTTTTGTGCTTGTGTACAGTTGTTGTTGTCGTATTACCATGATCTGTTCTGTGTGTTATTTAAAACTATATTCCATAGCTTAAGTCGGTTTATACTCACCACTGTTGTTGCATTACTGTATTTGTACCCATGCTGTAGGCGTAGCACTGGGACATACTTCTCCGTGGCCAGTTCTGCTTTTATTTTGCCTTCTTAAAGCTGAGAGTGTGAGCTAAGTGGTGCTAATCTACAATCACATTCACAGAAAGCTGTGCTCTCAGGGACTTTGACCTCATCTAAAGAGTTATTCTTTAGGTTTTTCATTTGATGTGATAATTATTAAAAGGTTGCTCTTCGCTGTGATGCATACACCATGACACCAAATGAACTGGAGCTGAACTTTAACACTCAGCACTCTTTGGAAAGTAATCTGTACCCACATGTTTATTTTGCAGATAGAAACTGAAGGTATGACGGTGATAAGCTTTGTTTCTTACTTCAGGGGGAGTTATCTGTGGATAGACACTGGCTGAATCAGAGAGAAATTTCAGTTGTGCAACGAATCACCATCCAATCATTCATCATTACTGTGAATCAATAAAACTTCATCACATACTAAGCTGTCTCCTGCTTCCTGCCTCCATGAAATATGACTTGAAATGTGTTTTATGACATATTTTTCTTCCACCTGCTCTAATTTTTGTGAGTTATTTTTTTAGGAAGATCTGATCCTCCTAACTGAGTTCTTGGTTTGTTTACACTTAAAGGGATATTCTGGTGTAAAATTAAGTTCAAACACACAATAACGCCGAGTTAGACACCCCGTCGAGAGATGAATGTTGCCGACTGCTTGCTTCTCTAGTTATACCAACTTTAGTAACAACTGCACAATAGCAATACAGAGAGCCACACGCTCAACCAAAACGCCACTCTATTGGCACAAATAATGCTCAGAACAGCACCTAACTTCATCAACAGGACATATAGGGTCCCAGCCATAGTACTAGCCACCAACTTTGACTAATTTCTTTATCAAAGAGACTAAACACAACTCACCTACTCTCTTCCAGCAGCCGCTTGTCTGTAGCAAGACCTCGATCAGTCCATTACAGGCTGCTGCGAGGTGATGCAGCTCAAGGAAGAACATTTATGCAATTGATCGTAGCGCACTGCCACGGCTAAATAAAAGCCGCCACACTTAAAAAAAATACGTTTTTATCTCGCATAGTTCTACCTCAGACTCATACGTAATGTCAGTAATGTGTCCCCTACATTCACCGCTACTGAAATTTCACATGACCATCAATATAAATGCTCCGCTAATGATCCTACTCGCACTGTGTGAGCACAACAACATACAACGTTATTTCTGACTTGTTGTGAGTTATCAAGGAGCGCATCAAATCCTGTCAGACCCTCTTCTATCAACATGAAAGGTAGTGTTTAATCTTATACACGGCCTATATAGCGAGTAGCATTCATAGCATGAGTAGCATTTTTATCAATGCGGCACTAATGGTTTCTACTTGAACTGGGTGAGCGCAACAACACACAATATTATTTTCGTCCCCCCACCGCTGAAAGAAATTCTGGGGGAAACACTGTGATCATTTCTTTATCATTTCCTTGAAGTAATAATCATCATATTAATCATTTTCACTGCAGATCCGGTAGTTCTTCAGCCTTAGCATCTCGGTCTGATTGCATTTCCATGAGGAAATGATCATAACTCGGTGTTACGGTGTGTTTGACCCTAACTTAATTTTACGGCGGAATATCCCTTTAAAGCCGGTGAAGTACTCTCAACTGTTTTTTCAGTGTTTCCCATAAAATAACCGGATTTTCCCAAGCACGAACCTTTCAAGTTCTTAAATTCTCTGCTACTTAATCCTTTACAAACACTGTCCCTCATGTTCGAGAAACTGCAGTCTGACTACTTCAGTAAGAAAAATACACAGAAGTGTCCAGGAATTAATGACTAAATTCACAGCATATCAAATCTGGGAGAAGAGGGTGGAGTAATCATCTATGTCTGGAAAGGAAATTTACTCTTCAACAAAAGTCTGATTTGATCATAGTTGACAAGTCCACCCAGAAAGAAAACAGGCGGGCTGTGAAGTGGTCACCGGCTGGGATGAAATAGCTGCAGGGCAAACAGGAAGGGAACACTTGAAAGCAGAGCACCTGGGTTCATGGAGTGTACACGCACACATTCAGCGTCATGCGACTGCAGCTCACTGTATGTCCATCAACACGTATACAAGCAAACAAGCAAAGAGGAGTTCAAAGTTTGTCTGATAAATAGATCCAGGTGGAGGAGGTACAAGTTTAGAAAACCTTGGAAGGTGCGAACACAGCTGACATATCCTCCTGGTGGCGATAAGGCGAGGTAGAAGTGGCGCCCACTCTACCAACCAAGACATACATTAAGGGTGACCATATTCTGACTTCCAAAAAAGAGGACATGACTACATGGGGGCGGAGTCATGGAGTCACAGGAAGTTAACTTTGAGAGTTTTTTGTGGCGGGTCGAGTGTCTTTTACACGCTTCGAACTCAGTAAGTCCACGTGACACAAAATCGAAACTCTCGTACAAAACCGCCGACATTTGAAGGATTTTATAAACTTCCCCAAAAAGAGTACATGTGCGGGTAGAAGAGGAAGTATGGTCACCCTATTACCAATAAGAACTAAGAACCGTTATGTCTTGATTTGAAGTAAAAACTTACGGCTATCAAAAGTTCAAAGTCTCTTGAGTCAGCATTAGTTATGTTTTCTTTTGACAAAGCTCCTCTCCTCTGCTAACCTGCATTTGACAACAAAGCTATCAGTCAATTATCTTTCGCTAACTAATCCACACTAAACTACGAAATCTTGTGAAAACCATAGACTGTATATACTCTGGACAACTTCGTTCTGCATTCCGCCAGTATACGGATTTGAAGCTGAAAAGCTCTCTGTATTTCTGCGATTTTTTTCCACTTCCTGAAAGCAACATTGCGCAGTAGTATTGTACGCATTCAACGGGAGAGTCAGTGTGATGACACTCGGCTCAAACAGCGTATACCCCAGGTGAGCTACGCAATCATCGTTCACCCATAGGCTGTATCAGGTGTCAATCATAGGAAAAATCGAGCTGCACAGAAAAAAGAAGATTTGAGCACAAACCAGTCTTACTGTAACTACACGTCAACATCACAACCAGGGGGGAAAAAATTAATATTCTGTGTAATAAATTTCTAAAGTTTGTCCACAGCTCTATAAGCTTTGCTGTCAGAGGCGGGATTCATGACTTATTCTGCAGCTTGTCAGCAGAGGGTGCTGTTCTCAGGGTGGCTTTACCCAGAGATGAGGAAGACGGCGTCTATTCTATATATAGTCTATGTGAGAAACTGATTAAAATGACAATTACTATATGTGAGAAAACTTTTAAGACGTGCTTTTTAAGTTACTCGTCTGATCCATGTGCCACCTGTTTACATGGTGGAGGTTAGTTGGTTAAACACTTAAGGTGTCCATGATGCTGACCCAACAGTTAATCCCCTTTTTTTCCTTTCTGTTTGTTGTCAGATTTGTTAATCCTTTTATTTCTGGTGTAGTTTTCTTTGCACCCCGTCTTAGAAACAGTATTTCATTCAGCGGTATCAATTGTACGTGGATGGATGATAATGGAGTCGACTTGACCTGATTTGAATTACCAGCCTAAATTTCCTCAGAGTTCACATAGATAATGTTTTTGTGAAATTACGTTGAGCTTCTTAACTTCTTAAAACATGAACACAGAGATAAATCCACTTGCTTTTAGAGCGGTTTGAGTCGCTCCCTGGAATAAAGTCACAATCTGTAAAGACCTGAATTATCTCGTCCCACTTGCAGACACTAGATACTAGTGTCTAGGATCTGATGGAAAAGAATATCATTTGTTTGTCAGAACATGATTACATCTCCAGGACGGCTCAATCTTGTGCAGCACGGACTCAAGTCAAACCCAGAACAGGAGTGAGAAAGAAGGAACTGGAGTGAAAAAAAAGGGAAATATGCCCAAGCTCCATCCATAAACACTCAGCCATGCAGTTCTCGTTTTATCCTTACAGGCCCACTTCCTGTTTGCAGCACGTGTTTTTATTCAGGAGGCCCCCTCTGCCACCCCACCCTGACCTGATGGGGACCACAGAGGGCTCCACAATGGAGGACTGTGTGCACTCTGAATGACAGACCTGTCCATACAAGCTACAAGTGCCCCTCCATACACCCCCCCAATGTCACACACACATACAAACAACCGGACTGCATACCGTCATCTCTTTTTGGATGCACTGTTCCATGGTTTACGAGGCAGACAGACACAGAGAGGGATTTTTCTGATCGAACGGCAGATTATTGAGCAGGAATGTGTTTGCTGAAAGAGCCACATGTTAGCTTCGATAAAAGAAATGTCTGCTTTTTATCACGTCTGCGGTGATAAGCCGCTACTGTATCATCCTAAGAGCTGTTAAGAAGCCTCATTAGTGTTTCCTGTTCCTTGTAATTGTAAAACCGACTTCCTTTATTGAGCCTGTGTTTCTATAGATCACAGGCAGAGCACCTGACACACGGGCCCTCACTCATCACCTTGGATTGTTAATATTTACTGATAAGGAGATGCTTTGCTGAGTAATGATCATATTTGCATAATTGTCCCATCCTGTTGAGTAAAGAACACATTATGAGACAGATTTAATTTCCATGTCTGGCCCATTGAGAGAGTAAATGAATAGGCAGTGAGATATAATGACTTCGAGGAGCACAGAGAGCACTTGCAAATTAGCACAATGCCTTTCTTAGGTGCTTGTACATTATTATCTGCTTCTTTATGTGCTTGTTTGAGTGTTTCCTATAACTGAATATGCCTTTATGTGTGTGCTGGTGCTTGCGCACGTACCCGTGTATCCCCCTCTTCTCCCACTCCTCCCCACCCCAACCCTCTCCTCTCTGCACGCTGAGATTTATTGCAAAACAGCCCTGTGAGAGAGTACACATGCTCTGCCCAGTCTCCGTACTGCACCCTGACAATTACTGCTATATATACCACTCCAAATGAGAGCCATGAACCGGCGTGATTATAGGGTGGAGCAGAGGCAAGGAGGGAGAGGGGGGGAAACGAAAGGATGGGCCCAGAAGAGTGAGAGAAAGAGAAATGGGGAGAGAGAGAAGGAGAGCCGGGAAGGGAGATGGGTCATATGAGTGGAGGTGACCGAATTCTGCTGTGAATCGTATTGTGCATTTCTCATAAATCAAAGTGTGTCTGACAAGCGGTGTTTTAGTCTTAAAAGCTTCCTTTTCATGAAAATGAAGCTGGTTAGACAAGATTAAAGAGGAGAGAAGCATGCTGGGAATGAAGACTATCTTATGGTGTTTTTTCTGTGGGGAAACGTCAAGATTATGACTCTCATCTGCACATTTCTCTTTAACAAATTACACAGCGTGGCTTTAAATGCAGGGATAACATAGTGTAGGTTATATGACAAAGATTCATCAACATTTGGTGCAGAAATGCTGCCCTCTTCTGGAAGTAAAGGGAACCAGCTAAATGGAAGAAAAAGAAACTTCAAATTAAAAAAAGTGACAGGATGTGCATTTCCTTTACCATCACCTAGAGATTAATATTTAAAGGGTATTTAAATGTTGCCTGAAACAGAAAAAAGGAACAAAATCCAAAATAAAAATAAAATTATAGATATCTTATCAAAAACAGGAGTCTCAAAGATCCACCAAGTAAAATGAATCTCTATAACTACCCAAACAGGTTGGAAATACAGCTTATCCTGCTGTTTATGCCATTTTCAGGATTTTTAGGCTTTATATCACCCTCCACACTTAAAATCAGAGAAAAAGGCACAAGTCAGAATCAGAGCTTTGCCACCTTTAATTTGTCATTAAGGGTTTGATACGATCTCATACGTTTATTATTTTTATCACAGCTAGCTGTTAGCAAATGTGTTTTATATTTGCTGAGATTAAAATTACAAAAGCTTTGAATGCCCTGCTAAATGACAGTCCTGAAGCATTAAGTTACCCTCCAAGCAGAAGCAAAACACCACCGATGCAATAACTTAAACTTTGCCTAGTTCAAGAATTATTCTAAATTTAGGACATTTTATTTAATATTGTCATTTTTTCAGTTGTACCAGCTCAGATCTGTCTCACCTAAGCATAAGCCACATTATATATCCCACACCTAGCTCTAGGTAGGTGTGATGTGCTCCATAAACCCCCGGTTGTCATGCTGCATTATTAAAAAAAAAAAACGAGATAACTTGGAAGATGAAGATAAGGAGTTGACATTGTTGGCAGTCTGGTTTCTGCAGTGTGTCCTCTACACCGTCTCTCTTATCTCCTTAAAAATATGATTTTGATCTAAACCCTCACTTTCCAAACTTTTTGAGGAAAACATCTCCAAGAATAGAGATCATGTTTGCGTTCGTGATATCACCACTAAGTTGTTTCGAAATATGGTTCATGTGGACTTCACACCCCAAGTTAAGACGTACGCAAAGCAGGTGTAAACATCGCCTTATATATACTAAATTACTGCAGCAAATATGTCAACAATCAAGAATCCAAAGCTCAACATTATGCTAGCTACCTAGCATTACAAGAGCAAGAAGTATGTGTTGTTCATATTATATTAAATGGTGAAATTGGCTAGGACTTGGTCAATGCTAGCATTAGCCGCTGTCTGCTGGCAGCTAACAGGTCGTCAAACGTGCGTTTTCACTCTATTTCCCAGTTGTTTATGAAGTAAAAAGTGTTTACAATGTACCTGTTTTAAGCTAACCACATTTAGCATCAGTAAGGAACAGGGCTGCCAAGTTTCAGAAAATGACAAGAGTGAGACTTTAGTGTTACGATGTGTTGATTTATACCTAAAGACTGATGTCCTCACCTCTATGCCAGCTGCTCTCTCTGCACTGTGGCCTCCTAATGCTAGTCTTTACCTACTGTCCATCTTCAGGAGAGCAGGAGAACGTCAAGTGGGTTTTAAATGTCAGCGCCGTTGTGTGCAGAAGATAGTTAGAGACGCCAAGACCTGCCTTACGTTGCTTCTGATTGGTTTATATCGTGTGGTGCCTTCCTTGGTTGGTTTGATTTAGGCACCAAGGACTGATGAATTGGTCTGGGGTTGGTTATCTCGGTCAGTCAATCAGAGTTACTCAAACTACAGCAAGCCAAGTTTATTATCATGAAAAAAATAAATACAGAGTATTGAATGGGGGGAAATAAGCGTGGAAATGTCAAGTGTGGCGTGTGGTGTGAGAATGGGTCAAATATTGCGTGACTGTCACACTCAAAGTGTGACGCTTGGCAGCTGTGAAGTATGGCACCAGGCAAGTATTATGAATGGCCACCTTATGGCCTTGCCTATGATCAGATTGCAGGATTTATCTGGTAATAGATTTCCCCAATAGATTTTTTTTAACTCTGACTCAATGTTTGGAAAGTTTGTATAAAGTTGAAAAAGAATATTTCAAATTTGGAATGGGCTAATTTAACATAAACTTCAGACGCTTACTATTATGACTGTATTTTATCGTTATGTTTGTCCTGGATTTGGGTTCCCACTAATGTTAAATCATTACGCATTTTCTTGTCTTGCACAGAAAGCTCAAATTTGGAGCTTAAAAGTGCAAAAGCTGAGATTTCTGGAAGTGTGACAAAGATGACAATAATGTTCGACACATAGCCTACATCCTGGTTATCAGAAAAGCTTTTACAGTCGCTCACTTTACGCCTTATTTCCCACACATGGTGGCTGTCTAAACACTGGGCTTGTCACTTTGGCCGAATGACAGCCTGCTGTTAGTCTCAGGGGTACCCTGACTGCGCCGTCACCTCCACCTGGCTGTCTGGCTACAACCGCGAACAAAAAAAGCAGCATGTAAGGAAAGATTAACGACACGGGAACTGATGTCACAGCGAAAATACCCACATATGATGTATCGAACGGTTAGAGATAATGGATGTAGGATGTTGCCGAGCTCAAGCCCCGGTGATGAGCCATTTACTAAATAGATCAGTCTACCTTATGGGGTCATGAGACTGTGAGCAAAGTGGTGAACCTGCAAATGTTGAGTGGTGAAATAGCTGTTCTCTTTAATCCCTCTCCATGAGCAGAACCCATCCCTGTGGGGGGGAAAGCAGCAGGATCACATTACCCATGGACCAGTTTTCATCGTACAGAAACCCACGCTCCGCCTCACTCCACCGGCTCGCATAATTGGAAGCATCTTGGCATGAAGATAGAGTCAAGGTGGCATATCAATGGGCGCGTACTCCAAGGGCATGCAGATAAGAAAAGGCTGTTTCTCTTTACAGGTTTGGTCCATGATGGGGTCACTGGCCCTCCACTGAAGACCGCGTAGTGACTCACATACGAATAGCCACGGCTGATCGGTGGCGTGAAGCACGGGTAGTACAGTTCACTCTCAGTGTCAGTCATCCCTAACGCCAAAAAGAAACTGTTTTGTTACCAGGTCATGTCTCATTTTTTATGCGTGTTTAGCAGCAGAGCATCTCTGCAAAGTGAGAGATGAGATTTTCACGGTAACTCTACTCACTGATGAAAATGACTGATGATTGGCAGTTTGCAATGTTACTCCGCTGATGTTCACCGCTGAGACCTCTGCAGATAAGGGACTCTGTGTCTACCCAGCACTGATATGTTTGCTGCTGAGGAGCATTGATGGGTTTATAGAGTTAAACACTATTCATTTAACTCTGTATCACTGACTAAGAGTTGGATTTTTTGGAGGGATCTGAACAACAAAAAGGTACAAAAAGTGGTCAAATAATAAATGTCCTTATTATTGGTCAATGTGGAATAATAATGATGAGGATTGAAACACTGATCTTTCATTTCCCATAACTTCATTTGCAAAATTAGACCTTGACTGTGAGGTTAAGGTCTAATAATAAAATTATCCCTCATGTATCTCAAAGTTCTGACATCCAGTGTGTTTGTAAGTCAAACTAAAGCAAAAGTTATGCAATGACTCTTTGAATGCAGGACCCATAAGTAGAAACTTGAGCCTTTTTCACTAGATCATAGGTGAGTGTCTAAAAACACAGCAGGTAATGCATCTCACTGATAGCTGTCACCATTGACTATATTCAGAATAGCCATTAAAGTCAATTCATTTCGGCCCATGATGAGCTTTGAAGCAAAATATCACCTGCAGAATCTGGCTGGTAGCTTTGCAGGACTGATATCACACTTGAATCGCCAACTAACACACACTGATGTGTACGAAAGAGGATTAGGGCCACATAAAAAAAAAAAAAATTTACAGGAAGGTCGAAATTTCGAGAATAAAAACATCAAAATTATGTCAATAAAGGCAAAATTTGAGATTAAAAATTAAAATATTGTGAATAATGTTGAAATTTCGAGATTAAAGGAATCAAAATTTCAAGATCATAGTCAAAATATCGTGAGTAATGTTAAAATTTCGAGATTAAAAGAATTAAAATTTTGAGATTAAAGTCGAAATATTAAGATCAAAGTTGACATGAATAAATTTCTACTTTAATCTCAAAATGGAAATTAAAAAAATCTCCCTCCTGTAATTATTTTTTTCTGTTCTTGTGGCCCTAATCCTCTTCCGTAGATGTGAGTGCAGTCAACGGTGGGACAGATTCTTGTGTTGATCAGATGCAGACTCTCATGGTTGTAAGTTTAATGACTTTTGTATTTGTGTTTTCTGTCAATCATGACGCCACATCTGATGTTTCAGAATCTAATAACTAATTAAAACTAAACCTATCAGAAAAACGAGCGCTCTGACATAAATCAGCATAATGATAAGAAACCGAAACAGCAATAATCTGTATGAGAAAAACGTATTTGAAGAGTATTTAATTTTATTGTTTGGCAGCTCTCCAGTCTGTAAATAAAGTTTATTGAACACACTGCAGCCTGTCAGCAGGGTGAGCTCTGAATCTCTTGGAGTCACGCTGGATGGATACTTATGGTGTCCACTGTACATGCAGTCTATGGTTGTCATATATGACAAATTTGAGGAACTTTGGTTGGAAGGAGGTGGTGGACCCCGAGGCTGACCATAAAACCACTGGTCTAGACTGTACTTTGTCATATTATTTAGGGCAACCAAACATTTGTCCACCGTGAGGAGGCACCTGCCAAATGGAAACCAACATCTTCAGGTTTATTTTCACAGACTTCATACCCCCCCTTTTTCCACTGCAAGAACTTTCTCAGTTTACTTAAAGACTTCCAATGAAGACAAACTGCAGGGCCAACCCTAACGAGCACTGTGTTTATTTTGTATAATACATGTTTATCTGTATGCGGGTTTTAAAACTAAAACTTCAGAAATTATGTTTTCTCTGGGTTTCTGATGAGAATATATTTGGTAATGTACCGGGAAACAACAGAAAGGTTAAAGTTTAGAAAGAGTTCAAGTTTTGGTTTTATGATTCTGAATAGCAGAAGTCATGTTGATTTAAGCTCCTGTTTGAAAACTTAAAGGGATATTCCAACTTAAAATTAATTTAGGGTCAAACACACCGGAACACCGAGTTAGACACCCCGTCGAGAGATGAATGTTGCCGACCGCTTGCTTCTTTAGTTATACCAACTTTTGTAACGACCGCACGATAGCAATACACAGCGGTCTGAGGAGCCATAAACAAACCTCAACCAAAACGCCACTCTATAGCCACAAATAATGCTCAGAACAGCACCTAACTTCATCAACAGGACATACAGGGTCACAGCCATAGTACTAGCCTCCAAACATCTTTTTATCTTTGACTAATTTCATTAGTAAAGAGACTAAACACAACTCACCTACTCTCTTCCAGCAGCCACTTGTTTGTAGCGAGATTTCAGGCCAGTCCATTACGGACTACAGCGGGGTGACTCAGCTCAAGGAAGAACATTTGTGATCATTTCTTTATCATTTCCTTGAAGTAATAATCATCATATTCATCAATTTTCACTGCAGACACGGTCGTTCTTCTGTCTTAGCGTCTCGGTCTGATTGTATTTCCATGAAGAAATGATCATAAATGTTCTTCCTTGAGCTGCGTCACCCCACTGTGGTTCGTATTGGCCTAGCCCTAGATCTGGCTACAAACAAGCCGCTGCTGGAAGAGAGTAGGTGAGTTGTGTTTAGTCTCTTTGCTAAAGAAATTCGTCAAAGTTAAAAAGATGTTTGGTGGCTAGTACTATGGCTGGGACCCTCTATGTACTGTTGACGAAGTTAGGTGCTGTTCTGATCATTATTTGTGGCTATAGAGTGGCGTTTTGGTGTAACGCATGGCTCCTCAGACCGCTGTGTATTGCTATCATGCGGTCGTTACTAAAGTTGGTATAACTAGAGAGGCAAGCAGTTGGCAACATTCATCTCTCAAGGGGGTGTCTAACTCGGTGTTACAGTGTAAAAATCGGAATATCCCTTTAATTCCTTTATCTGCTGCAAGGGGGTATTACTCTGTCCACAGAGGGCGTCGAAATAGAGGAGCTTTAAGTCATACATATGGCGTCTATTGTTGTATAAAAAGGGGGGGGGTCAGTTCCTCTCCCTCCTACCCTATTCATCTGTCCCATTTGAGCATCATACGCCGCCCCACTGCTTCCTGTCCTGCTCCAGTATCCTCCCTGCTCTGTGCCTCTCTGGAGCCGGACCTCACCACCTCCGCACAAATAAAACTGTGTGCCAAGCTGCATTAACCCTGCATCCTTATCGCCTTTCTGACTTGAGACATTTTATGAGCAGGAGCTGTCAGCCCCCCTCAGACACCAACAACAAGAAAGGGCATGCTTTATGCACTGCTGCATCACCGGCAACTCTGTTTACTATACACTGTTATCATTTAACTGCATGTACACTCAGAAAGGTCACATTTTGGACTTCAATTCATCACATCTCATTAAACCACATATATACAGTGTAGCTTTAAAGCTGTTTCTGAACTGGCAGGTGCGACTCAGCAAAGTTGTAACATATAAACACACCTTTGTGTTCACATGTAGGTGAGGCAGGAGGCTGCCGGCTCAAACCAGCTCTCTGGACCCTCTTTAAGTCTCTGCCCACACGTACACTGACCACACCAGCCCTTACTGTCCCTGAAAAAGGCGTTTATGCTTATTGAGGAAGAAATGACTCAACAACCTGACCTGAATGTGTCCATAACTCCAGAAATATCTCATAAAAAGAGTAAAATAATGTCTAAACAGCTAATTTTAAAACAGTAGCATATTGGTCAACAGGCTCCACCAGGACAAATTTAATTTCATGCCCCCAAGTTTATAATCTAAATGTTTGTTTTTTGCCTTTCAGTATGCAGGCACTGTTGCATGAATCGGCTTGTATTCAATCCAGCGACATCGCCCCGGCTTACACTACTACAGCATTAGTATATGCAAAACCTCATAATCACGCTGTGGCTTTGGCCCCTCGTGGTTTCTATAGCAGTGACTTAATTCTGCTCCACTAATCACAATAATTATAGATATTACAGTAGCTGTGGTAATTACTGTAGGGCACTGGCTCCTATCCTTTAATGGATGCTTGAACAAACAGATTTCAGATAACTTTGGGAAGAAAACTAATTTATGGCCTCTGAAGGTAGATCAATCAGGTGACGGGGGTCGGGGTTGGGAGGGTGAAACAGGGTGGGGTTCGGTAATTAATACAGAGTGCAGTAAGAGATGGAACCTGGCTCTTCCTTCTTTTAAAATCCTGCACCCCTTTCATCTGCGCGCATCCCTCCTTCCCGCCGTGCCTTTGCCACATTATTTATCTCCGCTGTCACACCATTGTTGTGATTATGGATGTCATGCAGCCGTAAAGCGCTCCACGATCAATAGGCCTGAAATTAAACCAAAAAATGAATTTCCGCAGTGTCGGCCACATGCACTCCTGAGCAGGAATTACCTTGCAGTAGAAAGGCTGATTATCCCACAGAGGAGACAGCGGCACAGACACAGGAGGAAGGAAAGTGCTCGACTGAGGCTGCCAACAAGGACAGCGCTGCCATTTTTTAAAGAGCTACAGATCACAAATCACCGGTCAACTACGTTACTTTTTTTTCCAAACAGGACCATAAACACTAAATTATAAAGAGCAGGATTTTCAAATGAAGTTGACCTTATGGAGCTGGAACTTTTTCAACGATAGTGCTTCCTGTCAAATGCCAAAACATTACAAGACTCTGTGTGGCATTTAGATTTTATGTCCTTAATATAATGTAGTAACAAGTCTGTGTTACTCATGACGACACGGGCCAAACCGAAGAGATGATGTAGTCGTTTTCCTCCAGGCTGAGATCAATACACTATTAAGCATGATGAGATGAAAAAGTGGTCATTAACTCCAACATGAGCTCATTTGGAGAAGCATACAGACTCTGAGAGACTTGGGCCAAGAACTAATTTGATCACCTGACCGTTGCAGTCTTTCTGGAAAAGCTACAAACACAAAATGAAGTATGCAGGTCACTGAGTCTGAGGCTTGTCTCTGTGATCACTTTCACTTTGCTGTCTGCTTCACTACATTTGGTCTGAGGATGTGAAAGTGATGGGAGGAGATTTAAACTGCAGTTTCCTGAGTGTCCACTAGAGGCTGGCCTCAAAAGACCAGGCTGCACCATTTATCATGTAGTTATTAACAAAACAGTTAAAATGATCATTTTTAAAGTGTAAATATCCATGTTTAGAGTCTGGTTTAAAAAAATTGTTTAAAAAATAGGGTTGTTTCTTTAGTTGTTTGGCTGACACCTACCTTCTAATTACTTCAAGGCTAAGAGCTACAATTTAAGAACTGTCAGTCTTGTTTGCTTCTAGAGAAGCGTCATTACAAATCTCAGTCTATATCGTAAACTTGAAAAAACTCCTCATAGGAGCTTTAAAGCTACAGCGAGGAGTTTTAAACTGATTATGAAATAGACTAAAATTCACAATGTTGACATTTTATGACCTAAAAAAGTATTAGAGTATTAGTAGATTAACAATACTAAGTTGTAATTTTATACTGATAACTAAAACCAACATGAGCGGGCGGGTAACAGAAGAGATGATTAAAAAATGTAAAGGAAAAGAAAAGTCTTGTTTATTTCTAGAGAAGCATCGTTACAAACTTCAGTCTATATCGTAAATAGTCAAACAGCTGACATCTAAACAGGGTTTCTGCTGGGTCTTAAAAAGCCTTAAAATTCTCTTAAAACCTCATAAAATGTCTTAAATAAAAATTTGAACATGTCTTAAATACAAATTTGAAAGGTCTTAAATTATATATATTTGAAGTTAGTTTAAAATGTTCCGATTTCCCTTCATGTCTTTTGTACTTTTTTGCCAGTGTGGATGTAAAATGGATCTTAAATTGTTTTATGGTCTAAAAAAAAAAAGTCTTCAATTTGACTTGTTGAAACCTGCAGAAACCTGGTCTAAAAGTCATGTTACGGTGATTTTTGAAATTAAAAAACTGTCACAAGTTGGTACTACTTCACAGGTGTATGTTTCTGCACATACTTGGCTTGTTTGCATGTTTATTTTTTCATGACCTTTTTTCTGTTTATAATAGCTGATGCAGAAAAGTTAGGATTGCAACAGTAGTGATGAAAATCAATAGGAATCTACATGGACAGATTGCAACAGTAGTGATGAAAAACAAAACCACCTTTAAAGGTTACCCAGTAAGTGCTGTTAACCTGTTGGTAGTTAGTGGTGAGTCCGCTCTCTCTCAGTTCCTTAAAAGAAATAAAAAACATTTCTGTTTAACCATCTCTGTCAAGTTAAAAGTTAAAAATCAAGTTAAAAATCGCCATAAAGTGAAACCTGCAGGTATCAGCTCAAGGATGATCAATCGTCTCTTTTCCATAAAGCAATCTGTCCACATCAGCAACTGCTGACACGGAGAAAGCACGAATCAACGGAAATGTCAAGAGAAAATGTTGACACACTTGAAAAACAAAAATCTTCGTCTGATCTCATAAACCAGCTCTCCTTCTCCGCCGGAGAAAGTGGCATCCGTTTGTTTCTCACTTGTTTCCCTCGTCCCTCATTTGAAATCGATTTGCTATTAATGCCGGTGCATCTCAGAGGGAGGGTGACAGGGGGTCGAGGTGGCTGCAAATTCTTGACAGGCTTCTTCATCTCCTAAACAGGAAGTTTGGTTTACATCAGCCACGGGGCGGGAACTGTCATCAGCCGACCTCGAGGCTAATGGGCTGGATTTATGCGCTCCTCTCCTCCTCTCGCCAAGTTTGAAAACGCTAAACTCACTGATCTGAGGGGTTTTTAACATTTTCCTCCACATGTTTAGGGACATAAGTCTGTGATAAGATCATTGCTCCAGAGAAATGTGAATCGTCTGAATGGTTCATATGAAAGCTGTGAAATGTGAGCTTAAATCCCGGCACAGTTGTGACTTTTACTCGTTTATGTAACAGGGCAAAGTTCCTCCCCTAAAGTATTCTTCGGTCTCCTTTCCCTTAACTTGACACGTCAAGATGAATTCCATTCATCACTCCAAGGAGCATGGTGCTGGGCAATAACTACTGTTTGGTTTTCAAATCAATTTGACAAATCCTCGGAGAATTGTAAAACAGTCTTAGAGCAAATAATGGCCTGACAGGCTGCATTAGCCGAGAGCATGTGACTCCAGACTGACGTCTCACCATGTGGCTCCTGGGTTTACAGAGAAACAGCATGTTCTGTCACTCGCTAAGATGTCGATAAAGGTCAGGATTTTGAACACTCAAAGGACAGTGGTACCTGGGAGCGGTTTGTATTATAGCCCGACAAAGTCAGCAGCTTTCTTAAAAAGTGACGAAAACATCATGTGACTCGTGACCTGGTTTCAGCGTCGCATGCAAAGATACAAAAGTAAAAAAAAGTTCATCCTTATAATGAATTCTTTCTTTGCAGATGAGCTGAATTAATCTTCTGTCGTCTCAACTTTAAAAACACGCACGCCGCCAATTAGCGGTATCAATTCTTTAGATTTCACAAGAGCCTTTCTGCTGTATCTTTCCTTCCTCGGCTGCTTTCTATTTCTATTCTCCCCACATCACTTCATCTCTAGTGAGCGTAGCAGTGACTGAACTCATTCTCAACTATTTATTTGCTTTATTTCCTGAGATCAGCTATAAAGAACAAACACTATTAAGCCAGCCAATCAATAAGGGAACATCAGCCCTGTTATCCCCCCCCTCCTCTCTCTCCCTCCGCAAAATAGATTTATATCTTCTGCCTGGGCAACATAAATCAAATATTCATACATTAAATTAAAAAATATGATTGATAGCAATGCTACTGTGAGAGTGTACAAAACCTCCTGATGTGATGAAAAAAAACAAATATTAGTTGAGGACTGTGGAGGGTGAAGAGAAAACAAACAAGTGTAATTTTTCACAGTCTTGTGGCGACGTCCAGGAGCCGATCGGAGAGATGAGCTGTTGCTTTAGGAAGAGGAAAAGTGACACTTCCTTACACTGCAACTATGGGAGCCGTTCATATGAATTATTAACACGATCTCGAGTCAAGTTTGGACTGAACAGTTGTCACATTATTAACACAAGCTGAGTAGCCAAGAGTAGGCAGAAGTTTGGGTTCTCGGCTGCATGTTAGCTCTGGTTTTACCTCAGGAACTTCGTCTACAGACAAGAGGCGTGTAGAGGAACTTTAGTGTTTATGCCCTTGTTTGGAGGTTTAGGTTATGCTGAAACACTTCAAGTTAATGATATAAAATTAAGTTAAAAGCAAAACTAAAAAGGTATGTTTTGTTTTGATTAGTTTCAGTCCTCAGGTCTTCAGGTAAGCTGTTCCATAGACGGGGGCCATAGTAACACAAAGATGCCTCACTGTATGTCTTGGTTTTAACTTTAGGTTTTGTTAACAGAGAACTTCCTGAAGACCTCAGGACTCGACCTGACTCATAGGGTAAATGCAGATCAGATAAATAAGAAGGGCCGAAGCCATAAAGAGCTTTAAAAACAAATAAAACAACCTTAAATTCTATTCTAAAAGAGGCAAATTGTATTGATGATATTAAAGTGCAAAAACAGCCACTAAAATCTGCAGATCGAGACAGTTTGCTCCAGTTTTGAGCTGTGAGCATCCCCGTCTTCTGCTGTGCAGCGCTGCACTGTGAGCTCTAATCCTGACCATGATGAAGCCTTTTCATATGGATGATGATGAGCTGGATGGAGGTGGAAAGTCCTTCACCTGTTTATTATAGAGCGCTGAGAAGATTGGTGGCCTGTGTTGGATTTTGGGGTGCTATAATTAGGGTCTAAGGATTGTTTCAGTTCTTATTTTACTCTTTTGATCACATTATTTTTTATTGCATTTTAGTCATTCCACTGTGAACGTATTTCACATGTATTTATTATCTAGTTATCTATTTATTGCTGATTTGTGGTGCTGACAGGGGAATGTTTGGGCCATATGCTGCTGTGAATGTCTGGTATTTGTCTGCTCCTTGATCATCTAACAACAAGGCGGGTTAATGGGGAGTAATTTGCCCTTCGGAGATTAATATAGTCGTCTAAATCTGAATCTGAATCTGAATAATATTGTTGGCTAACTTTCTGGAGTTGTGCCTAATGGAAAATTTTTTATGTCAAGGCATTAAGCCCCAGACAGTTCCAGACTGTTTTAACCCCTAATGATGATAAAATGACAATATCCTCAAACTTTTGGTAAAGATTGATTATTTTTAAGTCATCCAGCTGTGAAATTGTTGCTCAAAACTTCTAAACCACGGAGTTTAGGTGTAGTTTTTCTACTCATTGCTCTAATTTTTCAAGAAGCCCCTGACACTAAAGCTGCATTTTCATTGTAGGAACTTTTAGAGAAACTCAGTGTATTTCTACAACAAGAATCAGGATATAGATAAAGTTCAAAGGAAGTTATCTCATCTTCTTAAAAAGTTCCTGTGGGGACAAACTTAAAGAGGAAGTTCCAGTTTGTAGGAGAAATCTTGAATGTAAACTCTACCCCTCTCAACCAGTTTTCCCCTCAGCTCCTCCTCTCCCCTCCCTCTCTGCTCCAGCAAGCCCCGCCCACAAACAGACGCTCCTGCTCGCTCGTATCGTTTCAATTAAATTCAGATATAATGCAGATAAATACTTCAGATAATTACAAATGGGGCCCAGTCAAGGTGAGAGTCAAAAGCATTGGTGCTACTGTAGATGCCAACAGACTACCAGCAAACACAATGTTTGCAGGACTTCTACAACTAGGATAAAGTGACATAGTCCAGGACCCGAGGTCAACAGTTTAGCGGCGCTACAACACGCTACAGCAGGTCCGTTTGACAAGAAACACTTCTGTTACAGACACTTGTCTTACTTTGTTAAAGCGGTTTACCTGTCCAGCAGAAAGGTTACAGGGTCCGAAAGATCCCGAACATACAAAACCCCGGACATTTGAAGGATTTTTTAAACCTCCCTGGACAAAGCCGGACAAGACTGGACAGCCCAAACAGCCCCCCAAAAAGAGGACATGTCAGGGTTAAAGAGGACGTACGGTCACCCTAGCAAACCCCCTTGATTGGTTGAGTCCTAATCTTCTCAGTAATCAGTCAGGAACCTTTTTACTCCCACAAAGCAGGGTCTTGAACTTCAGGTGGAAATGCATCGTTAAAGACTTTGGTGCTTTCGATGGAAACGTGACTCCAGAGACATTAATCTTGACTTCAAAAGGATCGGGTCAGCTTCCAGCCTCTGTCTCCTACACGTCACTGTCTGTGAAGGAACAGGTTCATTCACAGACAGTGACACTTAATGGGATATATACAGATTGCGTCATGCATTACAGGGCCCAGTGGTTATGGGAGCATTCCAGAGGAGAGAGGAGGAGAAATATTGCAGCATTCATCAGAGGCCGGGCCAGAGAGAAAAAGGTGCAGGAACAGAGAGGAGTTTGGGAGCTGGGGGTTGGGGAGCTGCCAAGGACATTTAAGAGAGCTGTCAGGGGAGGCTGATCTATGAAGGATCCTGTTGGCTAAACCTATATCCCAGCATGTGAGTGTGTGTGTGAGTGTGTGTGTGTGAGCTGGGAGAGACATAAGTGCAGTCTCACCGATGCATGCAGAAGCACATGTGCTCACACCCTGGAGGCTGAGGTACAGTGGAGTGCACAAGTTCAAAGTTTGGAGCTGCAGTTCATCCACACAGAAAATCGGATGTTTTCCGAATGTGAGCTGTGAGCATGAAACGAATCGGAAAAAAAGAAAACATTTGGAGACAACAGTTCGGCTGCAAAACAACTTTTTTTGTCTGTGAAATAAAAGGTAATCCAACACTCGAGTTTAGTTTAGAGTTAGATATCACTTTTGTAGCGTGAAGTCAGAGACAAAGTTGGCGGTGGGTAAATCGGTACGAGTAAGATTAATAATACTGCTGATCCTTTTTTATAGCATCCTTTGCCATCAGTGTAGGAACCTGATGCAAATGGGTAAATGTAATGAGTGGTGTTAAAGCACTTTAAGTGGTCTGAAAGACTGAAGAAGCACTGCAGAAGTCTACTTACCATAAGGTGTAATTCCTCAATTAAAATACAGAAAAATGAAAACCATCGAGTAAGTCCTTGTTAATGTCTTCTGAGACAAAGCAGAACAAATCTGGATCTTAATTACCCCAGAAGAAAGGATCCCTCATACCTAACAACTTTCTAACAACGTCATGTACGAATATTACTGCAGATCAAGTGTGACACTCATGCATGGCAGCATCCAAAAGACACACATGTGCAAACTGAGACAGGAAGATTTCCCTCAGGACCATAAAATCACAGACACAAAGTCACACAGTTGTTCGTCTCTGTAATGTCACTTTATATGACTTTTGAGTTCAGCACAAAGACGAGACGGTCCTGACGGAGGGCCGGGACAAGGACATGGGACTGATAGAGGGTAACAAAAACATTAAAAAGTGACGCTTTTATAGCTTATATGACAAAACTACTCTTTAACAGTGACATGTCGATCTTATCTGGATGTGTGTCTGTAGGTAGGCGTCTACTAAATCACACTATAAATGCAGCCATTCAGAGTCATTAGAAATCTTATATAGAAACGCATGTTTATCAATCTCTATCCCTCACGTATAAATTTCTCTGAATGAAGAAAAAAGATTAAGTAAGAGAAGATGTTGCGGCTCAGCAGAGATCATATATTAGAGGCGATAAATTAAGACAGAAGCCACGAGTGTTTGGACTGTGGAGCCAAAATATTTAGAGCTCCCCTGTCCCACTGACGGGCTGCAGTGTCTTAAACCCTGACTCCTGCATTATAATAGAAGTTCTAACTGGATATTTGATGATTATGTCGACTTCGTTAACAGATGCAGGCTCCCTGCAGCTTTCTAAGTGGATTAGCAGAGTGTAGGGATAGTGGGTGAACACAAGAGTCATTGAACTTTAAATCCATGTGTGTCAGCTCCAAATTAACATCTGTTTTACTGTGGACTGTACTGACTGTACTGACTGTACTGATGCGAGGTACCTTTACAATCTTATCTGTAAATTCAACGCGTGCTTTAGTTAACAGCTCCTTTTTTAAGCATGTAAAATCTGTAGTGCTGAAGTTTTTTAAAGGAAACATAATGGAGATGTAGAATCACAATATATATTGGAACGTAGGTGTGCAGGATAGCAGTTAAAGAACATCTACGTAAAGACCCACTCCAATGAAAATCATGTTTTTCTTGCTGTCTATGTGTTTATATGGCCTTTTCCTGATGCTACAGGACATATCATGAGAAAAGTAAGTGCAAATTTGCACTTCTGACAGACACAAACAGCATGGCTAAGATTCAGTGAGATTTCCTACAAAGCAAATCCGAGCTTTACCTCCGGAACCCTGCTATGCAGGTCACACTAGGAGTAGAGGACGATTGTGGAAAAAGCGTGTGAAGAAGTGGATTGCAATGCTTGTACGAAAGCTGATCATGATATTAACTTTCATCATGTCACTATAGATATTAGTGTCCAAGAGCTGAATAGCTCCTGTGTTACCTGCCACCTCTACAACACCGGCAATGTTAGGCTACAAGCTACCATGCAGAGCAGCGCTGTCTCCACCCACGACTCAGAGGTGAATTACTAATGAGCTACTGGAGCTCTGCAGAAGAAAAGCCCTTGAAAACAGGTAACATGATTTTGGCTAAAAACCTTATAATCACAATATAAAGACCACAGATAACACTTTAAGAAGTAAAAAAAAGACGATCGTAGTGGAACTTCAAGTGTCCGTTAAGCCTACAGAGGCTAAATCATGCACCTCATGTACAGAAGCTCAAGTGAGCACTCCTCTGCTCTATCCACTCGCCTGTCCTCTCTGAATTAAAACACAAAAAACAAAACTTTAAAAAGATAAATTCATCAAAAAGTCCATTTGATATGAAAAGACCTGGAAATTTAAAAGTTAGGACAGTCCAAAGATGTATCATATCAAATGTCTTTTGGATGAAAAGTGTATCACCGATAGTAAAACTGCTTTTGCTCGAACTAGAGTTTTGCACCTGCAGCATCAATTACACATTGTTTTGCTGTTGCACGCCTCCATAACTGCAACACTAAATTATTTTCTTGGAGTCTTTCGGCTAATTACAGTAAAAAATGTGGTGTAATCTTGTGGGGAAACTTAAAACTTGAATTTTTCTTTCTGCAGGTAGTAAATCACATTAAGGAGAATACAGTCTGGGTCCTGTTGCTTCACTAGAAACCGTTCCAGGAAAGTGACTTCCTCTCAGCTACATCTGAGGAATCGGAGAAGTATGAGGTATCTCAGACAGCAACAGAATAAGTGTTACAGTATGAATCTGTAGGTTTTCTGCAGGCCTGTTGGCCCGAGGACTGAGCGCCAGGCAACCCTGCCAGAGGGGACGCTGCAGAGGGACCATTACTAAAGCTTAATGATATGAGAAGTGTTCCCCTATCCAGCGCGGAGAAGATTCATCACGAGGCTGGAGCACTATACATCTTTCAGCGGCCCTTAAAGAGGAGAGGGGACGTTTCTTCACACTGTAGTAAAAGCCCCTCCCTTTCCACCCTCCTCATCTTCACTTAAAGAAGCTCTATTTTAAGATCACGGCGTACGAGTGAGAAGGGAGGTGGGGCACGACCTTGGCGACGAGCGAGGGTGAAGTAAGGTGGCGAGAAGAGATGTAGACACCAACCACAACATCTTGTCTGGGATTTGTCTCAGTGTGCCTCAGGGGAAGGAATACAATTCAGTCTCCGCCTCAAAGTCACACTCCACACTGTCAGCAGCTTCAGCTGAGTGCTGATAGATGTGGCTTCATCCCCTCATAAATAAAAACACTCTGGTCTCTGCTGCGAGAGACTGTAGATCAGGGAGTAAATAGCTGAAGGTAAGCCTGGAGGATTTTCTCTTTCTCTAACCCTTCACACTTTGTGGCTGTGTCAGAGAGCTGCAGCCTGTAAATCAAATGGAGCAGATAAACTGCAACACAAGAGCAATCGAATAAGTAAAAGCAGTGTTGATTCTGGGTCCTTAACTTAATTTTATAGCCTGGAGCCGATACGCAGTAATCACAGTCGCGGAGAGGCTTACTGTCCGCGGTGTTTGCTCTGTTTGAGTCACAGCCACCTGGCTGCAGATTTACACCTGCAGATCACAAACAATAACAGTAAAGACAGAAGTGCACTGCTTTATGACTTCAGCACTTTCAGTTTGAAGTCTTCCAGCACCAGTGAGTTTAAATTATGGTGGGAGACGTCCTTGGGATGTGAACATCTCATTTCACCACCGGCAACCACGCACGCACACACACACAATCACACACACACACACAACTCATTTCACTGGGGGTCTCCGTGAGGCTGGACTTACTGAAGCATGACATAAGAATTATACATCTGGCAGCAGTAAACCTGCAAACACTCCCTCACACACACACACCTACACACTCACACACACGCACGTGACTGTTATTAGACAGATCGCTAACTTTTTGCTCATCATTCAGACGGAGGAATATCTATTATTTTTAAGGATGCCTTTAACTCAGCTCTATGCAAATGGGACTCTGTTGTTTTACTTCTTTAATTCCTCAAAAGAGCTGAAGCAGCGCCCTGCTTTGCTCTTAGATAACATAAAAGAGGCAATTAAAGAAACACACTTTCTGTTGTAGCGGCGCCTCAAATAACTCACTCAGGGTTCGTCTGTATTTTCAGCCCGTGTTATGAAGTTTATCCACAGATATAACTGACTTTTGAGCGTGAAAATAAAGATTTTGTGATAATGAAGCGACTTTTATTGAAAATCCTGTTCTGTTTAATGGTTTGTTTACAAGCCGCAGTGTTTGGAGGGTGGAGCCAGCGTTTGACAGATATGAGTGACTACCAAACTATGATTGATGGAATAAACAACACGGGCTGTCAACCTTTTTCATATCAGTGACCCCTAAAAACAGGTTTAGAGCCTGCGACTGCACATGCATCAAGATTTCACCTCAGAAAGCCTGAGTGATGGAGAAGACATAGAGATAATTTATTCAGGGGTTTTAAAAAATGATCATGTATCACACTTCTACTCATTATAATGTGGATATTTTTGTTGATTTTGATCCTTTTTGTTAAAAAAAAATAAGGGGGTAAATACAAAAAGTGCATTATCTGATTGCACGTGGATGTGTGCAGGAGTCAGAGCATCCCAACTGGACCGATGAAGCTGCACAGCATCCTCCTCATCCTCCTCCTCCTCCCACAGCTGCGCCCTGCTGCCAAACCATAATGAACACCTGCGGACACGCCCACTCCCCGCATCCCAGCCCCGTCATTGGCTCTTCGTTTAAACATCTCTCAGGCTGCCCCGCGATTGGCTCAAACATCACACAAGCGATTTCATAAAGCAAATCTTTTGGAAGTTGTGTTAAGGGGATAAGTGGGAAAAACCCTTGAGATAACTGTGGGATCAAGAGCACAATTATCTGTCTGTATCTCTCTCCCTCTTTCGCTCGCTCTCTCTCTCTCTCCCTCTCTCCGTCTTCGTGGCTGTTAATCGCTGGAGGATTTGTCGGAGTTTCTCTGAGCGTCTCCGCATCTGTGAGTACTACTACCTGAGTTTACTTACTTACTGCTGGAGCTGCTGTGTGCCGCGCCGGGTCAGGAGGAGTGCAGAGCCCCGCTGGGATCTGCAGCAGAAAAGAGAGACGGGAGAAAGTTAATCTGAAGGGAACTTGACTAAAAATGTGCTTATTTTGTCGGCAAATCGTCTTATTATTATTATCGATATGAGCTGGTGTGGGTTTGATTTAGTGCTACTTCATAAAAACGTGTTTGATGTTGAATAAAATGCCGAAAAAACGAGGAGACCAACTCGGGTTTCATTCATGAATAAATTGTCAACTGCAGCAGATATTTCGTTAAAAATAGTCACACAGTTTTGTTAGGCTTTTCTTTAGGTGAGGACTTGAAAAAGAGGCAATTTTACGTTTTTAAAGTTTAATTTAAGAGCAAATTAATGTCATTTTTTAACGTTTAGTTATTTATTTTTTGAGTCACTTTTCCCTAATTAAGTGTTGTTTTGTTCTTGTACTTTTTGTCACAATATAAATTTAATTTTAAAACTATCATACCATAAAGATAAACAAATAGACTTCACTAATTTGAGGATACTTGACGTTTTAATGATCAGTCAGTTTTAGTCACGTGATTTCTCAACTTTCCTCCAGGGTAGTCAAAATTGTCGCCCTGATAAATTCTGCTTTATTATAAAAACAGATGTAAACTTTGAATCTACTCCATTTTTGTTGTTGTGAGGCACTTGTGGTGTTGTATTGAGTATTTTTATCTTGTACTTTTTTTTTTTGCTTTTTGTTTCACTGAGGAAGTGTAATTCAGTGACACTGGTACAGTACCTTTTGTGAATGAGGTCTGCAGTGTGTGTGTCCTTCACAGTGACGAGCTTCTGGGATTGTGTGTGTGTGAGTGTGAGTGTGTGTTAAAGTGAAGATGTTGCTGGCTCTTTGTCGCAGTGTTATCAGGATCCGAGCCGGGCTTGAACGCTCCAGAAGGCACATGCTGATGTTGCACGCTGTGATAATGGCCTCTTAATGCCAACATAAATAACCAAATCGAAAACATTTCTCTGCTTCAAACAACAGATTCTTTTTCACGGTTATTTCATGGTGTCTGACTGTTTTACTACAAATTACCTCATTTGGATGCGTCCTGCTCTGATAGTGGGACGGCTTTCTGTTGACCCTGCAGATGTTACACCCTAAAACGATGAGTGCATCAGTAGTTTTGTGAATCTTTGCATGTTGAGAAGTCACATTGAAACTTTGCTTGGTAACTCATGTAGGGTGTCTTGGCTTTTTACTGCAGTTAATGCGGAATAAAGCGTCTGTATGTCCTTGACTGGATAATGTGGAAGTCCGCCATTATATTAGACTTGTCCCCAATGGTTTCAAGCACTTACACGCCCTTCTTTATGTCCTGGTATATTGGAGATATTTCACTTTTGCCCAGTTTGCAGACTGGTGAGTTGAAATATCTGTAATGTCCCGTTTGGGGATAGTGAGGCCTCTAAATTTGTGACATCTTTGTTCTTTTTCTGTCAAACTTAAAATGACTCCAAACTCCTTTTAAATTTCGAAGCTTTCTCCCCCTTTTCTCTTTAATTGATAGCTTAGAACCCCTATCTAACAAAGAGTCTACCAGCAGGGCTATAAAGCTGCCGTTTTAAGTCTGGAACCGCTCCACTCATTTGTCATTACATCCTCACTAATGGGGAGAAACTACCTCATCTTCAGCTCCCATTGTTGTTAATTAACCCCTCCTGCTAACACACACAGTCAACACCACTAAAAAACAGCGTTATCATTGCTCCGCTCGCCGTGAGAACTAGCATTAGCCCGGGCCATATTTCTGCAGGTGTCAGCGGAGGTGCTTCCTCTCCCTGCCGTTGTGCTTTTCAGAGTATTACTCAAACAGCAATGCGGTTTTATCTCAAATTGAATTGTTGAGGGAGATGTTAAAGAGCCATACATCACCTGGACACTGGGAGCAGAGAGGGAGAATCTGCAGCGGTGCAGGAGCGGAGAGGGGGGAGATGGGAACGGCTCAATGGCATTACAGGTGGAACGAGAGCTATGATGAAGGCTGCGTTCATAAATCCACAGCAGAGCAAATCAAGCTGTCAGCTTGTAATGCCATTTAGTGCGTGAGCGTGTGTGTGTGTTTGGTGTGTAAAATTTTGCGGCGCTGTTGAGGATGAGCGTTTTATTTTAGCTTTAAGGAGGTGACCTTCCTCCTTCCTTTTCTCCACCTCAGTTGTGCTTCATCAGAAATCCGCCTCTACCTACATGCACTCCGCAGGTCGATCAGATCAATCCCCTCATGCTCACCTTTTATCCACTGACCACCAAAAGGACGCCAACACATCACACAACCCTTTCATCCCAAAAAGCCTTCCTAATTTAGAGTCGGTCCCTTTCTCCGAGGGAACGGTGCCTCAGGTTCGCTCTGTCAGGTCGTATTGGGTTTCCTCTGTGCTCACTCTTGGCCTCGGGCTAATGCCTTGCTCCATGTATGGATTTTCTGTCCTGTATTTCCTCGGCCTGTCCTGGTGTGATGGGTTGTTCAGATCTAACCCTGCAGAATGCCACTGATTGCGGTGCTAGATCTTCATCTTTATGTCCGAGTATCGCACAGAGCTCTGCCAACTATCCGCCGATGTTTGCCTCAGGATGGATTTGGGGAATTTGCAACAAGGGCATGTGTTGCAGTTTTGCAGGTTTATGACTTACAGTTTATTTGATTCCCATTTGTGCTGGCTCTGAAGACAAGTGTGCTGTAGCTCAGCCCGTGAGTGTGGTGTTTAAGTGTGTTTTACAATATTTATCGCTGCATTGTTCTGCTTTTCAGCCCGGACTTAAAATATTGTTGTACTTTGGCTCAGCATACCTTTCTTCTTATTAATAAATCCAGCCGGGGTTTTATTTTTGGAGCTTCAAAAAGACAAACGGTACGATGATAAAAGCTTCCTGAAAACTAGATGTTGCAAATGTTGTTTTTCTCCCTTCAGGTGAGGATGTTGTGGCTGGTTTTGCTCCTGCCTGCCCTCTCCTCGGCTCAGCGATCAGAGCCCATGTTCTCAGCCATAACCAAGACCGTCCTGCCTCCAGACTACGACAACAACCCCACGCAGCTCAACTACGGAGTGGCTGTGACGGACGTGGACGGGGATGGAGACCTGGAGATGTTTGTAGCTGGGTGAGAAAGAGAGGAGGCAGCAGGATGTTGAAAGAGTGTGTTGTAACCCGAGCTTAATGAATCCTGAATCCCTAATGTCCCCTCGTTCTTCCCCACAGTGCTACAAGTGCTCTAATGTTTCTTTCATTATGGACAATTAGTGCAATTAATTAACTGTCGAGTGATATCCATCTTTAAATCAGAGGCTAAAATAAAACGTCCCTGTCATTTTCCGAGCTAAAGGTTAAAGCCTAAAAGAGGAGTGATGGTGAGGGTGCCCTGCGGCTCACTCAGCTGATGAAAATGGATGTGATTGGATGGAGCGCATTGATGGGAACAGTTTGGCAAGCTCGCCTCCGTCCTGTGAGGCAGTAATAAATTTCTCAATGCTTAACAGAATATAGATGGACCCAAATGACCCCGCTTAATAAATGTCATTTAGCCGAGACATCCTGTGTGATCCAAGACAGGGAGGCGTAAAAGACAATTAAGAGAAGGAGGAATTTAGAGATTCAGTGTTTTAGTTTATAAGAAGTTCACCTTGTTCACTTTAAACTGCGGGACTTTAAAGAAGTTTATGAAACAGATCTTTGTCTTTTACTGACCCATTTCTGTGCCTTTTAACATTTTAAATCACAAACATTGAGAGTAGAATCTCCTTAAATTGTAAAAATATTGTTTCATGGTCATCTAGAGGTGTAAAGTTCATGGCACAGAGAGGTAAACTCACAGCGGGAGCTTCACATGCACACACAGTGCCGTTCTGTGTGTTTGCCCCGCCAGCTCACAGTGATCTTGTCTTGTCCCTCTAACCGTCTGTTACCACTGAGAGATTTATACAGAAGATTTGCTACAAGGTTAGAATAAAATGGACTTTTGACTGCAAGGTGTTTCCTTGAAACATTTGCTGTTGGGTCTGTTATAAAAACACACCAAGAATAAAAGACTGAACAAAGTTTAGCCAAAGTATGATTTACTAGAAAACCACAACAGATCCAAAACCACAAGAATCCACTCTGAAACGCCTCTCACTGCTCAAATACTCTGCACTGGGTGAGAGACGATCCTGGTTATCGATTTGGGATTTTACCCAGATAGAGAAATGACCTCCTCCATGCAGAAATGTTGTAGCCTTAGATGTAAAACCTTCACTTATTTAAAAGGAGGAGTAATCTGTCTCTGTTTCCGGGTTATTTTAGGCACTGAATCCTAAATCTGAATCCTGATCTTGTGGCTCTTGCTCTTGATTCTAGACCACTTTAAATCTGATCAGACTTCATTGTCCTAAAGCGCAGATTTGCAAAGTGTGAAACACTAAATAAGTTTTACTTGTGATTGATGAATATTTAATCGTTGAAGTTATAGAGAAACTCAAAGCAGTACTGGGCTGATGCACTGAATTAACACTTAAATTTTTTCAGTTCAATTTCAACAGAAAGAGAGATATATTTTTCCTCCTGTACTTTTTTTCTCTTTATTTTCCCAGTTAAACTCAACGACTGACAACATCAGAGCGTTACAGGTGCTGAATGCCAAACACAAAACATGGCTGACCGTGAAATACTTCCTAATTCAAGCAAACAAATTAGACCTGGAGTTCGCCCTTCATGTTGATTAAAACGTTTTATGAGTGACATAAATAAACATCCCTCATTTTCACTTACTCCATTCTCCATGGAGAGATAACTGCATTAATCATTTTTTTTTTATAGTTTCCCCAAATAACTATTTTGAATCACCTCAGAGTAAAAGTGACATGTGTTAACATCGACATGCAGAGCAGGATTAGTAATAGATTTATTTTAATAAAACTGGGTCGAATCTGCTTTAAATTGGGGAATATCAAGAACAACGTGCACTTCTATGGACACTAATTTTTGTTATGTCATGTCAACGAACTTCTTACGAATGCAGTCGAACATTAAAAACTCGAACTCAAACTTTGGGACTCTTTCATGCCGTGAAAGACAATGAACAAAGAAAACAGGTCAGAGAAAATGGAAAATTACATATCGCTGTGAGAATCAGACCTGAACCCAGACTGCTTGACTACATGGATGACTTAACAACTAAGCTAAACTGGAGCCCTAGAAACAGCTGCTAGTGTAGCCTCAACTGCTGCTAACCTGACCCAAAGTTAAGGGGATTGGGAAGCTTGCTTCTTCCAAACTTCATGCCTGTAAACGTATGTGGTTTGAGCTGAGCATTAAGTTTAGGTTTCCTTAAGTTACGTCACCTAAAGCTCCTGTAAGGAACTTTTAGTAGTAGTTGAATTTGGCGCCCCCTGTTTCTGATTTTGCCGGTAAATGTGAAATTAGTTTTTCTTCTCCAGAAATCTCATCCTGCTCTCTTATTACAGTCGAGAAACTTTGGTGTAGCGACTGCTGTCCTTCAACAAAAAAGGCCGCTGGGGTTTAGGTTCGCTTGCATCTGTGACTCGGTCAATTATCAGTCCAGTTTGAGTGTTAAAAATGTGATTTATTGTTCCAATAAAAAAAGAAAACACACTGATCCAGATCTAAAACTGTTGCCTTCGAATGAAAAAGTGATATGATGAAATTAGGTTATAACAGGATGAGTGAAACGATGAAAAACAGTCAACAGAAAATGATCAGACCTTACCACAACCACCTGTCTGACTACACCGTTGAGATTTAAATAACCCGCCAAACATCCCAAAACCACACCCCTCAGTGACGATCCCCGGAAGTGACGTACCTACAAAAATCATACTTTGAACAAATACATTTTGGCTCCTACATTTGGTGTGGACAATTAACCTTTGAGTCTGACACCCTAACAGTGGTTTACCACATTGAAAACAACTATAAGAAGCTAGTCACTGGTCTTGCTGACGGTCTTGTTTGCTGTTTTGGGTCATGATAAATACTAATTTCAGTTTGATTCACAACCTCCTCACAGGAACTTTAAGTCATCTAAAGGTGATAGACTTTCCCTAAAAGTGCTGATTATTTCTATATGTGTCGTAGTTCCTCCCAAAAACTACAAAAGTCTCCAGAACAGAATCAGCTCTCCCTTATTGAGGCTTCAGTAATCCAGCTGACAGTCTTGTGTAATGAAGATGTAACAGCTTGCCTTTGGTGTCTCTTGACAGCTACAACGGCCCGAACCTGGTGCTAAAGTACGACAAGCAGAGGAAAAGGCTTGTCAACATTGCCGTAGATAATCGAAGCTCCCCTTTCTATGCCTTGAGAGACCGCCAAGGCAACGCCATCGGAGTGACAGCGTGTGACATCGATGGAGACGGTCGGGAGGAGATTTATGTGCTCAACACCAATAACGCTTTCTCTGGTACTGTACCGTGTTTCACACAGACAAAGACACTCTTCACTATCACACTTCTTTCCTTGTTCAGAGACAAAGCAGGAGGATCAGTATGCAGATATTAAGTTTATCTCATCTGAGTCTTCATCAGATAACAGATCCACTCTGTGCCGCCATTAATCAATCTGAGAGCTCCAGAGCACCCGCTGCCAAAACTCCAACACCTCAGCTCCATCATTTCCAGGAAAATGATAAAGGTCACTGTCAGTCTATTGATGTAAACAATCACCTGAGGGTCTTGTGCCGCATCAGGGACTGTTTCGACATGGTCTGACATACTTCTCAGGATGGAGAGCTCAAATGCTGTTATCGTGCACTGCTATGTTTTAAGTTCAAAGGTCATGTAATAGCATACTTTGAAGCTACTGAGTCATAACAGAAAGTGGCTAATGCTGATTTAAAGGGATATTTCGGCGAAAAATTAAGTTAGGGTCAAAAACACAGTAACACTGAGATGAATGTTGCCGACCGCTTGCTTCTCTAGTTATACCAACTTTAGTAACGACCGCAGGATAGTAATACACAGGGGTCTGAAGAACCATACACAAACCTTAACCAAAACGCCACTCTATAGCCACAAATAATGCTCAGAACAGCACCTAACTTCATCAACAGGACATATAGGGTCCCAGTCATAGTACTAGACACCAAACATCTTTTTAACTTTGACTAATTTCTTTAGCAAAGAGACTAAACACAACTCACCTACTCTCTTCCAGCAGCCATTTGTTTGTAGCGAGACCTCAGACCAGTCCATTACGGACTACAGCGGGGTGATGCAGCTCAAGGAAGAACATTTATGCTACAAACAAACGGCTGCTGGAAGAGAGTAGGTGAATTGTGTTTAGTCTCTTTGTGAAAGAAATCAGGCAACGCTAAAAAGTTCGTTACTAAAGTTGGTATAACTAGAGAAGGAAGCAGTCGGCAGCATTAATCTCTCGAGGGGGTGTCTAACTCTGTGTTATGGTGTGTTTGAGCCTAAATTAATTTTACGCCAGAATATCCCTTTAACTGTTTAAGTTTTAGAAAAAAAAAGAAATGACGGCTGTTATTTCTCTAGCTAACAGCGATGATGTCCAGGAAGTGGTTTAACAATAGCTCTAATTGTTTTTTAAGGTAGCTAATGAGTCATGAAACATGTTGCTCTAGCCAAAAAATTAGGAGCTATTTCCCTGGATGTCATTATTCATGATCTGTTCAGATGCTGATAAATCAAATTCAAGGCTCACAGGCTCATGTTTGAGGGGGAAATAATGATTTTTGAAAGCTCATTAGTTCCTGTCAGACAGCAGCAAATGTAAACGTTTAACCACTTCCTAACTTTACCAGCTACAAAGAAATGACTGATGTGTTTCGACAACAACTCAGCTCTACCAAGGAGAAGAGAGAGAGTGTGAGACCTGTGAGCGAAAGAGAGAGTGCTGCAGACACTATCAATCATAGAGCCTCATTTATATATCACCTTCATACAAATCAAATGCAATTTAAAGTGATACACAAAGTGATTGGAATAAAAAACACAAAACAAGGTAAAGGGAAATTGATGCAGATCAATAACAGTGACATTCATGTTGTCAAAAAAATAAATAAAGCGAAGTTAATAAGTTAAAGCATCAAACATAAAGGTATAAATAGTTGAATTTCTATGTAAATAATGAATTTAATTAATGGTAAACTAACTTAAGGAAAGAATATTAATTTAAAGCTGGTATCAGTTTTTTTGCCTGCCTAATTGTTCATATTTTTAGTCACCATTTAATTTTAATTAATTAGTCAAAGGTAATAGGACTAAATTGACCAAGGCATTTTCACCTGCTGCCCATCCCTATGTACCTGACGACTGAGAGTGGGAGCGCAAAAGTTTTTTGACTCCAAAGAGCAGAAAAGCCGATATAGTTACCTTTAATTTACTTTAATCCGTTAATAGACATGCATAAATCCTTTATTTTTCTTGGAAATAAACCTTGGAAGCGACGCTGGATCTGCAGCTGCTTCGAAGCTGCTTTGAACTTGAAGCCACTACATTCTAAAAAAAGACAAAAAGTGATAAAAATTTGGAATTTGAGCCAAAAGTCTAATTTTAAAAAGTTACCCACTGTAGCTTTAACTGTTTTTAAAAGAGTTAAGGAGGGGGCGACTGTGTTGTTCAAAGTTTAGAGTGGGGATATTCACTGTTATTTAGCAGTCAGACTCTATGTTGAGATGCTCCCTTGCTCACCCCCTCCCCCCTCTTATGAGGACAAAAAGCCCCTGAGATATGAGCTCTTGACAAGTTTTTGCTTTAAAAAAAAATCTATAATTGCTTCTAAATGCTGCATCAGGCATCAGTTCAGCCATTCCAAACACAAAAACACATATGTTACTCGTTTGTCTGCTCCAGGCTACCATAGACATATAGTGGTACACAATGTGGAGTGTGGAACCCTTTAGGTGATTACACATGAAGTCCTTTGCATTTTACTTGAGAAAAACAGCCTCCATGTAAAAATGTAGACACAGGTCATGGCTCTTCACTTCCCTTTTCTAAACTCTGCGTCTGTTCTTATCAAGGTCGGGCAACGTACTCCGACAAGCTGTTTAAGTTCCGTAATGGACGCTTTGAAGATCTGCTGAACGACGATATAAACGAACACAGAGATGTAGCCAACCGAATGGCTGGGCGCTCAGTGGCCTGTGTGGACAGAAAGGTACTAAACACACACACACACACACACACACACACACACAAACACACTTATCCACACGGACTTAAGGCAGATCCACTGTGACACACACACACACAAACTCCCTCGAGTGTCTTCTGTGTACATGCATGGGTGCTTCTGTTTGTTTACCAGTGATAACTCATGCCCTGCCTACGCCGCCCTTCTCAGCATGTGCTATGACAGTTCATTTGGGGGAATGGTGTGCCATTTTCTCTCTTCTGTCCATCGCACCAGTGTAATTACAGAAGCCAGGGCTCGTTTGTTTTATAGAACATCGTACGAGGGGAGGAGTGATGACTGCACACTCCTGCTTTCTGCCCGTAGCATTTTCTCTCCCTCTCTCAGTCACTCTCCCATTGTTTTCCACCCTCTTTCCACCTCCTTTACGCCCTTTTTTTTTACTCTGTGACGGACACACTCGCACTCTTTCTTTGTCTCTTATCTCACACACAAGCATACTGCGCTTACTTCCAATCAAGTGCGGGGATAAAGGAAGTAATAGTGGAAAGAAGACAGTAGGGATTACAATAGATTTTTTCTGAAAACCACAGTCCCATCTCAGTGAGCACTGATAGGTTGTGCAGCAGCCAAACCGATTGGAAAGATATCTGCTTTTAATGGCATAATGCTTTTAGAGGAAGCCAGCGGGAGCTCTTCCATGCCAGTTCCAGCAGACTGACAGAGACGGAGAGGAAGAGCGAATGCGTTTTCCTTTTGCTGATCAGGCTTATTTAGAATAAATTTGTAAGCACAACAGAAGGTTAAACAAGCCAAATTCAAAGCCTGTCGTGAAGTAAGACAGGTAGCCGGAGTGTTTGGTATCTTTTACTCATAAATAAAGTGTTATCATTCAGGAAAAAAGAGGGATAATTAGTCATCCAAGTGCTTCATCCCTCCCAGTCTCCTTGAGAGTGACATGCAATCATTAGTCTTTTATAAACTGATGAAGGTGACGTATTGAGGGATCTCACATCAAACTGATGGAGGGTTTCACTCCGCACTCTCTGACTTGGCGAAAGCTCGGAAAACAGGTTGATTTGAAAAAAAAGGCTACAACACCTGCAATGAAACACAATATTTAGACGGGGAAGTTAAAAAGCTGCATCATTCAGGTATCTCTCTGTGTGTGTGTGAGAGGCTCGCAGGACGCTCCCCCTCTCCTCCCACATACAATCTGCAGGCATGCATGACACACTATTCACAATGCCAATTTCAGTGACAGAAATTAGCCTTGGGCGAAGACTTATTGAAAAATCGTTGACTTTTAAGTTTGTTAAGTAACCGCCAGTGGCCTTCAGGTCTTTTATTGTAGTTCATTCCCATTTTCTCAAGCTGTGTGTGTGTGTGTGTTTGTGTGTTTGTGTGTAACTCCATCCTACTCCCTCCACCTTACTACACCACAACGTGACGCTTCATGACATTTACATCAACTAGACTCATTAAGTTTCCTTGTCTTGTGAGAACACAGTAAAGCCAACTAAAATGGTAGATTGGCGTGTATGTGTGTGTTCGTTTGCATATGTTCATGTGTTTGTATTGATTGAAATATGTTAGGCCTGGTGGGAAAGCTCATTGGAATCGAGTATGTAGTCTATTAGTGTGGTTCCGTCTGTGAGTTTGTGTCTGCAGGGACTCTGACTGATAATGGAGTGTGAAATTAATCTCCAAAGGGAGGCGGAGGAAGGAATACAGAGGGAGGCTGAGAGAGAGGGAGTCGGGATAGGAGACAGGGAAAAGGCGGAGATAAGGGGAGAGGAAAGTGTTTTATTGGAGGAAGGTGAAAGTGCAAAATATTCACAAAGACACCGACAGAATAAAGATTTGGATAAAAGAATGAGCGAGTGTTAAGAAGAACTTGAATATATTACAATGATTTTTTCTTCTTTTGCAAAAATGAGTAAAACTAGGAAACGCTTCGTGCTCAGAAAATGATGAACAGAACAACAACAATCACGCTAAGCCATAACATACAATAATCCCCCTGGTGGCTGGCTGCAGTATAGGTCTCACCTTTAATGTGTGGTGTATTAAGCGGATGTAGATTATTATAATTTGTTTTAAATACAAAGTCATGAAAGTACTTTACTTATCTATAAGAATAAGGAAGCTTGGTGTGGGTACTTATTATGGAGACCAAAATCAGCTTAGAGAAAGTAAAAACTAAACCTGGGGCTGTCAGGTAACTTAATGTAATTTTGGTAACACTTTATATGTATAATACGTTATAATCACATTATAGCACTGTATAACTATAGTTATAAACACTTATAAATTATCTTAATGCTTTATAGCAACAATCATAACACGTTAACAACTCACAGATTATAACACATTATAATACCTGACCTTGTAAGTCATGATAAAATGCTTTATAACATGTTGTTATTATTGCTATAGAGTATTATGATCTATTATGAGTGTTTATAACTATAGTTATTCAGTGCTATACGGTGATTATAATGCATTAACATTTATTTATAATTCATATAAATAAAGTGTTACTGTATTTTTTTGTTTGCTTATAGCTTTATCAACTTATACAGTGATGATGTATTTAAAAAACTATGGATCCTATTTGTTGTTTTGATGTTTTTTTGTTCACAAGGCTTTTAGAGAGAGCCGAACATCTGTGGGTCTGCTCCTTGTTTCATGATGAGAATGATTTAATGTTTTATGGGTTAAATGATGTTTGATCAGCCTGAACTATCTGCATGTGATGACTCTATTATTATATATAAAATAAATATGAAGATGAATATTAACAGTCTGTAAATATGTTTTTTTAAGGGTACAGGCCGATATGCTATCTACATCGCCAACTACGCCAGTGGAAACGTGGGCCCTCATGCTCTCATAGAAATGGACGAAGCGGCGAGCGACCTCTCACAGGGCGTCATCGCCCTCTCCAATGTGGCGGAACAGGCCGGAGTCAACAAGTTCACAGGTAGACGTTAAGAAATGTATGACTGTGTGTGCCTCAGTGTGTATGTGTGACGTAGACCTTCGCTCTCCTGGACCTTCAGTGTGATTTACACAGACATCTGCAGAGGAACATGTGCTCTCTGTAGACATAAACTGAAATATAGGAGCTCAGCGCACGCAGAGGTGAGTTAGGCAGAGTTGGAGGTTTGCCAGGTAAAAAAAGAGAACATGATGGGTGTAGGGGAGAAAAAGAGAGAAAAGTCTATGTGAGCTGTTTGGCCATGTCAGCTGTTTACTCCTGTCAAAGTCACAGAGAGGCTGAGAAGAAGGACAACGCACACATACATCAGAGCGGCTCAGCGGCCCAGAGATGGCATTTATCACAGGCTGGTGTGTTTCCCTCAGACGACTGGAGGTGCGAACACAAATACATGGACACCACAACTGTACAGTGTCAGCCTGCCAAAGCCAGAGCCCAGAGATCCAGAGAGGTTGATGTCTTTTTTTGTTGGAAGTCCCTCGTGTCGTTGCTCAGAGGATATCTGCTGCTCCGCATATGGACTGATCGATAAGTGTGCAGAAGGAGAAATAATCAGGCTACACCAGTATGGGACTCCAGCTGCCTTCATTATCAGACTGAATATATATTTATATGTATTTATTGATTTATTTATTGATTTCTAGATGCTCTTTAGGGCTTTCAAATGATTAATTTTAATATTGTGGGTCATCATCAAATTTAAAAAGTTAATTGTGATTTAACACGTTTCTTAATTTCTTGGTTAAAAGGTTATGTCCAAAATGCAAAGCAGTCATGAGTGATGTTTTTATTTAGGGACTAAGTGAATGCAGTCAGACATACTTTACAATCTTGAGTTATAAGATGCACCAACTCTGACTAAAAAGTAGAAAACAACTTAAAAACGCTTCATTTGCAAACAGGTTAGTGTTCATTTTTCAATATTCAAGGATTACACTGTTACACATCATAAAATAAGCAGGAGTACACGTAGACGATGTGCAGCAGGTCTCAATAAAGGCTTCAAAAGTGCGTTATGATGGCAGCAGCTAAACTATAATGTGCGAGAGAGACAAAGAGACAAAATAGCACGTTTAATAAAAACTTATGGGCACATTACTAGGATTATTAGGAAAGTGTCTCCTGTACGTTTCTCTTTCCCTCATATCAAACAGAAAAACAAAAGTATTGAAAGATAATAGGAGGGATTTTCTCCCTTCCCTCTCCCTGTTTCCTTTTAAATTGGAGTTATCACCTGAGTGATTGGACATTACAGGTCAACAAATCACCAAAAAGCCAAATCCACATCAGTAAGTCCACATTATCCCACAGTCAAACCAAAAGATCTCACAAGGTGAAATCCTCATTTATATGATTTTTCATCAGGATATCTGTCCAAAACCGTCCCCCGTTTCCATTACAGCGCACTTTTGTTCAATATTATTATGTCCTATTATCTAGCCTCCTTCTCTGCTCTGAATGTGTCTTTATGTTTTAAACTGTCTCGCTCTCGCCACTCTGGGTCAGATCAGATCAGACGAAAGATTCCTCTAAATGTTTTTAAAAACTGAACGAGCGACCTGGAAATTGATTTGTTCGCACAAAAATAGCGCCTAGATCTATCACGACACTTTCCAAACTTGCATCAACACCTCACTTAACCCTGTGATGGATACCTGCAGCAGTTCGGAGGAGGAGGAGGACAATAAATGCCAAAGGGAGCAATTTCACCATGATCAGTTTCTTTGATAACAAGGACTATCATAAGAAAAAAAAAAAAGGTTCAGTCATACTTTATTGTAACCACTGGAGTGTCCTTGACGCTGGTGTCCAACTAAGTTTTGGAAATGGGAGAGGACTTTGTAATTGGGTGTCGCAGAATCAATCTTCATCATCTGAGGAACTTTTTTTTGTGTGCAGGATGTCATCTAAGTCACCGTGTGGGGGTGCAGAGCGAGCTGGCCCTCTTCACAACGCTGTGAATGATGGACGGTGGACGGCTTTGTCATCAAACTGCCGTTAATCAGAGCAGAGGGACAGCGGGTGAAGTTGTATATCTAATGGTTACATATCTCCGGAGAGACATTAGCGGTTTATGGCCATAGGGGGCGAGTGATATTTGTCTGGGCTGATGGAGCGGGCCAGTAAATCAGAAACGCGGCCTGACTCACTGCACTGACTCTGCATACTCGAAGGGCAATCAGAGCTTCTCCACTCTGTAATTAGACTCCACCGGTCTCAGATGAGACACTTCGCCGAGACACTCCGCTTTAGAGAATGTCATCTGAAAATCCCGGGGTGAAATTGAGAGTAAATTGAAGAGCGCAGAGATCTTTTCATGAGGAGAAAATTACTGTTAGTTTTTGTTTAATGCGAAGGATTCTCTGCATGTGTACTTTTATTTGTTTGGGCGTCTTCCTCGGTGTGTGTTTGTGTGAGTGTAGCCCATCAGAGTCAGTGTCTGTGTCAGCAGAAAGACCTGCCCTGTGTAGAGGAAATGGCCTGGAAAGACGGTAATAACATCTCGCTGTTCATTTTTGTTATGGAGCTGATTTCGCTCCCTCGTTTCTGGGTTTTTTTTTTCACTCATTCTGCGATATTTGTCCTCTCTTAAACTGCTCTTCACCCTCTTGTAAACTGCTTTATTCTCTCTTACCACTCAGCGTTGTGTCTCTCGTGCAGGAGGGCGAGGTGTCGTGGTCGGGCCCATCGTCAGTCAGTCTCTCTCCGATGTCTTTTGCGACAATGAATATGGGCCAAACTTCCTGTTCAAGAACAACGGAGATGGGACTTTTACTGATGTGGCGCAGCAGGCGGGTAAAGGGAACTGTTTAATATCGATATCTTTAAAAAGAGTGATATTGTCACGGTAAAGAGTTTACCATATACCTGTAGGTTTGGAGGACCCCATGCAGCACGGCAGAGGAGTCGCTCTGGCGGATTTCAACCGTGATGGGAAGACAGACATCGTCTACGGAAACTGGAACGGCCCCCACCGCCTGTACATGCAGCTGAATAACCGCAAACAGAAATTCAAGGTCAGTCCAAATTCATTTTCGAGGTATTAGATGTTTCACACAAACTTAAAGACACAAAAACAGTCAGAGGTCTGAGGAGTTAAGACGCTTTAAATGAACTGTCTGATGAGTTAAAGATGCACACGCTTGTTCAAATGATTTTTACCTAAAAGAAAGATCCTACCATAAATGTGAATTGTGCACAAAACACACAAAAGAATTACATTTATTCACCCTCTCTGTGTCTCAGTTGATCATATTGACTTAACCCTTTAATGCCTTTTGTATCATATTTAAAACATACTTTTATCAAATCAATATGATCAACAAGTTAAAAAAAACAAACACTTGAAAACAGTCCGATAAATTATAAAAATGTCCTTGTGTGGTTTATCAGTTTCCAAAAACATCTATCAAACAAGATAAATCAATATATTTGTTAAATTTTCAGGACGTTTTGATTTTTTGGGTTTTCAGTCGTCAGTGAAATAAACATTTCAGCTTCAAAACAATTTGAATTTTCTGGTCATAATTTGTGGTTTCAGGCATTAAAGGGTTAACACTCTAACAAATAGAAAATTAATGTTTCATACAGATGTTACACCCCCTGCCCTTTTTTCAAGATTTTTTTTTTTTTTGGCATTTTGGCTTTTATTGAGATGGAGGACAGAAGATAGAGCAGAAAAAATTGGGAATGAAATACAGGAAAGAGGCCACAGGGTGGGATGGAAACCAGGCCACCTGTGTACACGGGGTGCGCCATAACATCTAGGCTGTCTGCGTCCTGAAACAGCTCTATCTTTACCAAAAAAAATGTCTCCCCACTCTTCCTCTTTCCTTCTTACACAGAAAAACCAGCCTGATTAACGGCATATCAATCCTGCCTTAAGCAGACTCTGTAAAACGGGCTGTGGACAAAAGCGCGCCAAAAATAACTGGAATATAGGAGCAGAAAAATTAGCATTTCAGAAAAGTCCTGATTTAAACTTTAAAACCTCTGCACAGCATGCTACGTTCTGTAAAAGTGGTTTGGTTTTGGAGAAGACTGGAAACAATCAGATGTAACTTTCCTATGATTTCTCTTTCATGAATCACTGTGACCTTTTTTTCTTCACCGTCAAATCCTCGCTCTGATCAGCGCCACAGCCTTTGTTTGTGCTTTCTCTGTGGTAGAAAGTATCCCATTTAAAATCAGATCAGAGTACCGTCTGTGGATATTCCAGAGTAATTACTACTTATTGATTAACTTCAGCCTTTGATTAGCCCATCAGATCAGGCACAGCAGATGATGAAGGACAGCTGTAGAGCGAGGCTGTTTTTCTTTCCCCTCCTCTCTCTCTCTATAGAATCAATGTCTAATGAACAGGCAGCACAGAGACAGCAGATCCCACTCATTAACTCTGTGAATCACACAGTTATCTACGCTAACACTCGGCTAGTGAGTTAGCTCCGCTCAGTTGCTGGCCAGCTTTAGGATAGAGTTGGATTTAAAGGCAGATGGGCAGTGATTTACTGAATCGACGACTACGGACAAGTCCTCTGAGACAGCCTACAGTGTGAGTGTGTTTGTGTAGTAGTGTGTGAGAGAGAGAGAGAGACGCTGTGTTGTGTGTAAATCTGCAGAGGTTTCGGGCTCAGTGATCTATCTCTCAACACCTGCGGCTGCATTTTTTACCAAAGAGATAAACGTCACAGGAGACATCTTTATAGGGGTCAAAGAAGGGGTTAATGTGTGATGCTTAGCCCAGAGACAGTTCCATCAGCCTGACACACACACACACAGAACAGAACCACACACACAAACACACAGAAGACAAATTGAATTAACTAGCCAATGTTTTTTAAACCGAGATTGTTAAATCACAAACCCACAACAACACGTTTAAGACCCTTTCCCCCGCCACGCGCTGACTCTCCCACTCGCCGTGTTGACCTTTGGCATGCATAATGAAGCCGTTGTATCACTCCAGTAAACCGCTAATTAAATTGGGCTGAAACAGCAGCTTGCCTGGGTGGTGGAAAGTGCCGATTAGGCCCGTTTGAGCTTTAATTAAAATCTAGTGCTGAGGTTTTTCTTGCAATAGGTTTAACAAGCACGCACACACTCACTGAACACACAAACAGCTAATACATATTTAAAAAGATGGAAAAGGTCTGGCTAAAAAAGTATGAGGTGGTGAAGTTCAGCAGAGAAACTTCATTATAAGTCTGGTCTCTGTAATTAGTACCATTATTTTCACTGAGCAAACTTTGCTAATAAAGTCAATGTAATGTAATAAATCTGTCGATTCAAGACCTTAGAAAACTGCGGGCTTATTTGAAATCAAAACATGTAATCAGGTGCAACCCGACCTTTAATTACCAAAGTCTAACATTCAGGTCCAAGATTAAGTAATTCCAAATATATTCTGATTGTATCCACACGAAAACTCGAAGGTGATGCAGTACAAGTAAATAAAAGCTCCTCCATAACTGGGCAACAGATGCAGTAGGTGTAAAATGATTTATTTGTTAAAACAGACCTCTCATTCCTGTGGTACCGCCATGATCCACCAGGGGGCATGACCCATAATCACATAATCAGTGTTATTTATATTTTTGATTCAGTTTTTAAATAATTAATCGTCATTTGTTTACAGGTTGCTTCTCATGTAGGTAAAAAAGGCTCATTATAAATTAATACAAACATTTTTAGACTCATTTAAAAATACCCATGAGTTTGGGATTTTGAGTCCGGCCCGCTAAATGCTCCTAAATCACACACTGTACCTTTAAAATCAGAGGTAGAGCTGAGTTAAAGGTGAGGTAGGCAGGATTCCGTTAAAGAAGCATGTTTTTTGTGGTGTATTTACAAAAAAGCTTTTAACATTGGTCAATTATTAGTTATTGATGACATTTGATAATATAATGATATCGCTGTGTTCTTTTATGTCTGTGTAGTCAAAATTTTACATTTTTTGAGTTTTAATTAATTTGACTGGAACAATACGAGTGAGCAGGAGCGTCTGATTGGTTGTCCCCCGTGTCGTTCGCGAGCCCAAACAAAAGTTAGCGTGCTACAATATCGGACAGTAGAAACCAACCAGAAAGTTTGGAAAATTGTCTGAATCCTCCTTTAGCCACGACTGCCAACACAAGCAAGAAAACAAAGTAAATATCAGAGACTCTGGTGGAATAACGGGCGCTTAAAACAGAGGTAGACCGGACAAGAGCTAAAAAGCTGGGTCAACATAAATAAACGATAGGGAACACTTCTGGATCTTGGTGACCCGGCTGGACAGGTAAACCGCTTTAACAAAGTAAGCCAAGTGTCTGTAACAGAAGTGTTTCTTGTCAAACGGACCTGCTGTAGCGTGTTGTAGCGCCATCGCTAAACTGTTGACCTCGGGTCCTGGACTATGTCACTTTATCCTAGTTGTAGAAGTCCTGCAAACATTGTGTTTGCTGGTAGTCTGTTGGCATCTACAGTAGCACCAATGCTTTTGACTTTCACCTTGACTGGGCCCCATTTGTAATTATCTCAAGTATTTATCTGCATTATATCTGAATTTAATTGGAACGATACGATCGAGCAGGAGTGTCTGTTTGTGGGCGGGGCTTGCTGGAGCAGAGAGGGAGGGGAGAGGAGGAGCTGAGGGGAAAACTGGTTGGGAGGGGTAGAGTTTACATTCAAGATTTGACTACCCCACCTTTAAGTGTGGATGTTGAAGTCCGTCTCAACTCTTTTTATGGTTAACTTGAGGTTGTGTCACCGTTTCCAATATGGCGACTGTTGCTGATAGACTTTCTAAACTGTCATTTCAAGATAAATGAGGGACACTGCAGAGACTACATCCACTTGTTATACACTCTGTGGCATAATACAGCACCAAGTACACGATAGTCACTGAACACATGAATAATCTCAGTTACAGTGTTTGTGTAGAATTAAAGTTATTGCCTCATAAAAAAGTCAACAAAGTCAACCTAAAATAATATTTTTCCTCATTAGTTAAAAAAACTTTAATTGTCTCATTTCTTGTGCAGGACAAACCAACAAAAGTTTAAAATAGTTGCCCTTTTTTTTAAATTAGAAAAACTTTATTAACAATTTTTTTGGGTGTAAGTCCCGTTCATTTTCATTTCAGCTCTTCTCGTAATACAGTAAATTAGGATGAGTCCCTCCCTTCCTCCTGGCCTCAGCTGGCTATCCCCTCTCCTTCACCTGAGAAGCAGAAGGTCACTGTGAATCCCCGTCCCCCTCCCCTGCAGCTTTATGAGCCTTATAATTAAAACAGGGAGTAAATAGTGGGGGGAGTGAAGGGCTGCTCTATAACTCTTCCCGACTTATCACTGTGTCACTGGAGCGGGGAGATATCTGTTACTTTCTCGTGCAAAAACTCCTTTGCTGAGAGGACTTTTAGTTTTTTAAAGAAGGAGAGCTGCAGTCTTCTTCTCTGGTGCCAGAGGATGGAGTACAGTAGAAGGACGCAGTTCCTACCTTCATGCTTTAGTCAGGGTGACTTATAGTGAGTGATGACAGATCAGTGTCTGACTCAAGGACTCGACGCTGATTATTGATGCTCGTTTGTTGTGGGAACCGAACATGTGACCTTCAGGAACCTCACTATTTATTGGCTCAGTTAACGGCACAGACCAACATGTTGGACTCAACACCTACAGAGAGCTGCCTGTTATAACCGGCTCTGGTCGTAACACTCTCTCTTTCTTGTAACAGCATCATCCTCTGACTTGAATCTTCTACCGATCAAACTTTATTTCTTACTGCATCATTGTGTCCCTTTAAGTCCAGTGAAAAATGAAGCAGAGAAGGACAAGATAAATAAACTTTGTGTACTTCCTATTTTCTAAAGAAAGACAAAAATATTTTGGTTGTAAAAAAATGTAGAATGTGTAATCATTGACATAAAGAGTTACGGTGAGGGAGATTTAACGTGTTTTATGACTGAAATGATAGAAAAACTTCAAGTTCAAAGTGTATATCTGGATTATTACAACATGGTCCTCATTTTAGCTCTGAGACAAGTCACAATCTTTAGTGCCTAAAGAATTGAAGAAAACTCCTCCACACTTTCAAACTGTCAAAAATACATTAATTTTGCAAAGTTTCAACTCCCAAATATAACCCAGAAGTGTTATTTTGAAGGACAGCATGCAACTTTGATAAACTGGGTTCTTTTCTTCTCCTCTGTCTTGTGAAATATTACATATTTTTATACATTTGCAAGTAAAAATTAAAGACTTGACTGCATGCCAAGTAAAGCAACAACAACAGTAAGTATGAGTAGAGGTCCAGCCCCTGACAAGGACAACCAATTATATCTTAAGATTCTGGGGTGGCTGTGAGGTGGTTAGTCAGGTGTCAAGGAGGGTCCTAGCCTCCACTTGTAACCCCTCTGGACGCTCCCCTGATTACAGGGTGCTGTGGACATGCAGTTACATTAAAGAGGCTGCACATGGGCAGATACCCTGGAAATTTGGGGGTTCTGTGTCGTACTCAAGAGGACATTGGCAGTGCCTAAGAAGTGCACTGTCAGGTACAAACTCGTGCTTGTGTCTTGAGACTTAAAGGAATATTCTGGTGTAAAATTAATTTAGGGTCAAACACATCGTAATGCCGATTTAGACACCCCCTCCAGAGATGAATGTTGCCGACCACTTGCTTCTCTAGGTATACCAACTTTAGTAACGACCATAGGATAGTAATACACAGCGCAACCAAAACGCCACTCTATAGCCACAAATAATGCTCAGAACAGCACCTAACTTCATCCACAAGACATATAGGGTCCCAGCCATAGTACTAGACACCAAACATCTTTTAACTTTGACTAATTTCTTTAGCAAAGAGACTAAACACAACTCACCCACTCTCTTCCAGCACCCGCTTGTTTGTAGCGAGACGCAGCTCAAGGAAGAACATCTATGATCATTTCTTTATCATTTCCTTGAAGTAATAATCAGCATATTATATATCAATCACCATACCATATTAATCTGCGTCACCCCGCTGAGATCTCCGTGCAAACAAGCGGCTGCTGGAAGAGAGTAGGTGAGTTGTGTATTGCTATTGAGCGGTCGTTACTAGAGTTGGTGTAACTAGAGAATCAAGCGGTCTACAACATTCATCTCTTGAGGGGGTGTCTAACTCTGTGTTGTGGTGTATTTGACCCCAAATTAATTTTACGCCGGATTATCCCTTTGAACCTGTGACCCTTGGGTTGCCGTGCCATGTCTCTAAAGACTGAACTACTTTTTGGCCGCCCTGCACTTTCTAAAAGTTTCTCTCAACTTAAAAAAGTGTCTGTTTTTTTTTCTCTCTCTCTTAGGACATAGCCTCCCAGAAGTTTTCCATGCCATCACCTGTTCGCACTGTTATCACCGCTGACTTTGACAATGACAACGAACTGGAGGTCTTCTTCAACAACATCGCCTACAGGGGTCCCTCTGCCAACAGGCTCTTTAGGTACACACACAAACACACACATACACACTCTCTTGTATAATCGCACACAAGTATTATGTTAAATTTAAAGAGCAATTTGTTGATGAGCTCAACAGACTGCTCCTGTGCTTTGATTTAATATTCTCAAACTTGGCTTTGGAGCTGAGAAGAATTTTAAATTCCCAGCCGAGGATACTTATCTAGTCTGGCATCCCGCCTCCTCCTCCACACATGGATGAATCTTTCATTAAGACAGTTTTAGGTCTCTTTTTGGCTGACGGTTTGGCTTCCTCTCAAGATAATATTAATGAACTCCGCTCTCAAAATGCAAAACATGATACATATCTATTGTTAAGGCTTAATAGTAGAATAAACCCGTCCTGTCTGAATAAAAAATCTGATCTGGCGTGTTTTCCTGAACAGGATGCATAAGTCATGACTAATGTTGCCATGAGCTGGTGGGTCAATTCATCCTGAATATCAATAATCAGTGTAAGCCCCAGAGATTTCCTCGGATCAGAATATTCCTGAACGCCAGGTCATTGGAGGAGAATTTGTCTTCCTGCACACGATGAAGGACTGACAGGGGTCACTGCCCCACAGCTCGTGGCTCCACCATTGTCTAGTATGAAGATGAATCAGCTCATTTAAATCTGCTCTCTGGCGCAGAAGAGACAAGCTTCAACTATTGTGCCTTAGATAATTAATTCAATACAACTAATCGATAAAAAGCTGAGCAGGGGGGTTTATCAGCCAAGATCAGCACATTAATGCGCTGTGAAATGTAGTTATGACTTTAGAAAAGTGAGGTATGAAGCAGAGGAGGTGCTTCGTCATCACAGGTGCTGTTAGTGTAGCGAGGATTCTTCCCTCTCACTTCGAACATCATATTCCTGCAGACATTCAAGTCCCTCTGGTTACTGGGTACATTTTAAAATGACAAGTTTTGAGCAGAGTAAATAAATCATAAACGCATACAATTATTTTATATTTAGTTTTGTAAGCACACACTGTCAGTGCGTACTGTTGATAGTTTAAGATGGGGAAATGTGTCTGCTGTAAAAGGAGGAAAGTCTGCTTCATTCGTCTCAAAGAGAAGTGTTGCACAAAAAAGTTGTACAAAATAGTTTAGGACTCATTGAAAAGGTTTCCTATTTCAATAAGAAATCCCACCTGCTCTTTAAATTGTGCATCATTTGTCTTGATAAAATTTATTGTGTTTAAACTACGCCAACTATTACATTTCACTGCAGTGTTTTAATCCAACGCTTGGTGCAAAGTATATAGGCCCATAGTGTACAGGCGGCAAATGAAGTATTAAAATACTTTAATTCAATAATAATAACAACAACAATAATAATTATAATAATAATTTAAAAATACTCTGTCCTGATTAAAAATCTATCAATAATTCCACTTAAATAAAAATACAGCAGATCAATTTGACCATTCATTTGATCATTCATGACCCAAGTCATGCTTTGTACAAGGAATTCATACTACTGCCATCAGGCAGACGATACAAGGAGCCACCATGGAGGCTTAATAGGTTTAAGCTCTCATTTGTCCCGTTAGCAGTCAAAGCACTTAATAACAGATAACTAGAACAGCACAGTACTGGTAAATGCGGTACCACACCATTGTAATGAATTTTTTTTTTCCTCACTGTATGTATTGTCTGCTCACCACGGTGTATGAATTGAACTTGGATTGGTGTATGGTGTATGAATTGTATGTCCAACAATGCTGTACCTTGTAAGCCCAAGACAAATTTCTCCTTGGAGACAAATGAAGGAATTGATTGATTGATTGATTGATTGATTGACCATAAGTACCTTATTGAGATAATATCATCACTCCTACTGTATTTTAATATTGATGCTAGTGAAGAACAGAGATCAGTTTTCATTTAGGTGAAAAGTGGGTTTGTAGGTTCTCTGTAGGTCTTTACTGAAGGTTCTTGAGGTCTATATTTGTTTTTACACACTGCAGTTAAGTCAGATCTAATCGAATCGAATGTTAAGTACTTAGAAAGTGTGAAAAGAGTAAATTTAATACCAATACAATTATTATATAGAAGTGTAAAGTAGCATGTCATGGAAGGTACAATAAAACTGAGCTCAATAATTCACCTGTGCTGCATAAAGAGGTTCTTGTATGAGTGTTTAATAGTGACTTTACAGGTAACTGTTGTGTTGTTGGTTTGCAGGGTGAGCAGGAGAGAACATGGAGACCCTCAGATAGAAGAGCTGAACGTCGGAGAGGCTTCAGAGCCTGACGGAAGAGGAACCGGTAACTGTCTTTAAACTGAGTATGAACAATGATAAGAACCTGCTATTCCTACATTCACCTTTAGGTGGCAGCAGAGCTCCACTTGCTGACTGAAGTCCCTCCTGAGCTTTAATGTTCCACATAATCAGTTATATGACAGTCTGTGTTCCCTGTGTGAAGATAATAAGTGTTACGTAGGCTATTACCTGCCGTGTTTACTTGCATCATTACTGTGATGGCTCTGCAGGAGCTGTAGCCACAGACTTTGATGGTGATGGCCGTCTGGAGCTGCTGGTGTCTCATGGTGAAAGTGCAGCCCAGCCGCTCTCTATTTACAAAGTCAACCTGGTGAGTATTTGTGTAAGTACAAGCTGATGATTGTCGCCAAACCCTCTTTATGATCATCGCCTCTGTCTGTCTGTCTCAGGGCACCACTAACGCCTGGCTGCGAGTGATCCCCAGGACCAAGTTTGGGGCTTTCGCCAGAGGAGCCAAAGTGGTGCTGTACACGAAAAAGAGTGGCCCACACACACGCATCATTGACGGAGGCTCTGGGTATCTGTGTGAGATGGAGCCCGTCGCACACTTTGGCCTCGGTAAATATGGAGAAGACGACATACTGAGGGTAGCAGTGATGGTTTCAGTATCCCCGCTCTCTGGGGAGTTTGGCTGCAGGATAGTGTTGGATGGACAAAGCGGGGACAGATGCTGCAGCTGGAAGCAGCTCCATGACTCCCTCTGCCCTATGAAGGGCTTTCAGCTGGTGGTCCCCCAGGACTCGTGGCTAACCCTTTGCTGCTCCGTCTCCCTGCTCACTGAGCCCGGTCTGTTCTGAAGAGACTCAATTTTAATGCCTGATTACTCACAGGCACTTCAGGAGCAAATTTTCCACAGGATCGTTGCTTCAGAACAGACCTCCTCTCTTTAAAGTCCTCTCCACCAGTAGACACATGAAATACACTCCTCGGCGCAGCACTAAATGAGGAGGTGTCAGTCGGGTGCAGAACAGGTGAATTATTCTTTGGCTCCCTGGCAGCACACCTGCCCAGTGGATCACAGGCTGGCAACATAACTCAAGATCTGTTTACATTAGAAATGCCACTTTAATTAAGACTGCAGAGGCCCTCTGGAGAGGGGCTTTCTCTCTGCCTGATTAAAGTAGTTAATGGAAAGAGAAGAAGAAGAGAGTGCCGCTCAGTCTCTCATGAAAAATGGAGGAAAGAACAAAGCCTGATTTAATAACCTGAGATAATCGACAGCGTTTACAAGGCTGTGAACCCTCAACAATCACTAATGTCCCTGTTCCTGTGCTGTGTCTAACCAGGAAAGGATGTCGCCACCAACGTGGAGGTGTACTGGCCAGACGGTCGATCATCGGCCCGTCCTCTTGAACCTTCAGACATCAACACAGTATTGGAGATCTACTACCCGAGAGACGAGGATGAAGTCACTCCTACTGCAGAGATAGAGGTACAGCAGTGTGTCAAAGCAGATTACACACTAATGAGCTTCCAAGCAAGTAACTCTTGGATCATTATCCTGAAATGATCAAGTGCAAAAGACTGGAAAGAGACATTTTCAAAGAACTTGATTTGATAGTTAATATGCAGCCGCTTGCAGGAGTCCTTTGCTTTTAGTCAGATGACCGTATGCAAACTTGGGGTGGTCGTATATCCGCACAGCATGACTGCACATCCTGCACAGAAAGTGGGAGGAATGTGGAGATAATTAGGACTCAGCAGCTCAGTTTCTGACACGGTCTAACTTTTACACGATCAAAAACTCAAACATGAAATATAAGAAAGGTCCTACAGATCAGTAACAATTTTCAGCTGCATATAACACAGACTGAAATAAATACTGATGTCTTTTTATGAGCTACAAACCAGAAAATCAGCATAGAGATTGTCTCGGTCATATTTACACCCTGCTCTTCGTTTATCTGTGCTGTATTTCCTCGCTCATTTTTGTCCATGAGGAGATTTAAGTAGCTCAAGATAGACTCATATTAGTGTTAGAGGTAATGACACAATAAAAAAATCAATGCTGTCACAAATTTCAGCATTTAAACGACTTATTTAAAACCAATACATGATCCTTGGAATCAGCAACATAATAATCTGAACCTCATTTACACTGATACTCCTCACCCTCTCTAGGACTGTGCCAAGATCTGATTAATTTAATATTTATGGATTAAATCATTTAATCCTCATTAAACCTTTTATTGGACTCGTGTGCCAGAGGGATTGGAGCATTGTCTGAAAGAAAGCGAGGAGTCTTAGGAGCGAGGGAGATGTTTCATTTCAGGATTTTAATATGCTGATTTGAAAGTCTTGGGGCACAGGTGGCTCTAAATCCATTTATTACCCACGTGTTCTTCGATCTATCTCTGAATCTGTTTTTTTTTTATCCAAGATAGGAACCTGTCTTTAAAGCATGAAAATACACCTTTCTGATTCAAGATTCTTCTCGTTTCTGATGATGTCTTTCAGTGTGGTCAGGGATTCGCTCTGAATGAGAACGGCCGCTGCACAGGTGAGTTGTATAAATACTTGTGAGAGACGACCCCTCTTCGTTTGCGTCAAACAAAATGTGTCTTTCCTCCCCCTCTCGCCTCCCCGTCCCTCAGATGAAGACGAGTGTACCCAGTTTCCCTCTGTGTGCCCCTCCGACCGCCCCGTCTGCACCAACACCTACGGCAGCTATAAGTGCCGCGCCAAGAGGAGATGCAACCAGGGCTTTGAGCCCAACGACGATGGTTCTGCCTGTGTGGGTGAGTGGTCCTGGCAGAGTCAGGGTAGACTTAGCTGGATTATTGAGATCAGTGGGGAACAAAAGAAGCACTGCTGGAGAAGGAGATGCCCTAAGCTGCCTTAATTACTCCGCTTTTTGAATAAAGGCTTAGAGGTGCTAACATTCCTCTGGCCGTGTCCCCTCTCTGCACCCTGCTGTCTTGCATGACTACCTCCCTCATGTGAGCGCACTCTCTTTCAGCCATTAAAGCCTCGAAAAGAAAATATGCAGATATGAAATCAAAGATAAGAGTCTTCGATGAACCTCATTATTGATGGATAACTGAGAGTAAAAGCAGCTCAACAGCTGGTTAGAGTGTTTCGCATTTTGACTAACATCTGCCCGGCTCATCTGCAGAGTCACGGCTCATGAGACAGTCTGTCTGGTTCGGTTTTTCTGTGTTTGTGTTACCTGATTCAGAATCAGAACCCTGCTGACTGAAAACTAGTCATCTGAACTGGCCTTGGGTTGTTGAGTTTCCAAAGTGCTTGCCATGACTTGTCAGAGTTGGGAGGTATCTGTTATTTGGGCCGTGACTCCAAACTGCCAGTCTCTTTGTTTGCATTTCGAAGCGGCACACTTCCCAATTTTTTTTACTTTTAATTAGTGCTGACATTTTTTGGGGGGAGCTTAAAAAAGTCAGAAAATAAATTTGGCAATGTAAATGTTTCAACTTTTCTCTGTTTTTCAAAGTTTTTCAAGTTAAAATATACACCGGATTAAATTGTTGATGAGTAGATATGATTGAAACAGAGAGGCTGAATACTGTGTTTGCAGACACATACTTTATGCCACCCCTGCATCAGTCAGTGTCCTTGTTTGGCCACTCTAGTCAATAGAGTCTGGATCAGCCTCTGGCTATCCATCTCACTGCACTAACACATGCATCAGCAGCTTCGTATTTAAAGCTCTGAATGAAACGACGGCCCTGCAGCGAATCACTACAACTAAACTCGGTGGGATAGTTGGGTTTAGGTGAATAAACTGAACTCAGAGGTAACAAAATCAGTAGACCACTATATCATGTGATATGGAACTATATGATCCCATACTAGCTCCACAATAATGATAATATCTACAGGGTTTTAAAGGGATGTTCCGGCATAAAATTAATCCAGGGTCAAACACACCGACTTTTTCCTTTCTCTAAATTTTTTCTCAATTATTACATTTATTTAAGGTCTTAATACTACGATCTTTATTTTTATAACTGCATTTTTGCACTCTTTGTCTGTGATGCTGCTGTGACAAAAAAATTTCCCCCATGGGAGATCAATAAAGGAATATTCTATTCTATTCTATTCTATTCTATTCTAGACACCCCGAGAGATGAATGTTGCTGACTGCTTACTTCTCTAGTTATACCAACTTTAGTAAAGACCGCACGATAGCAATGCACAGCAGTCTGAGGAGCCATTAACAAACCTCACCCAAAACGCCACTCTATAGCCACAAATAATGCTCAGAACAGCACCTAACTTCATCAACAGGACATATAGGGTCCCAGCCATAGTACTAGACACCAAACAGATTTTCAATAAACTAATTATCAATAAACTGAGGAGTACCTGACACATCAAACCCCATGTCATTTGATTGACAAGCAGCTAGCACATCACTGTCATCTTCTGGTATTATGCAAAATCAATACCAAGATCGGGTAAGAAGATGATTGTATCATATAAACCAGGACATTGATTTATTCAGACACTACATTGTGCACTGAATTTCTTTTTCCTTTGACTCTGCTGGTTGGCTAACTCTTCTTTTGTTTTACGTCTCTCTCTGCAGCTCAGGTGGCTTACTTTGGGGATACACGGTCTTCAGGAGAACCCAAGTGGTCAGGTTTTTCCCTGTGGTGGCTGTCAGTCGTCTCTGTCCTGCCCTCCATCTCTACCCATCTGCAGATCGAGCTGCTGTAGCGGCTGCTGTCTTTACCCAATCCCATCTCTCTCCACTCCTTCACGGGGATGTACAGAAACTCTTGGAGAAAACTTTTCACCCCTCCTTCTGTCCTGTGGACTTTTATCTTTTTTCCAGTATTTATTTACAGTCTCGTCCTCTCCTCACCGCTGCTATGTGTCACCTCTTGGCTCCCGGCCCCCTCTGAACTATAAAGACACACACAGGGAGCATGCTCGCTGGGAGCTACAGGGTTCAGAACTCACTGTGTCACACCCGCAGAGCCCTCACGTCATCGCCTGGCACTTATCTTAGTGGGACCTGAATCGAGGCCAAGACAATGAGTGGAGCTGCAGCACATAAACCTCTGCACATACAGCAGACGGATCTACTGGCTGCACAGACCACAGTCATTAGAGACACGCTGAGGCCCCATCTGTATCTAAACAATGCCACTGTGTTAATCCTTACAATGTCACTCGCATTCTTATTATGGGCTAACTGGGATGTCGAGAAAAGCCAGGTCTCCAAGCTTTAGGTTTTGTGTTTGTTTTTATGTGTGTGTGTATCTGCGTGTGAGTGTTTGCTGTGTCCAAAAACGCAGTTGGGTAGAGGAGCATATGCCAGACCATCTGTCTCCAATGGTTGGTAATATCTTGTTGCCTATGAATAGCACAACAGCGTAGTAGTGAGGAATACTAACACACGTGTTTGTGAGTGAGAGCACAAAAACAGGCAGGAGCTAATTACATTTTTTTAAAGAACAGAAAGCAGAAGGTGAACTTGAACCTGTTATAATTGACTTGGCAGTTTTATAATTACTCACAACTTCAAGAGAAAGTTTTAAAAAGACATAGGATTACAATATTTATCTTTATCCTCCTTTTCATCATCGCTTAACCATGAAAGAAAAAGTGAATTAAATTGAAAATTGTGATAAAATAACCTGCAGAGTATTGGATCTATGTCGGGTCTGATCGCTTTTCAGGAACATAGTCACATGCATCTGAGGACAGTCTCTATAGTCTCATACATATTATAATCCTGCAGCAGGGCCGCAATGAAGTCATACCGCCACTACAACTTCTTACTCACAGTCAACCCTGCAGTGGCGTTGCAGAGGTGTGAGCGGCACGGCTCATAAACACACTGGCAAGAACATCACATACACAAACAGAGCTGTCCTGCCCTGCTAGCTCAGCTGTTACTCTATCATCTGACCTTACACATTTGTTACCTCTGAGGGAGAAGTTCGAAGGAGTTTGCAGTATGTAAAAGCATCATGACTCTGTACGTCTTTGCTGAATGCTACTTCTTGAATGTCTCCACTTGCATTGATAACCATTATCTTCAAGATGCAGCGTAACTTTCCCTCATAACTTGGCCCACTTTTATAGCCAAACTCTGAATATGAGACTGTTTTCAGATGTGTTCTAGGGAGAGAATCCCATTACAGTGGTTTTATTTCAGTAATAGGTGTCATAAAACAGTTGGACACTGTTCCTCAAACAGAAGTCGGATTTTATTGAACTAATTTCTGTCCAGTAGTCGTTTGGTTCCTGCAAATAATATTTGTAAGATTAATTCACATGTCTATGTTCTTTTATTTCATCAATCTATTTTAATAGTTTTAAAATATACAAATATAAGTGATCATTTTTGCCCAATTTCCATTTTGTTTTAAAAATCAAGGAAAAAGACAAAAAAGAGTGTACCCAGTTTCCCTCTGGGAAGTGAGTCTTGAGCTTTTGAGGACAGAAATTCTGGCACAACTTCACCAGCTTTAAGGTGCTCGGAGAAAAAGGATCTGAAAGAGGTCAAAAGAGCTCCAGCAACACTTGTAGTTTCAGGAAAACAGCTTTATTTGACCGAACGCATCAGTCAAATAAAGCTGTTTTCCTGAAAACACGAGTCTTGAGCTTTTAAAACTTAGAAAAAGCATAAATAAACCTGAATTAAAACTGTTGGGGAAATTTAAAGTATTTTGAGGAAAAAAGTGGAATAAAAAAACCTCGTCCTCCACAAGAATTCAACAGCAGATGCACCGACAGAGATTTGACCCCTCACTATCCTGCAGGGAAGCGCAGTTCTCCTCTTTGAAACCCCACAGCAGAAACGATGCAACACAACCCCAAACTTATCCATTTAAGTCCACAATGAGAGTCCCAGCAGGGGATTGATTCATCATCAAGTTCTGGCCTGTGCAGTCCTCTAGAGGCGAAGACTGTGTGCATGTGTGTGTGTGTGCGTTTGTGTTTGAGTCCTCTTTTTCTCCCTATACGCTCGCTGAGGCAAGTGTTATATTTTATTTGGACATTTGCGGCTCGAAACCTCACACATTCCATTTAAGAGAGAGCACCAAACTCGGTCCCCTGACATCACTTCCAGTCCTCTAATGAGTTGGACTCAAACCGCAGATGCCACCTGTAAATATCTAACATGTCAGCTGAGATTTAAAAGACTGGACTTATTTCTCACTGAGACATTTTTAACGAAGACCAAGAGGCATCCGAGCATGAAGAGCCAATAAACAAACGATGATGGATGTGTTAAAGCAATTAAAATGACTCACCGTGGATCTCTGTTGGATCCTGGTTGCTGATGTTGTCATGCTTTCTGTGAGTAAGCCAAAGACTCAGTAAAAGGGAGAGTTACGGGGAGTTCAGCAAGATCCAGTCCACTAAGCCAGATAATGTCCTCTCAGAAGATTTCACTTTACATTAATGCCACTGAGGTTCAACCGCAGACTGTATATGAAGATGGACGACACATCTCCACCTCGAATCCTAACAGCATTGTAGGATGCAGGAGGATCGAGGAGATATGTCTAATTTTAATCACAAAAATAAAATCAAGCCGCTGAGCAATAATGCCAATCTTCTGCATGGAAGCTAGCAATCATTTGCTCTCTGCTTTTTAACTCCTGTTGATAACTCCTAAACAAAAAGCTATTGCATTAATTTATCAAAAAAACACAGAACAGATAAAGAGTCCAACACTGCAGCTTGGCTAAAGCTGAAAACATACCACACTCTGTATTTGCTCCGTAGGGCAGCGTTGGGTATCACATACAGGATCAGCGTATTTGAAGCGTAGCAGCAGCGTTGTGCAGCTCCGGTCAGCTGGGCTCAGTATAGAGGAGACAACATGCAGGTTTACTGGTGTTTAATAAAGTAAACTATGTTCTTTTCAAAGTCCTGTTGGGGTCCACATGTATCAGGGATTGACTATCAGATTGTTCTGTGTTACTGATAAATCCAGAACCAGGAAGGATTTCTCATCTACACAAACTGATACACAGTCAGGAGTTCACATATGGTGTTTTATTTTGAAATTTACCGGACGACATGTGCGTTTTTTGTGCTTGACTTCCTGTCTGGAATGATCCTCACTGTGTGGATTGACGCGCATTGGAAGCGTAGAGCAGCAAAAAGAGACTCGTCGCGTATCTTTATCAGTGCTGCTCTCGATACGATGCTGCGACGGAGCTGAGACGCGCCCCGTATGTGATGCTGCATTGATTAGAACCTATTTGCTGCGTGATACGCGACGCTGCTGCCACGCTCCAAATACACATCCTGTGTGTTTTAGCCTTAAGACTGCATGGGCTTAAACTAATACCTCACAAACATATCAATCAAAAGTCGCCTTTATTGAGTCTCTTGTTTCCCACCAATCAACCTAATATTTTTTTGTAAATATAGCAGCCCCATGGTCGATTTTAAAAAAGCACCTCCATGCAGTGAATCACTTCAGCAGGGGGAGGTGGTCTTATTACAGCCTTTTGTTATGTGATGTCTGAATTTTTAGATTGTTATTTTAGTTTACAAACTCAAATCATCCTCATGTCAGGATGCAACATTGATAACTAGAGTATCTTTGCAAATTCATGCAAATTAGTGCAAATAAACCCATAGCTTCATGCTAACTTCAGGAAACTTAACACAAGTTCCCAAGTACCTCTTAGCAACCAAAACCAACAGGAACTCATGAGAGAAAGAAATTTATTAAACTTGCATTATGATGTTACAGTTTGACCTCAATTTATGACCTGTTATGCAAATGTTTTGGCTTTGTTTTTGGGGAGCCGCCATGTTGTCCATCTTCTTCTACAGTCTATGTGCGGTACTGATGGTAATAAAGGTTTTATCAGGACTTTTAGGAAACCTCTTTCTAGTTCTAATCACACTCTTGAACTGTATCACTAAGGACTGATGTGTAAGCTCAATGTTTGCATGAACAATAACATCCACGTGACTATAAAACTTGCACGCTTTAAAAACGGACATCACTGTTTTTGACCCTGTTGCCCACAATCTCCTACTTAATCTCCAAAATCTAGACGACAATGTAGACATTTGTGTCGACACATGGTTGTGTGAATCCAGTTTGTATCTTTCCAATAATGTGTCGGACTGGGTGTTGGCATTTCAGCTGGTTTTAACAGAGAAAGGACAAGATTAATGATTGTCTGACTTAGACGTCTCATAACTACACTGTATATACATAAACTGTGGGACTGAATATACTGTGGACAGTATTCAATGTATTGACTCTGCAGACGTGCAGAGGAAATCAGTTTCCACAATTTCATGGGACTCAGTCCAGATTTGAAGCTTTCTTTGTCCAGTTGAACTGGAGTCTATCCAAAGCCTGAGGAAATGCTGAGAAAATAAATGAGAACAAATCATTCACAGTGAACAATCGCTTCTTTATAGGCACTTTTTCAGTCATATCTGGAAGTGGGATTACTTGTTTTTGGGACAGAACAAGAGAAAAGAAGAGAAATTACATTTAGTATCAGTAATTACAAAAACAGAGCAGACCGAGGACAAGGTAAGCCTTAAAACAAATCCACTCTGTGATTCTATAACTGTGTGTCACTGAATGGAGTCCAACAAACTGCAGGGAGGATGCTGTGTTAGCCTGTGTGTGTGTGTGAGTGTGTGTGTGTGCACGTCTGGTATGTTCACTGCTGCAGCATTGTTTGTGTCCCAGAAGCTCCAGCTGTGTTTCTTTCTGCTAAAATGAACTGAGAGCTGAGATGTCCCTGTGAAAAATAAAACCTGGAACACAACGCTTAATGTGTGTGTTTCAAGGGAGTTTGGACAAGTTTATGATCATATATTAGCGTGTGTGTGTGTGAATGTGTGTGTGTGTCTGTGTGAGTGTAGTCATGCACTCCATGTGGAAAAAGAATCCAAATGCCTTTTTTTTTGCCTTCAAACCACAAATCACTAAATCAAAGCGTAAACAGTAATTGCACAATGTACACACACACACACTATGAGCGTTTATAGAAAATGACAGCGGATCAGATAGAGGGCGATTTGTTAGGAAAATATTTGGGAATGAAGAGGAAAAAGGAGCCGAGAATAAAGAAGCCGGGTGAAAGTTGATGTGTACATTGTTGTGGCATTTTAACTTCAGCTGCTGCCAGAGTTGAGGTATTTTCATTTGACCTTAAGTTTTCAGTCAACAGTCTTGATCCTGATGCTAACATTTATGTTCGAATAGCTGTGTGCAAACTCTCCCTTCAAACCTCAGCAGGCCTACTTCTAGTCAGGGCGAATCCAGGTTCAGTTAATCTCTATTTGTTATATGATTTCACAAACACACCGCAACATCACTGAGTCTGAACGCCAAACAAATCTACGCTGACAAAGATCACATCACACAGCTTCACTCACATGTAAGTGATGATTTCTTCAAAGTTAATCTAACGAGGGATCACACATGTTCAAAATGAAAATCATCTACAGGGTAAGAAAAGCCTGAATCAGTTCCCATCATGATTGCTAATCTTGATTCTCAGCTTCTGTATAAAATCATGTAAGCTTTCAGTCCAGAGTATGACTGCTACTGTTTCAGGGTGTGAAGAAAACGGCTCCTGTGTAATGCTTATTAAGCTTTAAATAATCAATATTTACTCTATTCTTACTTCCTGAGTTAATCATTGGACTGTAAATATTGACTTCCAAGTATTCCGCAGAATTCGCTAAATCCTTAAGCGGCAAAGAAAGCCCCTAAAAGTTCCTCGTCAGCAGCCCTGCCAGGGAGTGTCTCCCTTTATATGAACATGTTCTCCTGTTGTAGTCACAGCTTGTTGTCTCCCTATTATCGCTCTATTTCACAAAAATTCATTCATGCTCCTCAACTTATATGTGGACCATGCCATAAGACTAGGCAGCAACAAGCATAAAAAGGCCAAAACAGGCCAAAAGAAGAAGAAATGCACCTTTGAATTTAACTGCTTCATGCCTGTCATTTCCTTTCTAGTTATTAGCAGCGTTGACCTTTACGATGCATTTTGAATATTGTCCTCAATTTATTTTAATCTGATCCTTCAAATTAAAGCTCCCGTGTGGAACATTTAGTTTGTGTCAGTTTTGGCACCCCCTGTGGACAAAGCAGTCTTCGCTGCTTATCCTCTTCATGCTGAATATTGTCTTCTGACATTTGATATTTATCATTTACAGTTGATATTTTATTTTGAAATCGTAAAAAAAGGGTTATATTTTCTGCTGTCACCCCACAGCAGTCCGTAATGGACTAAGCCGAGGTCTCGCTATAAAAGATGTTTGGTGGCTGGGACCCTATATGTCCTGTTGATGAAGTTAGGTGCTGTTCTGAGCATTATTTGTGGCTATAAAGTGGAGTTTTGGTTGAGGTTTGTTTATGGCTCCTCAGACCGCTGTGTATTGCTATCCTGCGGTCGTTACTAAAGTTGGTAAAACTAGAGAAGCGGTCGGCAACATTCATCTCTCGAGGGGGTGTCTAACTCGGTGTTACGGTGTGTTTGACCCTAAATCAATTTCACGCTGGAATATCCCTTTAAAGGTTATATATGGATGTGGTTTTGGGGCTAAATCATGAAATAGAGTTTTTGTTTCTTGTCCCTGTCTTCAAAGAGCAACTTTTAAAACAGTAAAAAAAATCAGACACATGCTCACACAACAACCTTTTAGTGAACATGATGCTCTTAATCTCTCCGTTTGATGCACACAGTTACTGAAATGCACAATCATAACTCGGCGTGAGCCTGAATTTAGAAACATGTGGATAAATGTTTTTTGGGGCTGAGTGAACACAGCCAGAGTTTTGATGCCTCATGAGATGTTGCGGTACACCGCCAGAGTTAACAATTTTGTTTCGCTGAATTCCTGCTGTTTGTTAGTTTTTGCTCAGTGAATGGAAGTAAACTCTTGTGTCAGAGTCACAAGAGCAGAATAAAGGAATGGAGACCCTCCTCGACTGTCACTGCAGGCCTGACTTTACTCTGATGCCAACTGCTCCTCCTGGGAGATGCCATGTTTGCTGCAAGTATACAATTGTAAACTTCATTATAATGACTACTGTGCGCTTGCCAAGCTTTGCTGCCAGCCAGCGGGGGTGTACTGACTTTCTGTCATTTGAAGGAATAAACATTTTAACAGTTAAATCCCAGAAAGTGACTTTTTTGGGAAAAGGTACAACCACTTTTTTTTTCCTGTTTAGGAATGTAAAGGAGGAAAAAACTTGGAGGAAGTGGACTGAGAAAAGAGCTGCACGCCCAAAAACCGAGGAATTTATTTCTGGACGTTCAAAACAATTGCAACAGCAACCTGCGGCGAGGCGGCGGGACGAAGACTGATTTTGAGAAACAAAGAGGGTCTGTGTTTCGAGAGAGAGAGAGAGAGAGAGAGAGAGAGAGAGAGAGAGAGAGAGAGAGAGAGAGAGAGAGAGAGAGAGAGAGAGAGAGAGAGAGAATAGCTTGTTAGTGTGAGAGTGACCTTTTCCCTCAGGTGTTGAGACGTTTCCTCACTCCTCTGCTGTCTTTAAGAAAATATCAGTTCACTCTCACCGTCTCCACTCCTGTGATCTTCACTAAGCCTCAATACCTGCCAGAACTTTATCAGTAATATTCAGCCATATGAGAAGGCCATGATTGATCGACTGTACTTTTATAAACACACACACACACACACACACACCCACACACACACACACAGAGAGGGCAGTCTGGCCAGCGCAGCCATGTAAGTCACCCTCCTTCTTTTAAACCTACATAAATCTTCGTTTTAGTAAGTAGTGGCTGTAAAAAAGGTTGAATGTGAGCCAGTCTCAGAGGCCACTGGCAGTCATCAGCTTTCATTGTCTTGATGCTATTCAACCATTGCCAACTTTCCAGTAATTCATGTGTAGCCGGTGGTTTGTTTTTAAACTTTTGTCCATTATATCCCAAAAGAAGTGCCTGTCCGTCTGTTTTAAATCAGTCCAGATTCAACAATTGATATTAAAACGTACGATTATCACACACAGAGTCCTAACTCTGACTCACTCCTGCGGTATGACCCCCAAAAAGCCGCCCTGTTGTCTTATTTACTTATGGGTCTTAAATCAGGTCAAACAACAGTATCATGATTAAGATGTGCAGAAAATAGAGAAATGTAGACCCATGTTTGACTTTTTAATGTCAAACCCATAGACTGTACATACTATGGACAAATTGGTTCCGCCTTCAGTCAATATACGGATTTGAAGCCAAAAAGCTCTCTGTATTTCTGATTTTTCTCCAATCCTGAAACCAATATTGTGCAGAAGTATGCACTCCAGCATTATACGCATGGCGCTCGGCTCAAACAGCGTATCCCCCAGTGAGCTACGTATCTTCGTACACACATAGGCTGAATCAAGTGTCAATCATGGAAAACATGAACCCCCTAATAACTTTTAAAAAAGGAGCTGCAAAGAAAAAAAGAGGACTTGAGCACAAACCAGTCTGACAGTAACTACATGTCAACATCACAACAAACATTTATACTCTGTGTAATAAATTTATAAAGTTTGTCCACAGCTCCATAGGAATTGCTGGAGGAGGCGGGATTTATGACCTATACTGCAGCCCGCCACCAGAGGGTGCTGTTCTCGCAGTGGCTTCACACAGCGAGGAGGCAGACAGCGTTCATTCTATATACAGTCTATGGTCAAATATGGGTCAAACGGTTAAATTTTAATTGTTAGGGCCAATATGTAACAATGACCCAAAGATGCTGAGACCAAAACGTAATAACTTTATGGACAAAGTGTAGCAACTTGTTACATTTTGGGTCAATTATTACATTTAAGGTTATTACGTTTGTTTTATTACATTTTGGGCTCAAAATTTTGTAACATTATTGACCAATCATTACATTTCAGGCTTTATAACCTTGTTTGGTTACACTCTATTTGATGCCTCTCTCTATAAAGCATTATAAATACATGTATATTGCGTATAAACATGATCACAAAGACACGCAGCACACTTGTTTACACCTTAGTGACAGTGACACTTTCCGAGTGTTTGTGACATTGAAAATTTCCACACTTAAAAAAAAATTACACATTTTTTCTGGAAAACAGCTGCTTGTTACTGTTGAAACAGAAAGATGAGAGCTGTGTGAGCAGAAGTTAGGACACACAAAATAAAACAATGACCACCATTGTTCCTAAACCGAAGGAAAGGTTTGATTAGTTCTGGACACTTTTGTATTAGTCACACACTTGTTGCAAAATTGCTTTGACTGGACTGTGTGTTACTGCTAACAGAATATGATCTGTTTGTGTTGTAATTTTAAGGTTTTTATTGTACTTCATATAAACATTTTGTTCATTTAGACAAAGAAGTTGAGTGAGGAGTTGATTTTAACCAAAACAGAGACGTTCTTACTTGAATTTTGTAAGTGATATAAAACATAATTTCCAGCGTGTCTCCTCTGATGGAGTCAAGGTTTAGTCTGGTTTTGTTTCTACTCTGCACTGGGCAAAGTGGACTTGGTAGAAATGGAATATAATATTCATGAATAAAATCGATTTTTCCTGCAAATACCTCAGCTCTAAAATACCTCACCCAGTTTTTTTGCTTTCCTTTTTAACACTCAAAAATTGTCTAGCTATAATCTTTAACAGTTGTATAAAATTAAGATTATATAAAAAGGTGCTGCAGCCAAACTCAACCTACTGTATAGATCATTATAAAACTCGACTGCGTTCAGGTGATTTTATCGCATAGTGGCGTTCCCAAAAACAGCGACAGTGAGAGACTCCAGACTTTAACCTCATGAATAAAACATGATTAAACCGACAGCAGCCTGCAGACAAAATAATTCTCTTTCAAATCAACTTCATCAGATACTTTATTCATGTTTCGCAGACAGTTGAAGTTCCTCCCTTGAGGCGATGAATAATAATCAGTTTTGAGGAAAAATAATACATGAGCCCATTTTAATTAATATGTAAATAACCTGATGCAAACACATAAATAACATCAATATAAGATATAAATTCGTCTCTCCGCAGCAGCAGAACCGAGGGATTCGTGTTGATCGGGGAGTTCACGTCTTGTCTTCTGGTGCTTGCTTTGTTTACACAAACATCATGCAGCATTAAACATCAATCCAGTTTCAGTCTCCTTTGAGCCCGAATGGCTCAGAGCGACTAAACCAGGACTTTATATATCATCTTTAACATCTTCAGGAAGACATCATACCACACAACGAACTATCTCTCACTTGTGACAACATAACACACAAACTGGGACACACTGCTGACTCAGAACAGACTTCTGCAGCACGGTTCAGGATAAATGTGACATTATCAGGCGGATATGAAATACACATTATCACACTTGAGTGGTGATTTATATCTCTACCTCTCTCTCGAGATATTTTGGCGCAGAGGTCATCTTGACAATCAGCATCGAGAATCAAGGACCTCAGGTTTAATCTGTTCTGTGATGATGTTCTCATATCTCAGTTCACATCTTTTAATAAAAAATCATTATATAACACGTTATAATCTCTGTTCCCTTGATTCGTCTCCATATATTAGACAAAGTTGCCCTGTGAGACCAAGCTACATAACACCCTCGACGGCGGCACACAGTGATTCTTTCCAACCAGATTCTTAAAGGGTAAGTTCAGATTCATGTGGTATACATAAAGTATGATCACTAAACCTCAGTGAGTATCTATGAAGCATTGTAATACTGCTGATTTAATAACACTTGACTCTTTCATGCATATAATACGATTTAATACTAATACACGGACTACTGTGGTGGGTCTGCAGCAAAGGCCGGAACTTTGCAAGGTGACACAGTGGTGCTTCAAGTTAAATGTTGACGTGAGCATGCAAACTTTATCACAGTGTTTATCACCTCAAATAAGTGTAACATTTGATAGTTATAAATCTGCAGTCTAAATTAGCTCTGCAGGAATCTGGTCATTAAATAAGGTTTGAGGCAAACTTCAATGGTCGGACTGAATGCTAAAGTTCGGCAATCATCAGAAATCAAATCATCAGAAATCAAATACATGTCCGAATGGAAGCCAATTCTTCTATCAGTTAGCATTAAAGGATTCCTGGACAAAACTTCCTTTTCAGTGCAGCTTTTACATCTGCAGCTCAAACTGAATTTCTTGGAAGCATCTGTTCATCTTTTTTAGCAGGCCTCAGATTCGCTGGGGTGACCATACGTCCTCTTTTACAAAGACATGTCCTCTTTTTGGGGACTGTCCAGCCTGTCCCGGGGGAGTTTATAAAATCCTTCAAATGTCCGGGGTTTTGAGTTTTGAGGTTGTGTACTGTGCAGCAGAACTGAGTTCGAAGCACATAGAAAACACTCGACCCGACCTAAAAAATCCTCAAAATTTCGTGTGGGACTCCGCCCCGCGTAGTAGTGTCCTCTTTTTGGTGATTCAGAATATGGTCACCCTAAGATTCGCTGTAAACAGTAGGTTTCCCAGAAGCTTTCACTCTGGCTTGATGTAACTGTATATTTTCTTGTGCTTAATTACAATAAGATTAGATTAGATTAGATTAGACACAATTTTATTTATTCTTTGAGGGAACCTTCCCAGGAGTTTATTGAGAGTTTGCGTGAATAACTGCGCCATGGTGCAGCTTTGTTGAAAGTAAGAATTCAAGTTTTGTCAGCTTTATACTCAAGAAGAGGAGAAAACAACTTAAAAACTGATTACTGATTATTTTTGATGCATTTAAGGATGTTTGGATGTCTAAATGCTGAGTGGATTGACCAACTTCATAACAGCACAAGCAGGAAAAAATGACTAAAAGCCTCTGAACTCACACTGACACAGCGTCTCCTACCTGGAGTAATTTGATGACTATTTATCTCCATAAACAAACGTCTGCATGCAACTGCAGCTACGAATCCACAGTTGGCAAAAAACTCAAACTTAATTAACAGAGACGACAAAACTACTGCAAACAAAAACCAGATTACTTCCCGTACAGAAAGAGTCAAGAGATCAGTAAAGTCAGGTGGATTTAACGTCTAAAGCCAATCTGTGAAGAGTTTTTAAAATACTTTGGTTTTGGACGGAGTGAATACATGAACGTTAGCACGACTAACGCTGATTAAAAGAAGTGAACTTATCCTTTAAGAACTTTAACCTCTGCATTTGGCACAATTACACCTTTCCCTGAGGATCATCATTGACATCATTACCTCTCCGTTTACTCCACATTATTACCTCATATTGTTGTTGTTATGAACAATATCATAAGCTACATCACCAATACTTTTTTAAAAAAAGCATTTTTGACAGAAATAAATAATGTCTTCATTTTTACAGAAGATACAACTCAGCAGTTTTAAAGCTGTACAGACAATCTGCTTCGATAGCTGCTCTGTCGCTCTGTGCCCAAATTAAAGAGGATATAAAAACACAGAAAATGTACCAAGAGTTTAATTCTGGGCAGCAGTGACATCTGGAATAAAGTCGTAATGTGGCATTTCCACCCACTTCTTTACATCCCATAAACTCAGCATGGATAATCAATGACAGGCATGTACAATACTGCTCCTCCTCCTCCTCTTCTGTACAATTCAGACACACTCATTGTTTATTTCTTTGTACATTGTCCAATGAGCTCCTTTAATCGCTTATTGGCAGTGTTGAGAGTCGTTTGAAGTCAGTTTTCAGTCCACCAGCCCCAGGTTGGGTATCCAGTCCACAGGGATGAAACATGAAGGCGTCAAAAAGCGCAGGAGGCCGAACACAAACACATCTGATCAGCTGATGTGGTGGAAAGTCTCTGCAGGTCCGTCCAGGTGAAATCAAACTGTCCTCTAGTATGAAGGGTTTCTTCAAAATGATCCTTGAAAGGAGGGTTTGAGTTTATGTTACGGGAGGAAATCATCGACGATGAAACTAAAAATGGTAAAATAACGGAAAAGAGAGGAAATATGGAAACAGAAATAGAACATGACGTGCTGAAACGGGGCCCCGGCTTTTTCGGGAGGTCTTGTCTGTCGTTAGACAACGTGTGGGTGTGCTGTCTACCGGCATCAACATTTTTGCCTCATAATGATCATCTCTAGTCTCGTCAGCCGCCGCGCACACAGACACACAAACACCCAGATATGCGGCATAAAAAGAGACGGATTTTGCTCCTCAGGCTGCTCGGTGCTGTCGTGCACTGAAGACGTGCGTACGAGACAATTTCACCTGCAGAGAGGTGATGTGATATGAATAAATGATGTCGTATGTGCATAAGTTTCATGAGGAACCTGACAATGATTTAAAATACGCCGTTATTATCCTCTGACTGTCCTTTTTGTGGGATATTTGATTTGTAAAGGTATAGATCTTCTTCAGTCTGACCCTAGAGGGAGCTATAGTTGTTTCTCTGTCAAGATGACAAATGGCTCTCTGCTCCTGACCAGGCAGGATGATAAAAGCTTTGACATCTTCACTTCTTTTTTTTGTTGTTTGCATGCAAAATACAAATAAATGCACCATTTGTTTTTTTAATCTATTTTGATTTTCTTTTTCTTTCATTTTAAAGCTCCAGACCTGAACAGAAATCTATGAAAACAGATTATCTGAGATTCAGGGAGTGAACTGTGCGTGTGGGCAACCTCATGCACGACTGTCATTGACTCCAATGCTGAATAACATACATCAAACAAGTGCAGAGATGCCGGATCACACCGTTTCACCTCCTCCAAACTAAATGTGTCAGAGTGTTCGGCTCTCATTAGGTGCACTCATCCTTGCTCTTTGACTTCTCCTTAATGATCAGCGCGCTTTCATCTCACAGTAGATACGACTGCATCTTACGGCACAGACACATGCGCAGCAGATTCACAACCAGGCAAACAGCTCGCTCTTGCAGGGAAGCGTTTGTTTTGCAATGAGCTGAGACCAGAGAGAATATTGTCTGGCCTGGTTGACTCCGACTCTGCATCTGCCAGAATCTGTGAGTGTGTGTGCGCAGGACTGCATGGCCGGTAGCCACTCGGGTAGGTGTGTGAGTCTGAAGTACCCTGCTGAAGTTTTCAACTCTCCTGAACTTTGTCATCTCAAATCTTGAGATGCATTTTTTTTCAGGGATATACGTTAAAAACTATAGTAAGAAACTTTAATGATGTTTGTAACATTCCCTCAGACAAAGTCTCATCCTGCTCTCTTTAAACACTCAGGTAAAACCCTTATGTTGTAAAAACGCCTGATAAAAACTTACTGCAGTGTTACGATTCACTTAATCTCACCATTAACCCACAGCTGGGGTGGCAGGCATGTAAAATGTAAGTCAAAAATCAATCACTCTCTATGCAGATGGTGTCTTTTCTTTCACGTGGCATAGATAAAACACCAACATTTAAATCCATCTGCTCTTTAACATAACCTGCCTATATTTTGCAGTGTGTGTGTTTTTAAAACACCATTATCACTGCTTTTTTGTGCCATTTAAATAAAGCACTTTGTTTTCCTTGCTTTAGCACTGCTACACAAAATTATTATGTTGATATAAAGATGGATTTTAAAGATAGAACATCATCCAACAGAACAAAAAGTTCACATCTTTAAGATATGTCAGTAAAAATCTGAAAATTTGAGTTCTCTGAAATGACACCAGGTGCAAACACCTGCCTTCAGGTTAACTCTTACACCCAGCTGCTGTCTGCTCTTGTTTGTTACAGAAACTCTGATAAAGTTGGTTTAAATTCCATGTTGTAACTCAGCTCGCTCGTACTTTGGCAAAGTTGTGTTTTTGTAGGAGAGGTTTCTCTTCAAAGTTGTATCCTGTTTATTTGGAGTATAAGATTTTTTATGTGTTACAAATTCAACTTTCATTTATTGGATTTTTTCACTGTCGTATCAAAATTCTAATCAAACTGTGTTTTTACGCTTTTGCAGAATGACTCTTTCTGACACTTTGGCGCCAACAAAGCCGGTAAATTTACTTGAATAGAGAGAGAGAGAGGGAGCGAAAGAGAGCGTAGGAGCGCAGTGACCTGCAGCTGTGATGTGGATCACCAGGAGCCACTGCTGTGAATGAGAAGAATAAACAATCGGAGGTGCTCTCTGTTAGCTGTTTGATACTGCAGCCAAATGCATGTGAATGGAGCGTAGAACCGAGCGGTCCCACAGCGATCCCAATTTGCCAGCATTCAGAGCGGGTTGACCTCAACCACCTGACATGAATGCAATCATTCAGCGAGACCGGAGAACATTCTGTCTCCTGAGAGGCTGGTACTTTTCCTCCTCTAAGATTTCAGAGCTGCTGCACAGACCTCAGGCTGCCCGGGTAGATCGACACAGTGACAGTGACCTCCCTGAAAACAATCAGACATTGACGTCGAGTCTAATTAGGCCTCAGCCCGCTGATTCAGCTTTACGACAGGGGTGGTGTGACTCATGGAAACAGATGTGATGGTATGAGGGAAACACAAATTGGACAATTGAAGGAAAAGAAATTATAATGATTTTCTGTTGGAGAGTGAAAGATATCCCCTCACAGACCCTCTGGATGTTGTGTTCTGCTGTCTGTGTGTGGGTTTTTGTCACACTTGTGTTAACTCGATCATGTATCCAGTGTGTTTGTGTAAGCCAGCTCCTGTTCTTGGGGTGTCAGGGAGAGTATGAATGCTGTAAATCACCTCCTCGCCTTGTTCTCTCCTCTCGCCTTAGAATCTGGTGCTCTCATGTTTCAGCATGCGGATGTTGGTGAGCGTCCCGCTGCCCCTGTGGTGGAACCCGTAAGCCTGGTGCTGCCCCTCCAGTCACCGGGTGCTGCCCGCCGATGACATGGTGCTGCTGGGACTGGAGCTGCCCGAGCCCCGGTCTTCGAACACGCTGATCTCTAGCTGAAGAGGCAGACGGAGTCAAGGATCATCATGACAGAGAGAGCTTTAAAAACAGGGTTGAGAAAGAGCTTCAACTTCCACACTTCATTTTTCATCCCAGAGCTTTGTGTTGTGAGTGTTTGGCCAAACAACCCTCTCATGAGATTTATCTACTCAGAGAATGAACTGAATGGCTTGAATATTTTGTCCTTCTCCTCCTGGTATCCTGTTTCTTTCTCAGCGGATACTGCTTATTTCTAAACCAGGACTCATCTCTAAGGAGCTGCAATTACAAAAACATCTTGTTTGAGCCTCGATAAAATCAAACATGTTGATTAAAACATGCTTTTAGCATCTGGAAAAGCTCATGGCAAGGATACAATCGTGTCTCAGTGTTCAAAATAAAAGGGTAGATTCATCCGTTCACTTCTAAGAGCAGTGTGAGGAAAATAAATAATAAGTGAGGTGAAATGATTAACTGAAATGAAACAACGGAACTTAATAAGCTCTGATTCATTATTGTTAAAGGACCACACACACTCATCATTACTCTGGTGTCCTGATTTGTGCTCCGAACCCTGAATAAAAATCTGAATAACATAAACCTGAACATGCTTTTCCTCTTCTGAGTGGTGAGTGTCACACACTGACATTAACCCTGAATCCTGTTCAAACACGTTATTAACCCTGCTGTAAGTACATAAAATTATGAACAAGAAGAAAGTCCAAGAAAAAGAAAAGAAAAACTAATTTTTCCTGCTAATTTCCCACTGAGCAATAGACGATTATTAGATGTCTAGTCTTTTTTAGACAGAATTTCAACCGTCTAGATTCTGTATATTTTTAGATAGAATTTAGATGTTGCACTTTAACTCATTATTCATTTAATATTTATTTCAAAAAGCAACCGTGATCTCTGAGTACTTAACCAAAATAATTATGATAGCTATTGTAGTATAGTAAAGCCAGCTAGTCTAAACTTGGGCTAAATTTAGACGTCTAAAAAAACGTTCATTTTTAGACTTGATTTTAGACCAGTCGTCTAGGCTACATTTAGACGTCTATTAGACCTCTTTTAGACCAAAAAATGCTCAGTGGGTTACTTCTCACTACCAAACTTAACCAGCAGAGCTCTGAATGTGACACTTGGGGTGAGCACAGGATACGACTGACTCAACTTCTTTGTGAAAAATCTGATCAGAATACAGACACCAAAAATCAGTACGAATAAATAACAAATCTTGTGACAAAAAATCTAATTTTACCATGTTGATGATGAAAAGAAATCAGTATAAGAGTGAGACTATTTCAGAATTTGTGAAAACTCCTCACAGTGCCTTAAAAAATTCTGATAAAATATGCGATTCATTAGATACTAGATCAGGTTCAGGTTCGGTTTTTGCATTTTTCTTGATTTGCTCGGACTAGAGAAGTTTGTTTTTTTTAACTCGTCCTTCATCATTTTCAAAAAGATTTGATTATATTTGCAGTAGATGCGGTGAGTATTCTGTCAGTGTACTTTCTCTGCTCGCCCACATATTTAACTTTGGTATCTTTTTACATGTTCGAAACACATGAATGAAGTTAAAGTGAATGATTACTGAGAAAGAAAAATAATACCAGGACGTCTCTACTTATGGGTCCTAAAAGGATCAGTCTTAAAATCACTTAAAAAGCAAAATAAAGGATTAACCGGGTCTTCAGATTAATCGTATTCTGCTGGTTCTGCGTACAGCGCTTACAAAAAGGAAAAAACAGATTAGTGTTAGACATATGCTGCTGCTGTTTCTGTTGGTTACCAGCTCGTCTCCACAAACAGGGACCATATTGTGAAGGACTGTGCTGACTAATAAGTGTTGGAAATAGGTTGGCCCTGTGACTTGGAGCCAGCTCTTCTACTCAGTGTGGGCCAGGCCTGTGTGATGGTCTACTGGACACATTCTCTCTCTCTCTCTCCCACTCATACCCTCCCTTTTGACTCCATGAGGAACCTCCGCTGGCATCATGCGAACTTGGCAACTCATATTTGAGGAAAATAGGATAAGGGATGTGAGGAGTTACAAATGTTTGAAAGGCTGTGGTAGAAAACTGGGTTTTGGTGATGATAAAATAAAACAAATGGGTTGAAAGTAGAAAAACGACACATCCCGAGCTGCAGATTTATTAAACCATCCTGTATCTTAACTTTTCTTCGTTTAAAGGACACTCGACAAAGAACGCCTGCTTTTTTTAGACCCTGCCCGGCCTCAGATTTACTCCTGGGGATAACAGATGTTCAGTGAATTACTCTGAAGCAGCTGCTGAGGTCTAAGTCCCTCGTTCAAGGGCACACTAATAATATTTTATGAGAAAAAGAAAGAGGAGGTTCACCCAGTCAGTTACACGTCACAAATCTTCCCTGTGGTTCACGTGATCCTCACGAACCTTTATCACGTGACGAAAACAAGACGAGACGAAACGTAAATGGTAGTCTTGTGACGATAACTACCGTATTTTTCAGGCCATAAGGCGCACGGGATTGTAAGGCGCATTAAGCAAAACAACACAGTCCAAATTTCATTTAACGGTAAAGAAAAATACGCTCACTTATTGATTCACTCTTCTTCCACAAATCCATCGAATTCGTCATCATAAGTGTCTGAGTTAAACAGCTGTGCGATTTCGGCATCAAGCATGCTGGGACCCCCTCTCGTCTCGTCAGTCTTGTCTCGTTACTGTAATCGGAACTTGGCTGTTCAGTGATGATTCCAGGTTTCGTGAAGCTCAGACGACAGTTACCGTAACAGATTTCTGAGCGCATTCTACCACATAAAATCAGTCAGTAAGCAAAACAAGTGATGATACAAAAGGCGCTCTGGATTATAAGGCGCACTGTCGATTTTTGAGAACATTTAAGGATGTTAAGCGCCCTATAGTCCGAAAACACGGTAAATTTATAATGCAATATTGTTGACGAATAAAAACGACACTGAATGTGGTTAACAAAATAAAAACTCTGCTCAAATGTCTCGGCATTTTCGTTGACCAAAATGAGATGAGACAAATGTGTTTCGTGTCGCGTTGTTGTTGTTTTCTGTTTCCACGGCTGAGCGTCGCCCTGCTCAGACACAGGCGACGTCCTCAATCCCCTAACTCGCAGTATTTTAAGAAAGACGTTTTTGGGGTGAGTTGGAGTCATGGCTGGGTTGTCGGGGATAGAAATAAATCATATCTGGACACACTTCAATTACAAACCAGTAAAAAAACGGATTTGGTTTTATGTATTCCATACTATACTAGAGAATTATACAATATTAACTGGGTTAAACAGAATTACATGACTAAAAAGAGATTAAAATCATTGACTAAAACTAGACAAAAAAATGAGTCTGAATGTGACTAAAACTAATAAAAACTAAAATGACACTTTGACACAAAGACTAAAACTAAAATTAAAACCAGCCGCCAAAATCAACACTACTCTAAACTCTATCATTTAACTACTGTATCTGTTGTATATTAATCCATATCATTTCTTTACAAACTCAAACAGAGAGAAATGCAGCAGGTGAGAGAAGGATACGACCCTCATTCCTCGCTCTATGGGGTCTGTGAGCAGCAGACCTCGAGGAGCGTAGATCTTCTCGTTCTGCTCCTGGATGTAGCCTGAAATCTTCTTCAGTACCTGGATATTAAAAATAAAGAAGATGATGTATCAGGGTTTAATAACGACGAATATATTACTGGAGATATTGCAGATTTGAGACGGACCATTAGAAGCAGAATGTAGTCGAGCATTAAAATAAACTCTAAAGACGTTTAAACAGAAGATCCATTATCAGGATATTACTTCCTAAAATGCAGATTACTTGAAATAAGAGCCTGGAAGAGGGTAAAACACGGGCACAACCTTCTCTTGGGTGGAAAAGTTAAAAACGGAAGAACAAATCTGCGGTCTCTTCACATGCAGCGTGTGATCCATATTCTTTTCTGGTCCCTACCCGTCTTTGTTTTCCCTCACCATTACAGTCTAAACTCACAGTAATTCCATTATGCTTTAAGTACAGAAGTATTTTTATACATCCTTCCAAACCACTTATGTCGAGCCGGCCTGTATGAGCTGAATTACTCAAATCGACCAGCCGGGGATTTCCTCCTTTTTGAAGTTTTCCATTTAAAAGCTTCGACTCCTAATTCCAGAAATGGCCGTCTCGGGGTACGTGTCATGCCTTAGTTAACTGTCTGGGCCATTTAGAAACACTCTCGAATGTGAAGTGGACAGTTTATTTAGGTTGTATTGATGTTCAACTTATTTCTCAGTTTTGCTCACGAGTATTGCATCAGCTGTGTGAAACTCGCGCAGCGGTGGAGTGAAGCTGAGCGTTTAGTTTAGACACAAATTCAAGGAAGCGTTACAGCTCCACTCACAGTTTGCCCTGGAGTCTCGAGGAGTGTTTATTAAAACTAAAGCACTGTGATGTTGTCCCACGATGCAGCTGATAGCAACCCAATGACTGCTGACTGATGGCCGGTGAAGCTAAATGGTCAGATGTTCCAGCTAAAGTGGCATCATTACAGCAGCTTATTCAGCCTCAGCCATGCCTCTGTGGACACCAACAGAGCTGATGTGCTATGCTTCTCCTGAACTCCGACTAACCGTGTCAATCAGCTAAACCGCGCTCAACTGGGACTCACGTCTCTGAGAGAGCTGTCAGCACTCTGAGGAAGGAGCAGGAATCTTCAGCTCATCTGCGTAACTGCGCGAAAATAATACATTCACATCTCTTAGACGACAATTCTCAGTCTTTCTGCATTTCACTTTAAATGCAGTGTAGCTGTATGCTCAACGTTATCATAGTTATGGCACTGAATTAGCTTGATACTGATGTTTAACATGACCTGTAGCAGCTAATCTGTTAAAGGGATAAAATTAATTTAGGCTCAAACACACCGTAACACCGAGTTAGACACCCCCTCGAGAGATGGATGTTGCTGACTGCTTGCTTCTTTAGTTATACCAACTTTAGTAACGACCGCACGATAGCAGTACACAGCAGTCTGAGAAGCCATAAACAAACCTCAACCAAAACGCCACTCTATAGCTACAAATAATGCTCAGAACAGCACCTAACTTCATCAACAGGACATATAGGGTCCCAGTCATAGTACTAGACACCAAACATCTTTTTAACTTTGACTAATTTCTGTAGCAAAGAGACTAAACATAACTCACCTACTCTCTTCCAGCAGCCGCTTGTTTGGAGCAAGACCTCGGGCCAGTTCATTACAGACTACAGCGGGGTGATGCAGCTCAAGGAAGAACATTTATGATCAATTCTTCATGGAAATGCAATCAGACTGAGACACTAAGACAGAAGAACGACAGCGTCTGCAGTGAAAATGATTAATATGATGATTATTACTTCAAGGAAATGATGAAGAAATGATCATAAATGTTCTTCCTTGAGCTGTGTCACCCCACTGTAATCTGTAATGAACTGGCTTAAGGTCTCACTACAAACAAGCAGCTGCTGGAAGAGAGTAGGTGAGTTGTGTTTAGTCTCTTTGCTAAAGAAATCAGGCAAAATTAAAAAGATGTTTGGTGGCTCGTACTATTACAACAAAAACGGCAAAATTACAAAGTTTGTGCTTCCGGCAAAGCAGTACATCCTGCCTCCAACAGCGTGTGAAGTGTCACCCATAGCAGAGCAGGGTAACCATAACTTCCAGGAACTCTGTAAAAGTGGCCAATCAGAATAAAGTAGGCTTGTGGTAGGGAGGGACCTTAAAGAGACAGCAGCTGAAACAAAGAGTTTCAAACGGAGGCAGCAATCATGATATTTTAATACACCTCTGTGAGAAATTTAAGGCTTTTTTGATTTGAAAATCACGTGAAGATATTAAAGAGGTATCAGAAAGAAAATATAGAGTCTAAAAGAAAACAAAATACCCCACTTTTAAACATTTAAGTAAGCTGGACTGTGATGCAGGTATATTTGAGCTCATTCGATACCTCCATCGAAAACAGTGAATGTGTCTCCTTGGTAAGATAAGTGCAAAAACCAACAAGATCAGCCTGAGTCTGATGTTATGCAAGGGAAATTAGAAGTGTTTTCTACACATGCAAAATCCCTGCACAGCCCGCTGAAGTTCAAAGAGTGATTAGTTTGGAGTAAAAGAGCAGGAGTCCTACAAATCTTCAGGTACGGGGACATTTCTCCGGTGACTTAGACCCAACTCAGACTCAAGGTTTGATGACCAAAACTGCAACAAAAAACTGAAGATAGTCTTTGTAGTCTGCTGTGGTGGAAATTCAACATTTTCTTTGTGTATCCCTGCACCGATTTATTCAAACAAAAAGACTCACATCCTTCCTTGAGTTAACTCGAGGTCAGTGCAGCGCTCTCAGCCTTCTGAGATTAAAACAATAGAGAGTGAGCAACACATTGAGCAACACTCCACCAGGAGGTCGCAGGCCTGTTACAGCTGCAGGCACAGCTGCTAATACAGTGACCCCTCCGAGTGAAGTCTAAACCACAAAAGAATACTTCTCGTTGTTTCCTATTGGAAAAGGAAGAAGAGACTTTTGAGACAAAGTGTCTGGATGATATTACAATCAGACATGAAGTTAGGAGCCATTACGAGGATGTGGTTAGCTTCATTTCGCTGCTTTAAATCAGTTCGATCTATGTCAAGTAAGCAGAACACACTCAGTATTTGGCTTGGAACAGCGACAGCGTATGCACAAAATCCCTTACACAACAAAAAAAGTGTCTTTTGTTCCGATCGCCATCAAAGAGGGTTAGATATCGCGGAGAGGAAGCAGAGACTCGCAGAGCACAGCCCTGACTAATGGGGTTATTGTTGTGCACGGAAAAGGCCAAGCGTTTTGCTGCGAGCGAGCTCTGAGGGCAGCTCAATCCTCTCCAGCGTAACAATATGACAGTCAAGTACACAAGCTGTGCCTCTGTTGTACAAGCGTGTGTGTTTGTGTGTGCTCATCCTGCAGGGGTGAAAAAGCTTTGTGAGTGTAAATCGCCCAAGAAGCAAAGGTGTCACAGTCTGTTTGACATGCATGTCACAGGTTTGTATTCCCCCGCCAGAATAAAAGCTTCCAGAGTGTGTGTCTGAGTGTGAACATGTGTCTGTGTGCGAGCTGCATTCTTGTGAATAATAAAAGAAGGAAGTAGACGGAGGGTACAAGTTTTGCGTGGGGGGATGCTTTATGAATGCTTGTGCGCACATGAATCTGTTCTGACATGCTGTGAGCAATCAGTGTCCTTTGATAGGGCCAGATATAAGCATCAAGAGGTCTGGGTGCTTCACTGATTCTGCACACAGGTCCACGCTCACTGGTGTGTGGAAACAGCATCGACTTGGGTGGGTGTATTTGATCATTGTGGGTTATAATGTCACTCAGCCAAGATGTGAGTAAGTTAAACAGGTAAATAAACGTCTCTCCTGTGGGGCCGATAGCATCTCAAAGTCTCGATGGAGCAGCACCCAGCTGACAGGCAGATGAAAGCAGACTAAGACGGGTACGTTTCAGCGTGGCTTCAATGCAGCAAAAAGTCCTTTGTGCTTCTTGGTCAAGCTCCTGATCCGCCTGCGCCGCTTTGATAAAGAAATGTTTGAGAAACGCAACAAGACCGCGGAGATGAATGTTGTGGGTGACGGAGATCAGAAAAGAGAGGCATGCTGGGACTTTACGCCAGTCTAGTTTCATGTCAAACACCGCCACGTACCCGTGTAGTCACAGGGGAAATAATCAAACTCGCTGTGTGTGTGTTTCTCCGTTTGAGATTGTGTAACGTATCCCTGTGTTCTTGTTCATTCTTGCACCGCAGCCATGCAGAGGTCTAATCACCTGCTCTTTCTCTACATGGACATCTTTGTTGGGCTCCGGGCAAATGTGGTGTTACAGTAGGCGTGCTATGCCAGCTCCTCGGTGCACAGGTGTAGGCTGAGAGTGGGTTACAAAACCTTGAGGTCGGACAGCTGGAGTAGAGAACTGAATTTTATCATTGAGATTTTTGGCTCGGCTGTCTTGTGTGCTCCGACCTCAAAGAGTAACAGTGGTTTGGAGAAAGGTAGCTGAATGCTTTTTACTCTAAAATGGAAAAAAAAAAAATCTGTACTGTGTGTGCAGCAGAATGGTCATTTGTCTATTCAGTATATCTTCTGTGAAAAGTTGGGTTTGACTCTACAGCTTCCCAGAACCTTTAAAGGGATATTCTGTCGTAAAATTAATTTAGGGACATTTATGATCATCTCTTTATCATTTCCTTGAAGTAATAATCTTCATATTAATCATTTTCAGTGGAGACACTGTAGTTCTTCTGTCATAGCGTCTCGGTCTGATTGTATTTCCATGAAGAAATGATCATAAATGTTCTTCCTTGTCTTCCTTGAGCTGCGTCACCCCACTGTAGTCCGTAATGGACTGGCTTGAGGTCTCGCTACAAACAAGCGGCTGCTGGAAGAGAGTAGGTGAGTTGTGTTTAGTCTCTTTGCTAAAGAAATGAGTCAAAGCTAAAAAGATGTTTGGTGGCTAGTACTATGGCTAGGACCCTATATGTCCTGTTGATGAAGTTAGGTGCTGTTCTGAGCATTATTTGTGGCTATAGAGTGGCGTTTTGGTTGAGCGCGTGGTTCTCTGTATCGCTATCCTGCAGTCGTTACAAAAGTTGGTTTAACTAGAGAAACAAGCGGTCGGCAACATTCATCTCCCTCGGGGTATTTTACGCCGGAATATCCCTTTAACAGGATGTAAACTCATCAACAAAGACTCCTCTCTCTTCATCATTAGTCTAAGTACTGTCTTTTTGTTCTTTAGGAATTCAGCAGTTCGCTCTGAAACCCAAACGTGCCAAAGCTGTCCAAGCTCTGTTTTTCTTACCCCGTGTCTCGACACGATTTCTGTCTGAAAAAAAAAACTACAGGCTAAAACATTTTGGAAAATATGCATACTTGCTTTTCAGAAAGGCGAGATCAATGCAGATAACTCTCTCAAGTCAGTTCAAGAAAGTTGGCTGCATTTCTCTGTGGAAATAGTGCCAGCTTAGCATAAAACCTCAAAAGCAGAGGAAGCATCTGGTCGGACTCTGTTATTTACCCAAACTTGTTTCTCATTTGCTCAGGATGCACACAAACAGACTGAAAGTATGTTTTTCATTATTGTTTGAGTGCGGCGTATTAATAATTTCCTCCCCTAATTGATGTCTTTAGATCTTCTTCATGAATGAAAAGCACAGGTGTGAATCAAACAGGAACAGATGGCTTTACTCTATGGCTGCTTTCATTTCAGGGGTTTTGCGTTGAGAATGTTGCCAAACAGAAAAATATGAATACAGAGCTATTGTGAATGTGCTTTTCCAGATTTTATGACTCAAGATCCACAGGTTTAGCTCCACACTTAAAGGGACAGTTCCTTTTTATTAACTACAAGGGATTCTAGTCAGCTCTGCCTATGTATTGAGAGACATGGTGTTGGACCAGAACTACAGCTAGGATATCAACAACTGCACATGGGGCATACCTGCCAACACTCCTGTTTTTCCTGGGACTCTCCCGTATTTTAGACCTTACTCCCACCCACCTCCCGTATTGTCAATTTTCCCGGGAATCTCCCGTAGTTTGATGGTCCACATTCATTCGTGAATCGGATCACTGTATTCGTCAAAAGTTTCCAGACAACCTATGATTGTCCTGTGTTTCTGCTGAGCCTCACAGACACTGGATTGACACTTTTACTTTACAGTTTGGGATGATTCAAGTCGGTTTAAGCTGTAAACTGTATTTAAGCAGCGTTTGTTGCAAAACGAACACTACAATGAAAGGGAAACAAATGTGAGATATAATATTAACGTTGATAGTCATTCACCGTCTCGGAGTGATGCGTTCAGGGCAGCCTCAGATAAAAGAGCGCTGTATTGCACAAACAGATGTTCAGAGAGACTTATACAGGAGAGCATGTAAACATATGAGCAATTTAATTACAAATATTCTCATAATTTGCTCATATCCACCATACAAGGTCAACCCAAAACTGCCCAACGCGCCGCAAAAATGTCCTGGATTTTATAACCTAAATGTTGGCAGGTATGTCCTCTGACTCGTCTTTCAGCAAATATTTAAAAAAACTCCATCATGACTATAAAATATTTAGCAATTTTTTCAACGTTGCTTTTCTTCATTAAAACACACGTTCCCACACCTACGGTACACTGGTTTTTAATGCTTATCTGCTCAGTGGATGTTGAATGGACTCTACTTTAATAGCTTTTACAGTTACTCAGAATAATTTTTAAAGTTGCTGATTCATACACTGATGCCTACAATACGATACAAGGTGACCTTCAGTACTACCTAATCCCATCCATATGCATGTACACAGTGGGGGCGATTTGAAATTCAGTGTCTATCGCAGAGATTTTTCATCGTGTGGACGGCAGCAGCTCGGGTCAAACTGGTAACCTTCCTACTGAAAAAACACTCACTCTGTGTACATCCTGAACAAATGAGAAACACAGAGTGAGTAAATAAAAGAGTTGGGCTCGCTCTATTTCCATATAGATAGAAAAAACTCTGAAGATTAAAATTTCACCTCATCCTCAGGAAGAAAGTAAAAAAGCAGATTTTCCTGGTAGAAATGTTTTACCATCAGTGTGCAGCCATCTTAGTACGGGTGCATGTTCACTCTGGCTCATAAGCTGTGAGGTATCATGTTCAGTAACTGTGCACTGGTTGATTACCTTCTCATAACGTGTTTCCATGCAGAGGAAGATGATATACGCTGTTGCACAAGCCAGACATCCCTCCAGGTACGACTGACCACCGATTTTCTCGGCCTCCACATAGTAAGAGTTGAGCGTCTTCACCGTCTCCTCCAGCAACGTTCGCTCAATCTACTTACAGACATAAACACACATCCAGGTAGAGACAATAAGGAGGCATGCACACAAACACTGGCACACAAACCATGAGGACTGCAGAAGTGTTATGAAGTGTGAGTGTAGGAGCAAGTTGCTCAGCTACAAAACAGCCGGCCAAACATACCAGCCGAGATCTGCTCGACCAAAAATATTCTTACTTTGTCAAACAACTCAGGAACACACCTTACGTCCAAAATATGAGGAAATTTAAGACTTGGATGAAAAATTAGACAGAGGAGTGACAGAAACGGGTTGCGGTTTGAACAGCTGACAGAGACCATTTTCTGAATGTTTTCTCCTGATCTTTCTAAACCGATTCTCTCTGCTTCTCTTCATCGTTCCTTTTCATGCCATCCATGTGCGTGTGGTCCGTTTGCATCAGCCGTTGATTGCCAGACACATGGTAGGTATGAAGAGCAAATTTGCACCTCAAATAAAAAGCACATCCCCCTGTGCCTCAATTAAGAGTGGAAATAAAAGCACTGTGTTTTTCTTCCTCTTGACCTTCTCTTTCTACAGAGAGCAAACAGAATACATCAAATGTAGTTTGATATAGTTTTTATACGAATGTCGTGATCATGTGGCTCTCTGCTGAGTTAGAAGAAGGGTCATGCTGCAAAAGTTTGTCTTTATTTGCATAATGTTTACATTTCAGACAGCTCTTTGGTCGATGTTTGCAGGGGTGGCAAGAAGACACTGAATACAAAACAAAATCTTTCGGTAACCCTTTCTTCTACGGTACACTTATTACCAGGTAATTAACAGGTAATTACCTGGAAACAACATGAAATTATCTGGTAATTACATGATAACTATTAAGTCAATACTGTCTAGTTTTTCTTTTTTTCTTTTTTCTGTGCAGCTCCATTTTCAAAAGCTATCTGGGGTTCTTATTTTCTATGATTGACACTTGATACAGCCTATGGGCGTGCGAAGATTGCGTAGCGATACGCTGTTTGAGCCGAGCATTATCACAGCGACTCACCCGCCGAATGCGTACAACGCTACTACGCAAGTGGTGGTTCCAGGAAGCAGAGAAAATCCTGGAAATACCAGAGCAATTCAGCTTCAAGTTTGTATGATGATGGAAGGTTACCTACCTGGTAGCTAGACAGTTTTGACTTAGTAGTTATCATGTAATTACCAGATAATTTCACGTTGTTACTAGGTAATTACCTGTTAATTATCAGGTAATAAGTGTACCTTAACAGAAAGGGTTACTAATCTTTCTTTAAGTTTTCAGGCATCAATCTATTTTTCCTGAAGACATTTTAACCTCCCTCCTCTTTTCTTTTTAATCTATCATTCATCAAGGCTTCCCAAACTTGAAAACTGATTTTGACTGATACATATGTGAGCATAACCCATGAAAAAAGACAATCCCTACGTTTCAGAACCTGTATTTTTTGCACTCTTCCTCTATAAAATCGATAAATGAGTCCTTACTCGTATTTTTACACGACATCCATGTGTTTAAAAATGACTGTAAGCATCTACTCGTAACAGCCGACGCCCATCACTGACATGCATCCTCTGCACCTCTGTCGTGATCTTATTCTCTCTCTATTCTCTTCACTCTCTCTCTATCTCTGTCTTGGAGAGCGTCAACGTCGTCTCAGGTGGTTTGTGATTCTGCCAACATATTGCACTTGCCATGGTGTGTTTATCCGAGTGTGTGTTTGTAATCACGCTCACCCTGTTGTCAAGCTCTGACGGGAACTTGCTCTGGAAACGGCAGACGGTGCCTTCGCTGTAGTCTCTCTGTATAAACACCTTTGTCACCAGTGATGCATTGTGCCGCAGCTCCTGGAGATTATGGAACTAAACACAGAAAAAGGGGAAGATAAACAAGTTATATAACGCTGAGATTTGTATTCATGTTGGTACAAAATAGTTTCGTTTTAAAACCAAGGCCTTTAACAAGATACAGAATAATCAAACATCTTTACATGTGATTACAGTCCGGGAAAGATTCATCTCACCGTGGGTTTTTGGTGATTTATTTTCCACTTTTTTAGCAGGAAATTTATCTTTTAGGTTGTTAAGATTTATGTTCAGCTGTTTGCCTTTATTTGGAGAGGAGTGAACAGCTGAGAGCAGGGAGTGAAATGCGGTAAAGGAGCCACCAGCTGTGAGTGAACTTGAGCCATAACCTCCATATATGGGGCACATGCATGAACCACTAGACCAGCGGTGCCCCTTTGCAAACTGATTTTACAAACATGATTTATAGCCACACTTGATTTTATGTCTTTTAAACAGAAAAAAAATGCAGTTTGAAGTCTACAGCCTGCAGAGGTAGAGAGTTATGTCATACGCCCTATATGTCCTCGTTCAAAAGAGCTACACTATACGGGAATTTCTTTATGTTACTACAACAGCAGTACAGTCGTACTTAGCACTCCCTCTCCATCCCTCCTACATTAACAGACCCATTTGCAGTAATAACGAGCCCTTTCAGAGACTCCTCTTCACAACACTTTAGTGCTGAGTGGTGTGTTTTACACCCAAACGGGCTTCCCCCTGAGGAGAATACAGCAGCATGCAAGTGGGCCAGTGTAACTTGTTCCCTGCTGATCTAAATTACTCCCCTCGAGAGGACGGCAATCAGAGAGAGAGAGAGAGGAGGGAGAAAATGTAGAAAAGACACAAAAAAGACCTTTCTGTGGATTGTTTTTCAGAGCATTTATGAAATTATTAAACTTTTAAAAACTTTTCTCATATTGCCACCGAAGCTTGAGTTTTTCTACTGCAGTGTTACTATTATAAGTGAGCAGAGGTTCTGTTTATGTGGTCACCTGAATGCATATAAGCCCAAGTGAGCCATTTTCAGAAAGCATAGTACAATAGCACCCTCTCATCTCTATATAGGGTATATCATGCCCACCAGGAATAACATCCAAGATGCTATTTTTGTCAGCTGGAAGCCAAAATCATCTCACAGGTACTCGATCTTCCTGTCTGCCAGAGCTTTTTATATCCTTCTTTTTGCGATCTCTGTCTCCTTCACCCTCCCCTCTTCTCTCTCTCTCCTTCTATGAGCTATCTTCAGGCCATCATGATGAACAACAAGTCACTCTATTAATAGAAGCAATTATCAGCACATGATCGAGCATCTAATCCAAATTAGAATCAGATAGCCCAGAGTGAGGATCATTCAGATGATATCTTTAAAACGGTGTGTTTACATACAACATCAAAGTAATCTCATCTGCAATTTCCTAGATAAGGATTAGTGATCTACCTACTGTATATCTACACTGTATTACGTTAAAAAGCAACACATATGGAGACCTTTCTTTTCAGAGTAGAAGTCCTGAATTTTTCGTTGAGCGTGTCTGGTTTACTTCAAATAGATATTTGCAGAAACAGTAATTTATTGTTAAAAGTAGGACATTAGTTTAGTGCCAGCTGTGAGGCATATAACTCTGGTTGTGGTTTTTTTTTTTCATGGTTCGAGGTTTGCTGAAAAGAAGGACAGAATGAAAGAGACAGAAATGGAAAGTAAAATTAAAATAAAACAGATGAAAAAATAAGAAAATCAGACATATCCGAGCCAGGACGGAGGGGAAAAATGAACAAAGGCACGAGGAAAAAAAGGGAGAAAGTGAGGAAATTTAAAAAAGAAAAAAAGAGCAGGAGCATGAAAAAAAAGAGGAATAAAAAGAAAGCTGATGTTGTGCTTGATGCAGGATGCTAGTCTCCATTACAGAGGTGGGAGTTGATGCTGTGTTCTGGTCTATTACTAACCTACTGACCCCTGCAACACATTGTGATGCTGCATGGATCTTACTGCTAAGCAAACCTGGCAGAGGCTGCGTGTTTGAGAGGCTGCCAGTGCAACACTGAGCCCATTTGTCTGTTCAAAAGTGGGCTCTCAGAGGATATCCCCCTCCTACCTTTGAGATGATTTTATTATCAAATTTGGGACTCAAAGTTTCAATCTGATCGGTGTGATTGGGATGTTTTTTTAAGGTATTAACAAGGTTAAAAAACTGACTTTATTTAGTGTTGACCCACAATGATATTTAGACCCAAAGTTTTGATGTTTTTTAGCATTTAGAAAGCTACACAGATTGACCAACAGAGAGAATATTTCCCTTTCTTGATCTCTCTGTGTGTAAAGGTGCTTGTAGAAACTGTTAAAGTTCACTTCACACTAATTTGTAAGACAGGCTTATTAAAACCCCGGTCACCAACTGGATCAGACACGACATTAATTCAAAGCTCGTCCGGTACAGAACAGCGAATCTGGGCTGAATTGTAATCGTGCCGTCCACAAATTTTCTCTAGATTGAGCTACTTGAACATTTTCTTTTTTACTTTACTGTTTTTGGTCAAGCAAATGTTTTTTTGTTGTTGTTTGTTTAAAGGTGGGTTAGGCAGGATTCTGTTAAAAAAGCATCTTTTTTGTCGTGTATATACAAAAAAGCTTTTAAAATCAGTCAATATCTACTAGTTATTGATGACATTTGGTAATATCACGATATCACTGTGCTTTGTTATTTCTGTGTAGTCAACAATTAAAAGTTTTTGAGCGGCCCGCTCTTTCTGACTGTAAACAAAGCATTTCTCCACCTCCCCCAACCTGATTGGTTGTGAGGCACGCTCCATGTCCTCCAATAACATGCACAAGCCCGAATAGATGCTTGTTTCTCATGTCTTCTCCAACATCTATTCAGCTTCATGAAACATTTCTTCCGTCAAAGGTTGTTGATGTTACACGGCACTGTGGCCTTTTCAGTGTTCATCTGAGCCTTTAAAATAAATGTTTTCTGTTGGCAGAGTGCTGATGTTTACTTTCCTGAGCGTGAGACCAAGGATCAGGTCCGCTCTATCTATTACTGTGTCTAAATATAGAGCAGGAGTCGACAGCAATGTGAAAGTGTCATAGAGATCACATAGGACTCTATTAAGAAGCTCTCCACCGTGGTGCACTGTCTGACTCTCTTCCACCCACACATCTGTTCCTTTAGTTTAATTTACATTTGTCTGCACACTGAGTAAACACAGAGAAGGAACAAATAGAGCGGAGATATCCACAGGTTTGAACATGTAATTTAAATTTAGGCTTTTTATTGTTCAATCAACTAAAAAAAGTTTATAAAGCAGATGTCTGTGAGGAGCACAACCACTTACCTAAGGGCATCGGTTGCACCAGATGAGGTTCAAAGTAAAGCACTTCAGGGTGATGATATTTTTAGATAGTAAAAATTATGAGGTTGGTCCAATCTCCAAGAAAATGATGGACTTTTGGTGTAAATTCATGGCAGAAAACTACAATATAATCTGTTTTGATTTTTACCTCCTTTAAAAAAGACTGATTGATTCAAGGAGGGCAAAAACGTTCAAGGACTGCTCATTATCTGACATGGGGCTGAATGAGGCACTTGTCAATAATGGGAGTGTTACCCACAGAGGACCCTGGTCTGAAGAAACCAGCCAGAGAACCAGAACAGAAACTAAACTTTCATTAGCTGCAGACAAGGTCCGCTCTACCATTTAATTTAACTCATTTCAAGACAACAATACAACCAATCTAAAAATCGTGTGGCTAACAGCAGCGACGACCTGCTGTTAACTCTAGACACAAGAGGACACCTTTACGAATCAGTGGAAGAACAAGACTTAACAGAGCAGAGGAAAGAGGGGTGAAGCTTCTGTGTTCACCGGAGAGGAGGAGAGATCTGAAGTTACCTGGAGGTGCAGATGTGCAAACAGTGAGGGAGCAACTGCTGCCAAGAGTGGGGCATGACAGGAGCTGTGGACCTTTCTTAATCAGAGGATAAGAGCGGCTCATGTACAGCTGCTGTAGAGAGCTTTCTGCTTCTTTAATTTTGAGAAGTTAGTCCAGAAAACAGAAACCCAAACAAAAACGCATCTTTACAGGAAATTTTCTGCTTTAATTGTTTTCTTTTTTTTGTATAATGACCACAGTTTGCAGGATACCTTTATCTTATTAAAATACATCATGTTAGCTATTGAGGGGTAGGGATGGGAAGGAGTCCTTTCTTCCAGGTGCCTTGATAAATGGTCTCGCGAGAGCCAGTCTATGCATAACGGAATAGAGACAGGGGAAAAAACATGGCGGCCGGTACGAAAAGTCTAGGCAGAAACAATCTAAGGGTGGCTTAATTTTACTAAGAAAGACGACAACAGTGTGACGCCTGTGAAGCAGTGATAACATACCAAGGTGGGAACACCAGCAACACTTAAACATTTGTCAACGGGTCACGGCATCAAATATAAGGAGTCACATGTATTCGATGCTCTCCTCTAAGCAAAGCCACTGACGCGACGAACGCATGCACTTTCTTTGGGAATTCAGAATGATATGCCTTTAACTGAGTTAGAAGCGCATAAAAACACTCAACCCAACCAAAATAAACCCCTCAAAACTTGGCAGTCCATCCCACGTAGTAGCGTCCTCTTGTTGGGGATTCAGAATATGGTCACCCTAACGTATTTAACGTATTAACGTATATTTATTATCAGTTTCCATCCCTGTTGAGGGGGAAGCCTTAACTGTTGTAAATAATTAACTGTGTCTGCCAGACAATGTTTAGCATTAGTTGCTCAAAATTACATCAAATGAAATGCAAAAATACGAATACTGATAATATCTAAGTGTGCATAACAAAGTAAAGTGACTTATACGTCATTGACCTGAAGATCTGATCAATGCACTGAAGGCAGAGGAGCACATGTGTCCTATCCATTTACAGTGCAAGAGAAAACTTGGTTTCTGATGTAAAGTTGAATCAATAAAATAAAACTACATAAAAATATTTGACTTTGGGTCAGAGAATTAGTTAAATTATGTGTTTGAGCTGATTTTGTCTGCAGCGATTTGTAGCCCGGCTTTAGTTACGGTTCTCCGGCCAGTTTCTCAGCTTACGGGCTGAGCTCACCAGGATCTCCTGTGGGTAATAATACACTCACTACTGACAAGTGCTGTAAATACTAAAGTAGAGGAAAGACATAAACTTATTTAAATAATTGAATCACCAGTAAAAATGAACAAATATTACTTTAAGTGATACGGCTTAAAGCTTTCCCCGGTGAAGTTAAAGTTTTATCTCCTGGGGAGTTTCCACCCATGCACAAAATAAATTTCAAGCTTTCTAAATTCAATGAGCGGAAACAAACTTGAACAAATAAATTATGTCAGTTTGAACCAGAAGCAAAACCCAATACATGATCCACACAGACCTGTTGCTAAAATGAAAAATATGACCACTCATAACACTTCCTACTCCTATCCTTCTCCTCTTGCAGTTTCCTCCAGCTTTCATCTGCAGGTCTTTGTGACTCTTACTGCACTGACATGTTTCCTACTTTAGTCACTCCAGCCTAAGGAACACGTAACGACAGCATGGGTTAGTGCTGCCAGTGGGCAGACGCTGCAAAGGGCACACATTACAGCATGCACAGTAAACACACTCAGAGTTAGACATTTCATTCTCCTGTCTTTTCCTTTACTGTCAGCCTTCCTTTTTCATCTATTCCTAACATAACTGGTTTTCTGCCATTGGGAGCAGGATTAGTCATCTTTACTGCCAAGCTGAGATACCCAGAGGTCCATAAATCATTGAGATTAGACGGCGTTGACTAAGCAGTCAAATTCCCTGACATTTAGATGGAAGATTGGTGACTGTAAGACCAATGCTGGAAGAGGTATTTTTCTTTGAATAAAGGTAGTCTGTTGTTTAAGAGGAGAGCTGAGCACGTGCCAACCTTTAGGATGATTCCTGAGCTTCCACACGTTATTCGTCAACAGTGTCATATTGGAGCCAGGGCTAGCCTCAGGACTGAGAACAGGAGGAGGAGGAGGAGGAGGAGGAGGAGGAGGAGGAGGATCTGGCAGGAGTGGACTTAATGGATCCAAAGAGCGGCCATGCAGCACCAACAGTCTGCAGTATGAGCTGACTGTTACTTGGTCACTTAACGTTTGCTGACTCGGCATACAATAAACATCCCAGAATGAGCTTTAATATCAAAGGAGACAGGAGAGGACGGCATGAGGGAGCGACAGATAGATAAAAGCATGAACCGCTCATCTCAAACTCCAATCACTGACAGTTACAAACTGCAGCGGGCTGTCAGCATTAGATATGCCATGGATAATTGATAGACCTTGGAAATAAAACCTGTCCTGCTTCCACACACTAAGTGTTTATGTGCATGCATGTGTGTGTGAATTGATGGGGCTTGGACAGGGATACTGGCAGCCCACCAGAGGAAAATCTGGGCTGCTTTGCCAATGCCTTGCAGGCTGAGGGAAAAACATACTCACAAATCCTGCTTGGCTCACTGTCTGCTGCACCTTTACCTGCAGCACGACTTCACTTACACATGAATTGTGTATTAAGCGAGAAAATACACAAAAACAGTCACAAATGCAGTCTAATTAAAAGGGATATTCCAGCGGTAAATTAATTTAGGGTCAGACATACTGTAACACCGAGTTAGACACCCTCTCCAGAGATGAATGTTTGCTTCTCTAGTTAAACCAACTCTGGTAACGACTGCAGGATAGCAATACAGAGAGAGACACGCATTATAGCCACAAATAATGCTCAGAACAGCACTTAACTTCATCAACAGGACATATAGGGTCCCAGCTGTAGTACTAGCCACCAAACATCTTTTTAACTTTGCCCAATTTCTTTAGCAAAGAGACTAAACATAACTCACCTACTCTCTTCCAGCAGCCGCTTGTTTGTAGCGAGACCTCAGACCAGTCCATTATGGACTGCAGCAGGGTGACGCAGCTCAAGGAAGAACATTTATGATCATTTCTTATCATTTCCTTGAAGTAATAATCATCATATTAATCATTTTCACTGCAGACACGGTAGTTCTTCTGCCTTAGCGTCTCGGTCTGATTGTGTTTCCATGAAGAAATGATCATAAATGTTCTTCCTTGAGCTGCGTCACCCTGCTGTAGTCCGTAATGGACCTAGAAATCAGGCAAAGCTACAAAGATGTTTGGTGGCTAGTGCCATGACTTGAATGCACTCGGTTAAGCGGTGGTAGCGTCTCGAAATCATCTTCTGACCATACAGTGTGTTCATATGGGTCGAGTCCAGCAATGTCCGCAATTTTGCTTTGGTAACGCTCTCTTTCTTCATTGTTCAGCTTGTCCCTGTGCGGTTTGTTTAGTCCAAGTTTTGCCCTCTTCATTCCGTTCTCCGTTACTGTGTAGTCAGCTAATAAACAGTTGTTTTTTAAAACCTAACGTCATCCTAATTTCAATTATTCCAATGTGTTTAATGTTGTTATATCTGTCAAAATGGCCGCGCTGGCACATCACACACTGAGCCCCCCGTACTGATGTCGGCGCTGCTACACTTTATATGTACTGTTGATGAAGTTAGGTGCTGTTCTGAGCATTATTTGTGGCTATAGAGTGGCGTTTTGGTTGAGGTTTGTTTATGGCTCCTCAGACCGCTGTGTATTGCTATCCTGCAGTCGTTACTAAAGAGGGTATAACTGGAGAAGCAAGCGGTCGGCAACAACCATCTCTTGAGGGGGTGTCTAACTCGGTGTTGCGATGTGTTTGACCCTTATCATTTTTCTTATTTTGCATGCCCAAATGTCCTTAACTTGTTCCAAAGTTAATAGCTGTCCCTTTTATATATAATGTGATCATTATTATTGTAATGGTGCAGCTGGGGCTTCAGCATTATGATGACAACACCAAGGTCACTAAGAGGGGGGGTTGAAGAAGAGGTGCTGCTGGCCTGAGAGCCACCAGGCATCACTGAAGCTAAAAATACACCAGCAAACACTGTTGATTGTAGTAGAAGACGCAGCCTTACGGTGCGAGACGAGCTCACTGACAGCGCTTTCTGTTATGGACTCTCATGGATCTTTGTGGAGTTGCCAATCCTGTTAACTCCATCTATTACAGGCATGAAGAAACCCCAGAGGCTCTGAAGGATAATGGCTCACTTAAAATGCAAGGACTGAGCTTTGTCAATCTCATTTAGAAGTATGACTGTCCCTGTCCATGGTGCTGACTGCTCCATCATCATCATCATCATCAGTCTGCTGAGCTTGGAGCATACAGATTCCAGGCTTTCTGGATCATATTTGTCTATTTTTCAAACTAAATATTGAATAAAAACTATAAGAAGAAGGATAGTTTTCTGTTTCAGGGGTATCAACCCTCAATAAAAGCTCATGAAAGTAAGTGAAGCATCTGAATGAGAAGATTTCCCCTCCTTCAATTGTAAAAACACGCCAGGTGCATTTAATTGATTTAATTACCCATTGAAGCTGCTGCTATCGGAGGTTCAACAAGCAACATATCAGTCAACAACACTGCAGTTCTTAAAAACAGAAGTGCAGAGTCATTTTTCGTTTATTTTCTCGCCAAAATACAAACAGAGAGGTCAGAAAAACGGTCATTTTTTTCTTACCTCTGTCGCCATATTGCAGTTACAGCCTACAGGATCTGTCCCGTGTTCAAATCGACAAACCGTTCCCTCGTGCAGCGGGACAACGCGACTACACAGCTTGGCAGGAAGAGACCGGGAGGCACGAGCGCGCATGCACGTGCTTGTGCGAGTCCGTGCCTGCTCGCGCGCGCTCCTGAGAGCGTTATCTGTAACATAGATATGCAAATGAGCTGAGTCAATGGGAATTAATCACTCTGACTACGGTCACCTTTAAAACGGAAGAAAGAAAGAGAGTATTCCGCTCTTAAGGGTTGTTTTTATCGTGTGAAGATATTAATACTTTCATTTCCAGAAAAAGAAAACGACAGTTTTTTACCCTAGAACAGTGTTTTTCAACCAGACACTCGTGTGCCATGACAGATAGTCAGGTGCACCCTGAGAAATTATCCTATTTCACTTTATTGGTCTATTTTTATTCAATAACTTATTATTAGTCTTAATTTTTTTTTCTTAATGTGGCCCTAATTCTCCATTGTAAGTAAAAATGAAAAGTTATTCATAACCACTGCGCTAAATAAAGATAGCATGCAAATTCCAGGACCACTCTTACTGACCTTATTTGCCTACATGCAGCTATCAAATCCACCCAAACCTACTTTACCCTCTATCACTATTGCCGGGTGAAAATCACCCTGTGAACACGTGTCTGTAGGAAAAAGCAGGTTTTGGATCAGGGAAACAAATATGTCTTCAAAGATGTTAAAGGAAATGCTGAAGCTACCTAGGGACCCATGATACTCAGACAAACGCAACATAATGAAAATCAAGTAAACATATTTAGTCAGGTGAAAATCTCATAGCAACAGAGAGATGCTACTGGTTCTTCCAGGCTAAGAAATATCTTTATTTCATTAAAAAAAAAGTAGCTTTAATTACAAAAGTGTTATCCTGATACCATGAAATACCCAAAACTAGATCATGAGTCTGCAGGGAGTTCAAATGAATCACTTGTTACTGTCAGCATGCAGCCAGTTTCTTCAAATTAAAAGCCTGAGTTCATATTTAGTCAGCACTGTAAAGTCATCCTGTAGGTGTTCAGTGCAGCCAACACTGTTATCCTGTGAGAGCAGTGTTGCTTCTGGTGCAAAGCGGTCATGCTGCAGTGACTCATACCGGAACCCATATGTTTAATGCACCATTAAAAATGGTTCATATTAAACATTTATCACAGCTCACTTGGCTGTTCCATATTTCCCTCTTTTTTTTTCTTCCAGTTCACGAACACATCAAGGTCTTACTGGGTTTGAATTTTTTACAAGGTTGGCTTCAAATTCACAAACCTGAGCATGAAAAAAAATCATTTTGCGCTCGTGATTCTCCCAAGGACAGAGGAATGTCCTGAAATGTTAGTATTTGATTCAAAAAGGAGCTGGGATGATGAGTAAACCTACTTTGTTGAGACCTTTATTTTCTTTGAGAATTATGAGTCACGACATTTGCAGAAATGTGTCCTTTTCTCTGTCACTTACGGCCTAAGGTACGCTTGGATCACATTGACAAACTGGCATATAAACACACACCAATATATCCACAAAGGCATGGCAGCCTCCAACTCTTATGAATGGAAACAGAATCCAAAAATAAGACGGTAGAGCTTAAACAAAATAAGAATTATGCATAACTAATATCATTTGCCAGGATCCTGCTGCTTGCTCCAGATTGCTTAAAAAGATGCGTATCTAATCACACACTGGCACAGATCCCTTTGGGTGTGTGTGTGTGTTTAGTTCACATTTACGTGTTTGTGTGTGTGTTGGTGCGTAAGAGTGTGAGTATGTGTATTCCCCCGTTGGCTTACTCTGGTGTGGTTTCTCCTCAAGGCTTTCAGGCATAAATACACACACACACACACACACACACACACACACACACACACACACACACACACACACACACACACACACACACACACACACACACTGCATCATGTTTAAAAAAAGAAAAAAGCTGAAGACATTCCCCAATAACAGATATATCTCATTATGAGTGCGTATTATACTGAATGTGCATAATGTGTAGGAAATGGGACATAAAAAGAAAATCTGTAGCAGAAATGAGGCTGCACGGCTCATATAGACCAGAAAACAAGGTAAGTGGAAGGCTGTTTAAAGCACAAGTAATTCAGCAGAGAAAAACTGGTCCAAAACACAAATTAAATCATTTTCTTAGAAAACATTGGTTATAAATCAGGGCTGTCCAATGATTTTGTTAAAGGGATATTCTGGCATAAAATTAATTTGGGGTCAAATGCACCGTAACACCATGTTAGACACCCCCTCTAAAGAAGAATGTTGTCAACCGCTTGCTTCTCTAGTTACACCAACTTTGGTAACAACCACACAATAGCAATACACAGCGGTCTGGGGAGCCATAAACAGACCTCAACCAAAACGCCACTCTATAGCCACAAATAATGCTCAGAACAGCACCTAACTTCATCAACAGTACATATAGGGTCCCAGCCATAGTACTAGACACCAAACATCTTTTTAACTTTGACTAATTTCTTTAGCAAAGAGACTAAACACAACTCACCTACTCTCTTCCAGCAGCCGCTTGTTTGTATCAAGACCTCAGGCCACAATTGAGACAATCGTGAGAAAGAAGAGACTTTAAAATAATGGTTAAGGAAACTAGAGTCACAAAAGTAAGCTTCAAAACACTTAATTTCTTCTCTTACTAGTTTATTCCTCTCTCCTTCACTTGAAACCGACTCCATTTGACGTTAAAACCAAACTCAATATATATAATATATAAATAAAGACTGATTGATTGATTGATTGATTGATTGATTGATTGATTGATCGATCCATCCATCCATTTTCCCAGGAGGCAACGGTAACATTGATGTAAAATCACCCACCTTTACAGCAAATTCAAACATGTTTACAGACTGGTACAAAGGTGTGGTTTTAGTCTGATCATCTCTTATAAAGATGAATAGTTATGAATGAATTTGGACTGACAGGTGAGCATGATGCAGCTGTTTGCCGCGTGGGTTAAAACCTGACGTAGCTTGACTCCTTTGTCTGCCTCTTGGCTGACTGAAAGTTATGAGTCAGCACTTTGAACTGAGGAACAAAATCTCTTTTCAGAAACTAATGGGTGACAAAACTGAGACTGGACCGCTTTTTATACAGTCTATGCCCCTGATAGATGGAATAATAATCCACATGAACAGTATCTTACTTATTGGGTATCTGTTTATTTTGAGATGGCTTTAGGTCAGTGCTATGACGTCAGAATAATTACAGTTTATACTGTCCGTCTGTACAGGCCACAAGTTATCATGCTTTTAATCTAGAGATGATCTCAGATTAGCAGTAGAGCTCACAGCATTATTTTACAGTTCATGTACCAGAGCAAGCAAAAGTTATCAGAATTTTACCAACTGGACGATTAAATTCAGTCCCAACTTAAGTCACCATCAATCCACATTAACACTGAGTCAAAACATTGACTCAGAACACAGTGTGTTTTGTTTTAAAATAAAGTCAGTGTTGGTTTGGGGTTGACTTATGTTGAGTTAGCAGTGGATATAAGTGGGCTGGAGAAAATGACTGGGTTATTACAGTCAAACTTCCATCATGGCTGAACATATGCATTCCTCTTCATATTAAGGAAATGAAAGAAGACGCCCTCTTATTACATCTCATTCTGGTCCTTCACTGCGTCTGAATCTGCACTTCAGCAGAAAATAACTCTGCCGCAGCCCTAAATTATCATAATGACCCGCACCGCTGTACACACACTTATTCACACATAAGATCACACAAAACAACCGCACACAAAATCGCCTTTTTCAAATTTCATTCTTCATGAAATATTTATTTCAGCAAAACATTCTCGGTTTCCGCTTTACTCCAAAACTGTCATTTTCTATTTGAAGCCTGCGCTGTGAGATGTTGAAGACGTCGATACTGACCCTCCAAAGAAAAGAAAAAAGGAGTAAAGAAAACAGTGACTGTAACTGCGGTTTCTCCGCTCGGGTGTCTGTAGACTCGCAGTACTAACGTAGCATTAAGCACTTAAAGGGGGTTTGTTGGTTGATGTGGTTTTGACATGTTGGGTTAATCAAACCATCACCTTGGCAGTGGAGGAGGGTTCACTGACCAGTTCCTACTTCCTACTGTGACTTCCATAAAGAACGTTTTGTCTGACTTTGTTCTCGCTGCTGTTTTTAAATGTTTCTTTACAACCATGTATGCTTCAGGTGAACTTATTTCAGATGAGTTAAAACAACAAGAAAGTTGCTCCAAAATTATCTTGCTTACAAGAATGGGATAAGAACACAGATAATAAAGCATACACATATGTTAATGCAAATTCACTCTTGAGGTATGGACAAGAATGCACTATCCTTTGGTCATCAAAATTTAACCAGTTCATCTCTAAATCCAAGTGAATACTAGTGCCAAATTTAAAGAAATTCTATCCTGTTCTTGAACAGATATCAAGATCACAGTAATAGTTAAAGGGATATTTCCGGCGAAAAATTAAGTAACACCGAGTTAGACAGGCACGCTTGCTTCTCTAGTTATGGCAACTTTAGCAACGACCGCATGATAGCAATACACAGCGGTCTGAGGAGCCATAAACAAACCTCAACCTAAACGCCACTCTATAGCCACAAATAATGCTCAGAACAGCACCTAACTTCATCAACAGGACATATAGGGTCCCAGCCATAGTACTAGACACCAAACATCTTTTTAACTTTGACTAATTTCTTTAGCAAAGAGACTAAACACAACTCACCCTCCTTCTTCCAGCAGCTACTTGTTTGTAGACCTCAGGCGAGTCTATTACCACAGCTGGGTGATGCAGCTCAAGGAAGAACATTTATGATCATTTCTTCATGGAAATACAATCAGACCGAGACGCTAAGACAGAAGAACTACCACGTCTGCAGTGCAAAATGATTAATATGGTGATTATTACCTCAAGGAAATGGAAAAGAAATGATCATAAATGTTCTTCCTTGAGCTGTGTCACCCCGCTGTAGTCCGTAATGGACTGGCCTGAGGTCTCGCTCCAAACAAGTGGCTGCTGGAAGAGAGAACGTGAGTTGAGTTTAGTCTCTTTGCTAAAGAAATTAGTCAA